GATTTTGTATAGTTTTCGTTTGAGGTGAACAAAGATGCAATGATTGTTACGTCACCTTCAGCGTCAATGTAAATTTTAATGACGCTGCTCTTCTTCCTTTTATGGGGTACAGTCTCATTTATGAAAAAATGAAACAACAGATTATCTTCTTCAGCAAATATTAGTTATTATGACATATTACACAGATGCAAAGTGTTGATGCACAGTGTCAGATATGATGCAGAGCACTGAAAGCATTATACGTACAGTATTGCATTTATTAATCTTCAGTTTGAAGAATTCAAACTCACATTGCATAGCACTGCAATTTTTTTCTTTTCTTCTTCTTCAAGGAAAACCATGATTCTTATTGCGAGTGTAAGTGGGTGTTACAGTCGAGGTTAAGGGAAGAAATCATTCAGAACTTTCAACAATAAAAGAAGACAAGTATCTAAATAAAAAACCTTAAATGAAAGAAGAGAAGTACCAAACCTTAAATGAAAAGAGATAAGTACCAAACCAAAATAAGATCCTTCTTTACCAAATAAGATCCTTTTAACCAAACAATCCTCAATCTCCAAATGTTCATTGTAGATCCACCTATTGAAACCAAACTTTAAAGAAACAAAATGTATAACTTATTATATAATAAGTCAATCAAAGAAAAAGACAAACGAATTAGAAGAAAGAAGAGAAGAGAAATGAACAATAGGAACAAAGAAGAGAAGAGAAGTGAACAATAGGAAGAAAGAAGAGACGAGAAATGAGACAAAATGACAGGCGATTTGCAACATGATTTTGTGAGAAACCTGTTGGTTTGGTGATCGAAAATAGGGCAAACTATCGCCATTTTCGAGCGTTTTTTCGAGCTCGAGCGAGAAGCAGACGAGCGTTTCGAAAGCGAGAGGCCGCCACAGAATTTTCAAGCGCCCGCGATATTATTTTCAGTCACGGCTACCAATGTTTTATTTATGACACGTTCGACACAGTCTCTACGACTCTACGCGGCTCTATCGAATAAATCTCCTGCGGCTAGTTTTCTCTATCGTCGAATCCTATCTTTGACACGCTAGTCGATAGACCAAATTTGCCTTGATAAATCTCATACTCGGGGTTCCGTTGATCGATGACATTTCATTCCAATAATATTTATATCAAACGACCATAGAAAAGATAAAAGTAGTTGAAATTAATTACTCGAAAAAGGAAATGAGAAACAAGTCTTTGCAACAGTGTAAAGACAAAAATAATTCTCGTTTGCTTCAGTTTGGGAAAATTGGGAATTATTTGTTTCTTTAGGGAACCTTTTTGAAGAGTCTGAAGACAAAAATAAAGGCTCGTTATTTTCAGCTTGGGAAAAATTAGAAATCTTGTCTATTTGTTTCTTCAGAAAATCTTCTTGAAGAATCTAAAGATAAAAATAAAGGCTCGTTATTTTCAGCTTGGGAAAAATTGGAAATCTTGGTTATTTGTTTCTTCAGAAAGTCTTCTTGAAGACTCTGAAGGCAAAAAAGAAATGCTTGTTTGTTTGGGAAAAATTAAGAATCTCAATTACTTGTTTCTCTAGAAAAATCTAAAAACTTGTTGGTTTCAATTGGAGAAAAATAATACTTGTTGGTTTCAATTGGAGAAAATTGAATATCTTGGTAATTTGTTTCTTCAGAAAATCTTCTTGAAGAAAAGCTGATTCAAGACATTTCCCACACTTGATAATTATCAGTTGCACTGGAAACCACGAGTTTCTTTACCTGAAGTCAAAATCAAGAGACGGTACGAGAGAGCGTGAACGTCCGTCTTTATCTGCTCTTATCTCATTCACGATCGATAACGTCGATTTACATGACTGGACAATAGTCGTCTATTCCGCGTGACTGTAAATGTCACTGAATTCTTTTACTCGCTTTTCTAGGTCACTCTCTACATGGAAAGTATGACAGACACGGACATTACAGTAGAATTAGACTCGTGTCAGTATTCAACAAGCACAAAATGACCATTTCTTAAAAAAAAAAAAAAAAAAGAAGAAGAAATATTTTAGTACAATTTTTCAAACATTGTCGCACTTCTCTGAATTCTTAACAGTGCAAACGATTCAAATTACAAAAAGCTTTTTGCAAAAATACCTTGTAACAAACGTGATCGACGTTCTTGCGTAGTATTTCCCTGAGACTAAGGTCTGTCTCGTCTCCAGGACTGATTTGCAACGAACTGACCCAATATTTTCCACGTTTCGCGCTTCCACGACGTCGACAGTGTTTCCTGGTTGCGCGTGTGCAACCGTTAATGCAAAAGAAGATCTTCATTTCGGATAAAAACGTAACAGAAGGCGCTGGTAGATCGCATAACTGGTTCTGTAGGCAGTCAAGAAACCGACTGATTGCCAATACCGTTGACGACGTTGCAAACGTCTGATTTTATCACGGTGACAATTTTTTGATAAGTTTTTCTTTTCTTTCGATTCTCACGCCGTTCCGAGAATTGGAATTCTTATCGGATGGCGAGGAGATCGTCGTATCTGGCGATGAACAAAGCAAGGCTACCAAAGCTTCGACTCGGTTGCCATTAAAACTGAAAAAGAACGCCTCCATTGTCTCCTCGGTATCGCTTGTTTCAGAGACTCTGGTGTCGGGGATAACCTCGAGCAATTGAACAACTTTGAACAGCTTTCCCACTCTTAATTGCTTGGACAATGGAAGAGGAACTTTTGTTGCACAAACGAAGAACTAGAGATGCTAGTTACTGTTCAAAATTAGATAGATTGTAATTAGAGAAATCCTACGTTCTACGAGACTGGAGTCTTCCAATGAAAAAAAAAGCTTTTAAAAGCTTTTACAGAATCTTCTTGCAAAGGAGAGACCTTAAAGATGAGGAGCAGAGCTTAGATAAAAAGTGACTCTATCATAGGAATATAGACTGTACCACGTGGCGCGTTAAAAATATCCAAAATACCTCCCCCACTTGATTTCACCAGGCTCACGCACCGACAGACTAGGTTTATTTAAAATCCTCTTCGAAAACATCTCATCCTCACCAAAACAACAAACTGCTCCACCACTTTTTCACTGGAATTCTATTTTTTGTTCTTCTTTTGTTGTGTCATCTCGCAGCTCCTCTCGACTAGAACACACTTCACTCTGCAATTAGAAACGTTTCAGAGACTGTCTTGAAAGGAGTCGAGACAATTTTCACGACCAAGGGTCGGTTATTAGCGATCAGGCGGGCCAGTATCGAATTACACGCGCCTTACACTCTGAGAATGGCGACGAGCCATTCGCAGTGAATACACAGCGAGCTCACACCGGCCTACAGATCCCTTGGAAAGCGGTGTTAGCCGACTGACTAGCCACTATCACCAACTCCAACTGAACTGAAGTGAACTGAACTGAACTGAACTGAACTGATCCCTGTTGCCGCGGCCAGTCGAATGTTGGCTGCCTGGAAGGACGTCTTAGCTTGCACTTTTACAGCTGAAACGTTCGTGAACGTCAAGCGTGGAATAGAGTTTTTTTATTTGAAGTAAAACTCCCGGCGCCGGCTCTCTCTAAACACATTGAGGATGTCTTCTCCGTAATTGATGATGTTCTTCTTGTGAGGAAAATTGAAGATAAAACAATTAAGCCTCGATGGAAGATACACAAGTGAACAGTTTAGAAGAGTTTAGAAGAAGCATGTTTGAAGTACCATACGACTGTTTGTGTAACAAACAGATCCGGTTCTTGATTGATGCTGTTTCCCAGAGAAAATCATTCCGAGATCGGCGGATGAAATTTATAGCAATGTTTCATCAGTTCTTTTTCTTCCTCCGTGGACAATCAAACTGCGTTGATATTGATGTTTCTAAGACTCCTTTTAAAACATCAGTTCTCAGAGTCAGAGAGAAAAAATCTAATTGTTTTTAGACTCTATTTACATTGAGCGTCGTACAGATAATTTTATTTTCTGCATGATACTCAATGTGAATTTAAATAAAATTACCTGCATGACACTCAAGAGTAGAGTCTAGATCAAAGAGATCTAGAAAATTTTCTACCGAAATTAGATAGAAACAGAGAACGTACATAATAGTGGCTGGCAGCAGTTACATTCCATTCGACTGTGCATAGAGTTGAACATTGCTTGTACCCACACAAAGAATGCAACAAAGCGAGCGTACACGTGCACGACGATTTGTAAACACGTTGTTAAATGAGTAGGTAGATAAAGACAAGTATGCACGTTTGTACGTACAATGGAAAGGCATGCATAACAGATTCCGAGAGCTACACGGAACGTTCCTCCGAATGTCACATTCTCGTTGACGATTTGCAGTCGTGCAAGATCCTACTCGCTTCGCAGTCTTAAGAAATATATCTCAAAATTCTTTCTATCGCTGTTAGAAAAATTTCTTCATTTTTAGCAAGCTTCTTTAGGAAACTCTAGAATGGAAGAACGAAATACTGTTAAAAAGATGTTATGACCGAGTAGGTAAGGTTGATCCCTGTCGATCCGTTAGAATTTTTTAGATACCGAGGCGAATTCCATTCCTTCCCGGCGAATGAATAGTCCGTTTGTTTGCAAACTGGAGCGCAAGAGGCACGACGTGCGGTTGCGTAAGATAAATTACTCGCTTCACGGGGACAATAACGTACGTTGGTGATACGACGTTCTGCCACGCATAGGCATTTTTCTTCGGTCTAACATTGAAATATTTATAAACCTGGAATGGAAGTACGTCAGAATGACGGAGACAGAGCTGACGGATTTACATGAATTTTATTTATCGACCTTTTCTTCTTCTCTCGCTCTCTCTATCTTCATCTGCAATTTGTATCTTTCTTAAAATAGCCACGCAGCTATAAACGCAGAATAACATAATGATCAGTGTGTAGTAAATTCATTAAAATCAATCATGGTGCAAAAAATAATCCATCTTCTGAGACAAGACAGTCCGCTCGTGTTTATCAGTATGTTTCTCACGCCGCTTGTCACAATTACTAATTGCAAGGCGAGAGATAATTAATTTTACTGGCGCTGGCACTCACCTTGGACGTCTTAATCACTTGCGGCTCAGCGACGTCGGACTCGTCCCCGCTGAGGCTGGACGTGGTGGAGCAGTCTGAAATTTTTCGCGCCGGTGGAATGTTCAGGAAGCCAATTTTCGTTTTCTCTTGCAAGTCTGGCGAGTTCTCCGACGGGTACCGTGTGAACTGTGCGTCGAGCTTGGTGTAGTAGGAGTCGGTGGAATCCAGGCAGGAGTTTCTCCTGTTTCCAGCCTCGTTGAAGTTTCTGAGGAAGATTATCGTTCATCAAGCGATCCATCGTGTCGCGGTGGAACGGAGAAATTCAGAAATTAGATACCTTACAGCGACAGCGTTCATAGAATCAGGACACAAACAGCAAGAGTCTGAATGTCGTCTGCTTGAACGACAGACTTGCAGGAACTGAGTATCCAGAGATTCACGGATTTCGTCGCAATCCAGGCAAGAGCAGCTGCTTGCTTGGCTGGGAGTGCCGCTGGTCCCCTCGTACTTTTCAAGATCAAGATCATTCCTCTCCAGTTTTTCATCCAAGTAAGAGTAATCGGAGTAATCGCTAACGACTACACTGGGTGTTCTCCAGTACCTAGGCCTTCCCTCGTTGTGCTCAGTCTCACTTCCCTCCACCATACTGGTACTGTCCCATCCTGTAAAAAATTTTTCCCAATTATTTTTGAATTCTCAAGAACCATTTCCCTACACCAACTTTTTCTTTCCTCGCATAGAATACTTGAATACTTAAGAAGTATTAATGACACTGATTAAATAGTGTGGTATTACTTAATGCGAGATATTAATTCTTAATTCTTAATGGTTTGATGAAAATCATTCAATAATGGAAATTGAGCAAAAATAGATTGCAAATGAAATGTTGTGAATATTTATGTAACCTTGATTCTTAATGGCTTATGTTAAATTAGTTATTGTAAAAGTCGAACTATTATATTATATTATGTTAAATTAGTTAGTCTAACTCATTTACGATCAAACTATCATTTGACTTTGAACTATTTTTATAATATTACATTTGATTTTCAACTTTTACAAAATGACATTTTTATAAAACGTCACAGATCTGTCGTCTACGTTCAAGAGACAATCTTCCGAAGAATTTAGATTTTGAACTATTTTTACAAAATATACGTTACATTCGATACTATTTTCATAAGATATATTAATATTTGATACCATTTTTATCTGTCGTCAACACTGAAAAAACAATTTCCCGAAGAATTTTAATCGTGCGGCTATTAGAAGAGACAATACGGACAGCGCGTACGGCGAAGAAAAAAAAAAGAAGAAAAAAGAAAGAGAGAAACGATGATGTCATTGACACAGACAACGCGTGGTCAGGATTGTGTTTTCAACTGATTCTCCCCTCCCCTCTGTCGTCACCGCGGCGAGCAACTGGTGGCATAATTCCATCCCCCTCGCACCTTTTATTTGATCCTCGTCGCTGAGCACTGCGCTGTCGGAGCTGCAGCACCTAGTAACCCGTAGTTTGTGCCGTTTTTGTTGGTGAATGGTGAGAGACGTGTCCTCGTCGCTGGCCGCGGCCGAGTCGAGGCTCCAGCATCGTGCCATCGATCCTCTTCTACGATCCGTGTCCGTCTCGATGCCCTCGTCGCTCTGCGGGCTCTTGCTAAGGGACCTCACCACCGGCATTCTCACCGTGTCGAACTCGTCGTACGTTTCATTCTCCTCTATCGGGTCTACCGCGCGCGCCACGGCGTTCTTCTGTTGCTTCTTCGACTTCATCGCGGCGACGCTGTTCTTTTCACCGAGCACTCGTTCCAAGCGCCGAGCCAAGTCGCATACCAACGAGCCGGCATCGCTCTCCGCGACGTACTGATTCTCCACGATGCCTACGCGTCGTTTACGCGACGATTGTACCGCGTTCGAGGACGACGTGCACCACACGTTGTTTTGTTGCTTCCACGAACGACGACGCCTCGCTTCCGATTTCTCGCCGGTGATGGAACTATTCTTCGAACATTCCTGGCAAAATAAACAGGCATGTGTACATATGCGCGTGTATACATATACATATACATGTTATGAAGTATAATACTATGTATATTTATATATATCATATATATTATTGTAACGTTCATAATATGAATATATGTAGTGTAATGTGGGATTGGCAAATTCTGAGAAAAGGGCCCAGAACTTTCTCCAGTACCCAACAATTATAGCCCAACTGGCGTACCGTGCACTGTAGAGAAAGTTAGGCCTGATACCTGAGAATATTTGCTAACTCTCCTAGCAATACACCTTAGGATTATGTGTTTGTGTGTATGTGTGTATGAACGAATGTTTCGAGCGGTCACCGAGAATACAGAGAGTAGCGAGTTTAGTGAGTAAATATAGCAATTAAGAGAGAACAGTGTAAAACTTCATTTTCAAATCACTATTAAACGAAATTTCTTATTTTTAACTTTAAATAAACTACCTTCTTATACCAAAATTCCTATATATATATATATCAATAATTTCAATTTATATATAATATATTAATTACATGTACATGTATAAATATCAAATCGTTATAATATTTATAATCAATTTATATATAATTTATACATGTATACAAATTTATATACAAATATCAATTACATACATATATAAACATTAATAATATATATTGCTACTAATACATTATTATAAATTCAGTAAAATATTTAATTGTTGGTAATAAATGTTTTTCTAGTTTCGAGTGATCATAAAGATTTATGAGGTTATTTAGAAATGAAGATTATAGTATATACATGTATATAACTGATATTTAGAAATATATCCTAGCAAAATGTAATATTCTATGTACACTGGCTTTAAAACTAAGGCATGATTATCACAATTTGATAGAGTATGAAACTAATCTAAAAGTATATACGTATATCAGTATACAATCTAGTATGTATTATGGTGTATTAATATATAACATAGTATGTGATATAGCATATAGGTGTAATATAGTAGAGTATAAATATACTATAAACATATACATACACGAGTCTGAAAGTACATGTAAAAATTACAAGCTACTGCAAACGTACATTTAGCAAACAATGAAACAAGAAGGTAAACCAAGTTTATAAGCACTGTTATACTGTTGGAGGATGAAATAATTCTGTCCCAATCAAAATCACGGAATAATCGACAAAAGGGAGAGAAAATGAAAAATGAGAGTGAAAAATGAGCGCGAATTTACGAATTCGTTCGACTCGTACAATCAAGTCTCGCGTGTCACTATCACTAGAACACCCTGTACGTGTAAAACGTGGCTCTGTTTGCCATGCAGAAATATATACCTGGTTTCCGACTTCGTTGCAACCTGGTCCTAGCAACAGTTGTCTCGATCGTGTCGTTTCGTGGATTGAGAGCGGTTGTTGATCGTCACATCGGCCACCATGCCGAGAGGATACACATTGTTGTCCTCTCAACGACGCCGCTCGGCTGCTCGACGCACGATTTGAAATACAGGCGACACATCGCGCACTGACTCTGAACCAATCGCGGCCACGGCGTCGACGATAATAGAGGTCGTCGCGTTCGATTCCATGAACCACGTGAGAGCTAGATGGGAAACGTAGCTTGATCAACTGACCCGGTTTGAACAATCGGCCGCAATTCATTTTGAAGGGACTGCCTTTGCTGTCTCTCCCTTCTTCTCCCTTGCTTTCGTTGACCTTTCCATTTGCAGGTGAATCGTTTCGTATCGAGAGATGTTCGTCGATGCTCGACACATAAGTCACACTCATGATCTTCACCGTTCCCTTCGGCGGACCGCTCGTTAAATCGTCCCCGATGCCGATTCGCAATCGACTCGCAACGACCACGTCGTCGTTCGACGAGAACGTCCGGCTGAAACAGGAATGGGAGGAGGAGATTGTGATTCGAAATCCGGATACGGAGAAATTTTTTGGTACCTATTGAACTTTTACGACGACTGACTAAAATAAAGTGACATATATTAAACAGATATTTTTGGTCCATTAAGATTCAACGTTCAACGTACGATTTCTTCGGTTGAATTAAAATTGTCAGATTTTATTTTTATAACTTGACAATTATAAAAGAATTCCGCTTGAACTCTAGAATTTTGTAAAATTCGACAATTAACTACTGCTTCTGTTAAAAAAAAAAAAAAAAGAAAAATGAACTGAAAAAGAACAGTTGCTAATAGATTCCGTGAAGGATGTTATTTGAATTATATGCGTATTTATACCAGATCTTATTTCATTCTGCACGTCCATGAAGAAATATGACTACAAGCTGCTTTTATGGCACATATATATTACAAGCGACATAAATTTTTGTTATACAAACACTGTCGTTACAAGCTCTTATCTAATCTTGAAATTATACTACCACACGTAATGTTGTTCCCCATAGTGAAACTATGATTCTATTTCAATGCATAGACCATTGAAAAGCTACGGCTAAAATTAAAGAGTGCAGAAAAACGATGATGTTACGAGCACTGGTTTTTCTATCCATCTATGGCCTCTTAACGGTAAATGATCTTGTAGATCATATTCGTTTCTTGAAGAAATGAATCGCGTGCTTATGTAACAAAATTAAAAAATTAGTAAAGAATGGAATCAATCAATTTGCCTTCTCAAGTGATTATATCTTTTTGTATTTAGACCTTTGACGTAGTATTTTTATAGGGATTTTTTTTCCAAAAGGGTTTCTTTTCACTGCGCTTTCTATAGGCTGGTCGCTGAAAGACTGAATGATATAAAACAAAAATAACTTTTACAAATACGTTTTTGTAATTTTTTATTACTTCACTTGGAAATATAATTATAAATAAATATATATAAATATAGTTATGACTTTTTCAAACTTTTCAGTTTTTCAATGGCCACCCTATATTAGTAACAGAGAGAGTTAAAGGACACACATGAAGTTTCTATTTCTCAGCAATAACAATACGTCGTATAATCCAAAAATCCGTTCGTCGAACAAGAAAAAATTGTACATGGTGAAAAGTCTAATTTCAAACAACCTGGTACTCGAACGATACTCAAATATGTAGCAATTACCGAGATAAGTTCGAAATTTTCCAGAAAGGTTATGTCTCGTTGGTCTTTGCAAAAGCGGTACTTTTTTTCTTTTGCAAAACGAGACATTATTAGAAACGACGGGCCAAGGACCGTGTATCCGGGTCGAAGAAATGCGAGGGAAAGATGCATAAAAGGTATGCCAGGGTTGCTTCTTGCTTCTCCGATTGACGTCACAAGTGCGTCATTGGGAAGCAAAGAAACAAGAAAGCGCGATTGAATGATCACGGTTGCAGCAACCGACATGCGTATCGCTCGGTATCGTTTGATTCTTTCTCTTTCTCGACAATCGGTCCATTATCTCGTCAGTTCAAGTGCCCCTTGGCCACTTGAGCCTATCTGTGCCGCGACCGTTCCGTTCGACTCTCTTGTTCATTGTACGAAATAATCGTGCACGGCGCAACGAGCGGGATAATATATAATCCACGTTTTTCTTCTTTCATCCTCTCTTTTCTATCGTCTTTGCCTTGGTTTTTTTTTGTCATTAGTTTTTTTTTCTTCAAGTCAAGTAAGTATCGCCCACGCGTTGTTTTCTGTCGGGCTCGAGAGTGCTCGCTAATTGCGTACAGACGGCACACGTCCGAAGGAAGATAAGATTGCGATATAGGATCCTATTATTTTTTTTTTTCTTCGCCGGAGGAAACGAGACGTAAAACACGTAAATAGAATCACAAGGTCTGAAAAAGTATCAGTGTAAGAAAAAGATATATTTTTCCAGTTTATTTTCCATGATCTTTGCGTCGATTGATTTGACATCATATTAGGATATGTTGTGTTTAACAAAGAGATAAAGAAAATGTAAATGTTGGTCCCGATGCATGTCATTGTTGGAAGGAGGATACCCTTTTGATAATTTTTTTTTTTTATTTTTTAACCTTTCTGGTTTTATCGAAACGAAGGAAAGATCAGACAGAAGAAATAATTGAATAATTTTTATTTGGCAAGTCGAAGATGACACGAGCGAAGGAAGGCGTATAACCTTTCGAATAGCAGCCGGGCTCATATTTATGATGAAATCGGGTCAGTGTCGACCCAAGGCTAATGACTTGTATGTCCTAAATAGGCAATAACATGTATCGTGCGTTTGCATTAATTTTTGGATGAACAACGTTTGGGAAACAATTTAAGGAATTTTTATAACCGAATCAGATATGTACATAAGTGGTAAAAAGATGGAATTACTAGAAATCATGCAGAGTGCATATTGTTGTATCAACGTGCATAGAATTGAGATACATATTTATGATTTTTTATTTCGATATACAATCCTTACCTGCCCATAATGATGTCGTATTCTGCATTTTGTTCCAGATTGATAATACAAAGAAAAAAAAAAATTTTTACAATTACAATTTTTAGAAAAGATTCATAAATTCGTAGCAAAAATTATTTTTAGAAGAAGCAAATTCTTTTGCAATTAATTTCGAACACGCTTATGTCACAGAACAATCTGATTTTTTAAACTAAAAGTCTGTGGAATTCGACCGGACATTCTTGACGTTCATGGTTGCTCGCTGTCGACGAATATTAATTCCTGGTTGTGGTAATTGAGAAAAGCCATGTATGCAATGATTGTACGTCAATCGTAGCTGATGGCCGACTGAACTCGAGATTTGAACTTGACCACTCTGCAGTGACCACCTATACACGAGTTCCTGTGTAAAAGGAGGGGATCCATTACATTGAAATCAGCCTCCTAGAAGGGAAGCTTTCCACCTACGATTGACGCAACAGTCATCATTGCAGTTACACCTGTATCGTCAGTTCTCGTACGATTTCCAAACAATTTATTTTCTTTATTTTCTTTTCTCTCGTAAAAAAACAAACAAATAAAATTATATATTACGCGTTATCTAAATTTATAAAAAATTCACAGTCTTTTTAATTGTCTCTTTGGGGTTAGAGCACCTCATAGAATTTTATATCTTCGTGTTCAGCAGACTCCACGGCCACTGATCCAAATATTTCAAATTCATCTACAGTCTTTTCCGGTTTGTAGGACTTCACCCATTGACTTGCTGGACCAATTTTCAAATTTTTAAAGATAGTTTCGATGGATGGTTTGGTAACTAGAATTGTCCCACTCTGAATATTGGCTATCAAAAACTTCCAAATTTCTCTATGCACTGATTCTGAGGCATAAAATTCAAACGGATTGTTCATAATGATCACATCACACGTCTGAACTATTTCAGGACATTCCTCAATCCTTTTATTCACAATCTCAATGCGATCGTTCATGTTATATTTATTTATTATGTCATGTTGCAGCAGGCAGCATTCTCTGTTCATTTCAACGCCAATAATTTTCTCCGCAGACGTCAATACATATGCCTGAAAGACAGATTTCCAAGTAACAACATACATCTTTTGACTGTCGACCTCTTACTTGATGAAAGAAAAGGGAATAATTACTCCATACAGAACAGGACCCAATCGGGAACCTATGTCAAGCACAAACTTCCCTTGTAAACTTGGTAAAATGCTGTGAAATATATACAGCACAGCAGACAGTGACAATGAGTGCGAGATAATATCTAAAAGCAAATCCACTTCGTCTTAATAGAAGCAATGATCAAAGAGACATCGCATAATTTCGTTTGCAATGCAATATGAAATGTAAAAACAGTTAGAGAGATTAAAGCTTTCCTTACTATATTGCCTCACATTTTCAGACAAACAGTCAGCACAATATATGTTAACCACCTCCCCATTTTCTATAAGTTCATCTAGCTTTCTATTGTCGTAGAGAAACGCGTCGACGTGTTTCGTTGACTCCTTGTCGCAATCCGAGTTCTGCAGAATTACACAACTTGAGACATTTCTTTCTCATAAGAGAACACTTGAAGAATTGAAATATACATAGCTCTACTTGTTTGCACAAAATATCAGACCTCGCCGATCGTTGGTGGTAGAATTTCTTCCAACGGAAACGTTCCATCCATTGGTACTCGTTTTCTAATGTCGTTGGCGATCATTTTTATAATTTTTACTTGTTTATCTTCTACAGTACATTCCGAAGACTCCTGCATCGTATCCCCCGTGAAAGGCTGTGACTTTATTTGCTCTGGTTTCCATTTATCAGCGATGTACGACAAAAACACATTTTTATCGGTGACACTTAAAGAACACATGACAGACGTAAATATTTTTATAGCATTATCTATGGTGATAGTATCGACGGTATCCATTATGTAATCTCTTCGCTTAATTATAGGTTATGTCGACAATTTTATATTCGAGGTTCTCACACTGGAAACAATCAGACGTTAATCGAGGCGGGTCCGGATGTTCGTTTCAGCGTGTTTATTAGAAAAAAAAAAAAAATTAAGTACACAAAATGTCGATACGCATACATAGGTGTATATAAATAATTAGCCTTAACGCTAACGGTTTTGCATAGGCAAGATATAAGGCACAAAGTATGTTTCATCTTCGTTTCAAATTCAACCTTTCCTAATATATATACAAGACACTCGTCCTCGTCTCTGTTTGTAAATTTCGATTTCTGTTTCTTGTTTTTTCTTCGATCCGTGGATCGCTTTCTTTCATGATAGATAGATAGATAGATGGATATAGATAGAGATAGATAGATAGACAGACAGATAGATAGATAGATAGATAGATAGATAGATAGATAGATAGATAGATAGATAGATAGATAGATAGATAGATAGATAGAGAGAGAGAGAGAAAGAGAGAGAGAGAGAGAGAGAGAAGATTTAAATAATTAACATTACACTTAGAGGATAGGTTATACGCAGAACGACGCAACGTCGTCGAGAGAGACCATATAAATACTTATTTACAATTTTTTGCTTTTTTTTTCCTTTTTTCTCTTTTTCGTTTCTACGTCGAAACTCTGATCGAAACCAAGTTTCAACGTGATCCTCGGGGACTTTTTCTTTCTCCGCCCCCCAGATGTGTTATCATAAAGCTTGATTACCGTCAGGAATCTAACGTTGATTATTGAAAGGACGTTGTATACGTGCGTAAGAGCTCGAGGCTAGGAAAATACTGCTATTACAGGTTAATTTCTCGACATTATATAACAAATACTGTTGGCGACGTATGTTCACTGAATTATTTCCATTATTGCAGTGGCGTGCGGCGGCTCGTCCACTCTTTGTCTGAATGCAAAAATCATTCCGTTATAGAATCGTTGTTTCTGTCGGTTTCAACGATGACAATGTATTATAAATAATCACGGTACGTACGTACGGCACAATACTTCGCAATGACGACGCAATGACAATTCGAAATAGAGACAAAAGGTTCCCGGAATTTTCAAACTGGAATTCCAGCGTCGTCGACTCAACATTCTAAGACGTGTATAAAATACAATCATAACACAGCTGTCTTTTTCATTCAGGCACAAGATCATTCGCCTCTGAATGCAACGTATAATCACTAATAATCTCGCGTATTTACAACATAAGATAATGGACGCTAATTAATTTAAGTTCAGGGAACAAATGTGACTTAATAGAAAGCTGCCTGGACTAAAGTCGATATATATGTATACATAAAACACTGGGCGAATACATAATAAAAGCTAGCACGTCACGAGTAGAAAAAAAAAAAAAAAAAAGAACGAACATACTATATCGATTACGAGTTTTTGAAAGTCTCTATTCTCGCGTGTCTAATTACAAACGAAAACTCGCTGATCGTCGACCATCAAGTGGACACAAAAGGGAAACAAAGGGTCGAGTGAAAGACACCAACAGAGAGACAGAGAGATGAAAGAGATGAGAAAGTGGAGACAGGTACACAGCGAATTTTAACCACTTCACGGTCGACCGTCGATTTCCTACTTTGAGCTTGAACAGAGTCGCAATTTCATTGCGCAAAAGAAAACGGAAAGAAGTCCTAAATACGTAGGATGGATGCGATAATCGTTAGGTAAATGCGTATCTAACAATCGCGATTGATACACTTGAGCATACCTAATGTGACACCCTGTAAATGTCTTGAAACGGTTCGTCCGTTGGTAAACCTAAAAAAAAAATAAAGTTTTTAAAAGTCTTTCAATAAAAAATAAAAAAAAAAAAAAAAAAAAAAGAAAATATGAAGCGACAACGTTTACATGCCATTTTCTTGGCATAGTCTCTTCGTCGCGATGTAGACAAATAGTTGACAGAAATGGAACATCTATGGCCCCGAGTACTGTGGCGAGAGAACTTTTCTCAAAGCACGGAGTAAAAAACGGTTTGCGAAAGTATTATATTACAACAGGCAGTGATCCCTGGAGCAGAGGGGGCTCTCAGTCTATTGATGCGTTTTCACTGGTCAGTTCCAGCTGTGTCGCTGTTGTTATGGTTGTTGTTGCTGTTGTTTTGCCCGTTAAGAAACGAGGCCATTTCCATCGGCGACTGTTGCCCGGTCTGTTTAGAAACATGCGTGTTTTGTTTCGCTTCTTTCAGATCTCACTCGAGGCAGAGAGGCACAGGCGTGTAGATAGTGTGTAACGTACGTGTGTGGTGTTCGGAAAATAACGGAAAGAAAAGCGGCTCCCAGAGAGAGAGTGCAGAGAATTGTGCAAGTAGAATGTTTTTTTTTTTTTTTTTTAAGGACAGCACGCGACCAATTTGCTAAAGCTAGAAAAGACTAGTCTCCTTAATATCGAATAGTCTGAAAGCAGAAATACGTTAGTTGAATGTAAATATAGATACAGTCGCGTGCGAGAGTGCGGAGGGGCGAAAAATGGTAGTCGCTTGTAAAAAAAAAGGATAAAAATTGAAAAAAAAAAAAAGAAAAATGGCGTACAGCTGTAACCTGGCGGAGCCCGCTATTCAACTCGATCACCGAACGTAACCATCCAAGTAATAACTTAATCAGGTTTGATGGTAATAATCTTCGAATCAATGCACTAATCCGGAGGTACATGTATCGAGGATATGATTGGTTCTATACACGTTGATTTATCGAACGTGTGGGAAAACAAGAGCACGAATGAAAGTTTCATACTTCATAGCCTTTGGTGGCAGTAAAACACAGCAAACTGTACGTACGACAGGGGTGTGACCAGTTTGCTCTTTATATCAAAATTATCTCGCAACAAATATTTACGATGTACAATTTGAATCGAAAAAAAAAAAAAAAAGGAATGTTCCTGTGTTTTTTCGTTACTTGAAAATCGAGCTCCTCGGGGTTACAAGCCGACAAGAACACACACACGACAGTACGAATAGTTGCGATATAAATATCGGCAAGGCGTATAGAAATAGCCATGTACGCAGCTAAGATTACGTTTCTGTTTGTCTAGTGCACTATTTTGTATTCGAGTGGGGAAACTGAATGACCGTGGGCGAGTTGACGATTGAAAATTCCATTTCAAGTGGAACGTAACGTAACAATATCGTTGCAATCTATCGTGCTTCGTTTCCCAGTGGAACACGTAGCCCCCGGTCACTCTCTTCCTTCGACAAAAGCGATTGAAGTACTGATATTGCTACTTACAAATACCGACCTTAGGCTGTATTATGTCTTCAGACGTATCGAGTCCGGCAAGTGGATTTGACGTTATGTTGATCTTCGAGTCGGTTACACCGCCGTTCATTACTCTCCCGTTCGTTATCGGTTTTCCTAGATTGAAAAACCTGTTGATACACGATCTTTCGCCAAGCTTACACAAATTGTACGACAATTATAGTTGTAAGTGAAATTTACCTTCGCTTTGCGACGACTCCCGGCTCTGCTTGTGTTTTGTCCTCTTATACACCACGGCGACTGCAGTCAAACTGCCCAACAGGGTGGACCCGCCGAGAACTCCGCCGATTATCGCGTACATGTTCACGTTCTTATCATCCGCCGGTCTCACCCGGCTGTCCAACGTCAGATTGCTGCCATTGTCGTTTTTATTATCGTGGCTGTCCCGTTCGTTCATGTTCGGTGCCTTCTCCGTTTTCTGCCGGAGGATCTGAGAGAACTCCGACGCCGCGTCCACGGAGAAACTCTGCACCTTGAATTCGTACGTTGTGTCCGGCAGCAAGTGGGAAATCGTTATGTTGAAGGAATCTTTCCCTTCGACCGTGGTCTTTATGTAATCGCCGGCCGATGTGGAGGCTCGATGATACACATAGAAGCCATCGATGTCTACCGATCGGTCCGAATTCTGCCAAACGAGCAACACTTCCTGCGGACCCAACGCCTCGGTGTTCGTCAACAATGGTATCGGCATCCTGTTGCTCTCGATACCCACGTTTTTATTCAGGTGGAAGCGCACGGAGTTCGGGCTGAGTTTGTTGTCGTTGTTCGAGTAAACTGCGGCTATTCGAAACCGATACGTGTGATCGGGCTGAAGATCGGTCACCTCGAACGACCGCACGTGATTCGGTATCTCCGAGTTCGCGGTCATCCACTTCGCCTGTTTTCCGTTCATCTTCTGCCCGAGTTCCCGGTACTGAACCTTGAAGAACTGAATCGGCAGTCCCGTGTTCTCAGGCACGGACCATCTAACCATCACAGATATGTCCGAGAGTCTGGTGACGTTCGGTTGGTTCGGTGGTACTAGCACAGCTAAAAATCGAGATAAAAATATTTAATATTTAAATGAATATTTAAGTGAGCCGGTGCACGGTTGCAAGAAATTACCAGTGCCTTTACGCTTCCCATCCTTACTCCTTCTTCTCCCTCCACCTCTAGTGTGCTTGTGCCTCGAGTTCGAGATCTCGTAGTCCTGTCTGATCTCAGTCGTGCCAATATGCTGCTTGGGATTCACTCTCAGCAGATTGTAACCGGAATGGGAGCCATATTCGTTGCTCGCGACGCACTGAACGATGCCGGCGTGTTTCTTCTCGACCTCGGAGATGGAGAGAGTCGAACCTTCGATTTCCACGTTGCCGCCAGGTATCAGAGACTCCCCGTTAATCAGCCACTCAACTTTCGGCTGTGGTTCGCCGGTCACTGTGCAAGAGAGATCCAATTCTCCGCCTTCGGAGAACGTGGCTGCTTTCGGCGGTTTGATCACCTTTGGAGCCTCCATCACTCTCAGTATGATCACAGACTTGATGAGCACGCCGTGGCTGCTCCACACGCAATCGTACTCCCCCCGGTCCGCTGACTGGACGTTAATTATCGCGAGGCCCATCGCGGTTTTAATCGAGTTCGAAGGCAACGAACCGCCTAGTCTGCTCCACGTGACAGAAGGCACTGGGTAGCCAGCGGCGAAACACTCTAAAGTTACGTTTCTCCCCCGTAGAACCTTGTACTCTGTTTGCGGCTGTTTGACGAAAAACGGCGCCTGAAGGCTGGTGTTCGTATACACGTTTAGGATCGTCCTGTGATTGCTCGAGTATATCTGAGTAGTTATGTAATTGCTAGCGGTGCAGTGGTACGATCCACTGTCGGACACTTTGGCGTTCTCGATGACCATGGTCTTGCTGCCGATTACATTAACATTCTGCACGAGGTTGTTGTCTTTGTAGAACTGTACTATCGCCTCTGGGGCTGAGTAAGGCACGGGGCAAGTGATAGGCACGGTGTTCCCTGCTGGGACATTTATAACAACGTCACTCTTATCGGTAAACTTCTCCAGCGTGGCAAGCGTCAATCTTGCCGGATCAGAAGCTAAACCGCTCGAACCTAATAGTATAATAAAACCAAGTTACTAAAAGTTTGGACTTTTACGCATGATGGAAATGCAAAGTTTTATTTACCATAAAAGGCTATGCAACGGTAATCCCCAGCTTTTGATTCGTTGTCGAAGATCACCACGTGTCTGGACGTTTTGCCGCCGTTGTTAAGCGCGTGGAAAGCTTGCAGCCACTTATCCGAACCTAATGGTCTGTGGCGCCAGGAGAAACGTTCTGCGGCGAGGTTCAGATTGCATTCAAAATTCACATCGTCGCCTATTGGCGCGTCCAGGGGTTGGGGGTGTCTGGTGAAGGTCATACCTAGCTCCTGTTTTTGCCCTGTTGAACAATAATACAATAACATATCTAATATATACTAACAACATACATTTATATATACTATTTATATTACTGGAATGTAGATGCAGGTGAAAACATGCACTTACATTAAAATGTAATATTCAAAATAAAAAGAAATGAGAAGAACAATAATACAATAATATACCTAATAACATATACTAACAACATACATACATACATACATACATACATATATATATATATATATATATATATATATATATATATATATATATATATATTATTAAAATGTAGATGGAGGTGAAAACATGCACCCACATTAGAATATATAATATTCAAAATAAAAAGAAACAAAAAAAGAAAGCATGAGGCTGACCATGTGCAAGGCTGGCTAGGACGTGAAGCAGGACCGTAACAACGGCGCATAAAGAGGGCACAGGTCGCATCTTGACTCATTCTGCAAAAGAAAACAGGAATTAGCAATTCAGTGTTAGATAGTTGGTTGATTCAAGTAGAAGCTTTCAGATTCTTTGGTACTCTTTGGCTTTTCCGAGCCGGTGGAAAATTCGTGGCGCCGGCTTCCCGCGAAAGAAGGAGAAAGAGAGAGAGAGAGAGAGAGACGGTTCGCTAAAATTGATGCCGGTCAACCACCACGTTTAAGTTTAGAACGTGGCGAGTTCACGAGAAAATAGAATGCGTTCATTCTAGTTTTGATCGCGGCTCGTCATTTCGGCGCGGACGCGCGCGCGCGCTTTCGATCCCCCCTCCGCCAAATGGGTCGCGCATTCCAGTCCCCCCCCCCCCAGGGACACTTGGTACGACGCGATTTATCGCGACTTATCGCGATTTATCACGCAGATGCGCGAATTTTAAAAACTTTTGCCGCGCAGGGAGTCTCCAGAGAGCGATGAATTTATAAATAATATATATGATATATATATATAACAATATTGATATAATATATATATAATAATAATGATATAATATAGTAATATAATAAAAATGATATAATATAATAATATAATAATAATATATATAATAATATAATAATAATAATATATATAATAATATAAATAATTATGATATAATTGTCATATATTAATATTTTATATATATATATATATATATATATATATATGACAATATATTAATATTATATATATATATTTATATTACATATAAATTAAATATATAGATATATATAATATATATATAATATATAACATTATCATATTAATTAATTGTGGTGGAAAACTAAATAATAATAATATATATAATAATATAAATAATTAGGATATAATTATTTATATTATTAATTGTCATATATTAATATTTTCAATATCAATAATTGTCATATATTAATATTTTATATATATATATGACAATATATTAATATTATATATATATTTATATTATAAATATATATATATATAATATATAATACTTCTATAATGACAATATTTTTCACACACAACTATTATTTCAAAGTGTTTAAATAAAATATTATCATATTAATTAATTGTGGTGGAAAACTAACTCCACAGAACAATTTATATTTGTCAGAATAGTGGTGATCGCAAAATTTTTTTTTTTGGAAAGCCCAAACATCCTACAAAACAGTATATATCTTGCTTCTTTCGTGTTTCTACAAGCAAACAGTCGATAAAATGTTATTAAACATCCATATGCGTGTTTTTCTTATCACTGTACGTGAAGGATTAAGGTGTATAAAGATGTCGCGTTAAATGACCACCGCTATCCCCACCAATTCTTGGAACTGATTCCTCGAAGCCCCTGATGTTATATACATATGTAAGATAAAGAAACGTGTCCGGTGTATCCCGTATTTCATTCGCACTAATCAAGAGAAATTGGATTTTGAATTTCTTAGAAACATCGTACAGCCCCATGTGAGTGGCCAGTTAGCAAACCTGCTATCTACATACATGTATACACAGAAGAAATGTGGATTCACAGAAAGCATTACTGTATCTTCATTTATAAAAGATATTGAGGAAATGGGAGAAATTCCAAATATGAAAGAGCATAATGAGTACAATTTTGTCAATTCATAAATATATCATATCACTGTACAAAATTCCATTCATTACAGTATTTATAAGATGGGGGAAAAATCTCTATTTAGATTTCTGTTTTTAATTGTGTAAAAGTAAAAATTTATGAATCTTCACATCATGTTCCTCTTCTGTTTTATCCTCAATTATCCTCGAAACTCCATCGAATGTTACAGGCTCGAAACGAGATATCCATCTGCATCGTGAAAAAAAATGAAGGACACAGAGGTGCCCACAACAACAACGCGAAATTGACTATATACGGTGTCGTTCATTACCGCGCGTCGCTTTCCACCCACGTGTGAACGGCTGACCGTCCTGAAGTCCTGAGCACCGAGTGCTGACACGTCTAAGATCAGCAAAAAAAACCGTGCTGACACGTCCAAGACTGATCGAAATTATTTGTTGGCTAACACACGCGTTAAACGTATGTAGGTAGTACTATTCATGGATTACACCGCCGCTGCTCGCCTACGTAATTAATAATAATTTTGAAACGTGCAGAGCTACGACAGAGGAGAGAATTTTCTATTCTGCATGAAGTTTATGTGCCTGCTTAATGAAAAGAGCGTAGATTAATATATCAGATCAGCGATGAAATACATTTTTCATCAATTGTACGCTTCACTTGTAATATTTTTATTGGTACTAATCTATTGTGTTTTTATATATATTATATATTGTAACTAATGTAAATAATGTATATTTATATATTATAGATACTGTAAAAATAGGATGAATTCAATGTTACAATCAAACAACAGTGAACTTCAATTATATCAGAATTTCATTGAATACTCCCACAGTTTACAATTATATAAGTAAACAATTTGCACAACGAAAGTTTATACTCACAATCAGTTAAAGAAGTCTAACTGACACCGTTCGTTCGATGAAAATTTCATTCAAAACGAAAAATAGAAGTTCCATTGTAAAAATATGTAAAAGAACGAAACTCTACGAAGAATCACTGTTCATTATGAAGAAGCGAATTCGGAAGACTGACAATCGAGAGAGAAGAGGGATTTTTCATCGAAGACGAAATCACAAGGACAAAGAGCACGGTTTCGTCCCATTGGACGAGATAGTTGAACATGTTTTATGCACGTGAGGACTCTTAACTTCTGGTTAAATGGTAGCATAAATGCCGGTGGTATGTAACAGGTGAGAAGGGTCCGAAAGAGGCTGGTTTCCGACGTTGGCTCTCATAAAAATAAAGAACTCGAATTCCAAAGCAGTGGTTGTCAAGCCCCTGTGCCCCGCGCGTGCGCACCTCCAATATAACCTAACCTTACGGACGAGCCAATGCCACCAGAGTTACGCACACGCATACAGCACGCGTACGCACAAGCACACAGCTAAGCAAGAATTAGACTCTGTTCTACAACCTGTCGTTGACCACAGACCGGACTCAATCCCCGAAATCCTTTTTGCACCCGTGATCCTCTCGCTTTATCGAAGATCACGGTGTATCAGTGCGAATTGAGTCCCACTTTCACAAGCTCGTGGCCTCCTCTCGTTGACCAAAATATAGAAAGACAGATTCTTTTGTTGTAGTTATGATGGCTCACGGAAGTGTTCGAACATTTTATTATATACAGTATGTATGTTGTACAAAATATTTTAAAGTTTCTTTAGTGCCGAAATGGGATTTATATATATTGTAAGATATAAGTCCCCCTTATATATAATATAAATATGATATAAATATTTTTTTTTAAACTAATTTCAAATCCGACTGATATGAACACTAATTATGACGGCTTTGCTTCCTTGTGGCTCCAAAATGCTCCAATAATGTTCCAAAATATTTTACGTAACATATAACACGTGAGTCACTACATTTATTAACTAATAATTATTTAATTAGAATGACGTACATATATATTAAATATATATATAGTACGCGATCCATCTATTTCCCTTAATTGCTAAAAGAATATTTTGGTCCGAATGAAATGGAAATTTACAATTTCTGTAACTTTCTTTTTAAATTTCTCTTTGCATTAAACCGCAATGACTGGATGAATCTCTTTATAAAAATAGTTTTGAAGTTATATCGCAATTTTAGAATAGGGTTGAAACTGATGTTAATTCTCCACGAGGAAACCCATGGTACTCCGTTACACGTAACAAACAGGAACCAAGAGAATCAGATTCCCGTTGGTCGAACGCATTTGACAAGTGGATCCTTCCTTCTGTTGATTGTCGATTAATGACATGAACTTTTATTCTCTTCGCATCGTCATGTTTCATCCCGATGAGAAGACACATGACCAACTTAACTTCCCTGCTCGGCATGCATGGCGATTGCTTAACTAAAACGAGCGACGAATATTTAGCCGTATATGTGTCACATGCTATTTTAATCTACTTCCCATAGCCACTGCTTGTTCAACCATTAACGCTGTAACGTTTAATTAAATTGCTACTCTCGCGTTGTTTTATCTATACACTTACTGCTACTAATTAAGCAACAAACAACAATAATTAGCCCAAGTATTAGTAATGTTTTCTTATCGATGGCTAGTTACCAGAAAGTTGACAATTCGCTCGCGTATCAAAATTGGTGCGAAATCAAAATGTATGTATGTATATATATATTTGGCTGAAAAGATTACAAATTGAAATATTAATTAGCGATATTGATTGATGTAGACTGACGTTCAAAGTTATGAGCAACTTGAATCAAGTTGATTAACAAAATTTATTGGCGCATCGAATTCTTTTATAATACAAACGTTGTCTGAAAAATGAAAAAATTACGTACGTTTAAAATCTTCTCTCGTAAATTGCACGTTACACGCAATTCCTTTTAAATATACACAATACCACGACGAAGGAAAGACTCTAAGTGGACACGGAGACTTCAGCTCCGTGTCTTTCTTTACGCGTTACGGATTGTCTCGACTCTTTGTACATGTAAACTTGTAAAATCTTCGATTTTACGACTTGGCTAACATTCTCAACAATAATATAATGTATCTTGTAGAACGCAGGCGCATTATACAGCGCGGTATTATCCGAACGAGCGTTTTTCCAATTGTCAACAATTAACCGACTGTTCATTGCGTTTTATCCGTCGTATTCAAATTTCACGAAAATATACTGGTGGCTCACCCCTTCCGGCAGGTGATCACTCCGCAGCGACACCGTGACGAAAGTTTTGTGACACGGTAAACAGCGTATACAGGTCCCCCTTCGTGCGCGTTCATTACGATTTCACGACGGTGAATCAGTGAACGTGGGCAGAGCAAAATGTAAAATAAGGAAAATAAAAAGAAGGCGAGAGACCAAGAAAACAAATAATATAATCACGCTTGGGCACACTCACCCTTTTCCATTCGATCCAGCCGTGCGATCTATCCGTTTCCAGATCCCTTCGATTTCTTGCGAACCGATCGCAATTTTCCCTCGTCGGTGGAAAACGACGTGCCTGTGTTAATAATGTTCACCGGTGGGTAGCTTCATTTTTTTTTTCTTTTTTTTTTCTTTCTCCAGAACGGTCGTCGCGAGCCTTGCCGAGTCCGACCTCCTACAGAATACGACGCTTGGCGTCCACCAGCACACTGGAATGCAGACCGACGGGTTTTGAACCGCGATAAAGTATAGTAACCGACGTACGTATGCCTCGATCTAGGTACTCACGTGCAGGTTGGTACGTCGCTGTCACGTGATCAAGTGCTATTCGAATCGGGTTGATGAACGCAGGTGAGCTATCTCAAGGATCGAACACCCAGAAAATTGTCAAACGCGAGGAGAAAGTGGAAAAAAAGAAATTTTGAGTTTATATCGCGATTTCGTTGGTTTCAGGGTGATCATGAAGAGGGAATTTTTCGCTGTGGAATATTGGATATCGTGCACGGCACGCTCCCGTGGTCAGCGCCATCTTTAAAACTTGAAACGCGCCAATTACAATTTCACGGAACAGAAACTATAATGTACCGAGTCTTTTGTTCATTGAAAAGAATTTTCTGTTGTATGACACAGATATAAATGATTTAAGAGTGGAAATATAGAAATATATATTAGTATATTGTATTCAAAGTAACATTAATTAACAACAATTGATTTCTGCCTTTTTTTTCTTTTACACTTCTTTGTGATCAATAACCTCCTTTGTAGTTATGTATATATGTGTGTGTATGTATGTATATATATATGTATATATATGTTTATGTACATACACATACATATATAGATAGATTACATATCGTAGTATGTCATATTGAAAAGGATGCAAATTCAAATAATCAATTCTACCCAAATTTGATTTCTCCTTTTTTTTCACATTCTTTTCATTAATAAAAACCTATTTTGGTTACAATCTAAAATATTAAATATTTTTTTTACTCCATTATGTAAGCAAGGTCAAAAACTTAACAAACATTTTACAATGTATTCCATTTTAAAATGAGTAATAATGATATTAATATTAATAATAATAATAATAATATTACATACAACAAAATTCATACAATATACAACTTGTAGATATACATATAAATAAACATCTGTTCCTCAAAATAAATGATTTCTGCGTTTGGCACGATGTCATGTAATGGAAGCAAATTAAACACCATGTTATACATTTTGATTGTCCGTGGCTAGTCGCGATGCGATGATTTATCATGATTTGCTTCTTATACTTGATGCTTCTTTACCTTTTTCTTTTCTTTTCTTTTCTTTTTTTTTTTTTTTTTTTTTTTTTTTTTTTTTTGGTGTTCTGCTATTATGTTGTCGACGGTGTTTTTTTTTATTTCATTTAGTATCAGCCGGTCTTATTTGATATAGGAAACAACGATCTTTTAATGTTGCATTAAATTAATAATTTGTATGCGTTTAAGGATTATGCGAGCTTACGAAAAATGACGGTCTTATATCGCAATTTACGCTACAATAATACTTCATAAAAAATACTCTATAAGTTAACTATCTTGTACGATTAGAGTTTTTACAGTTTTTTTGTATACTTATTTCTCTCTATACAAACGCGCGCTGTAACATTGACTTGTACATATTGTAGTAGATGAAGATACATTTCTTTTTTTTTTTCTTTTTCTTTTTTTTGCTTTTTGTTTTGTACGGACCGGCTGACTAACGAGTATTTTGCCCAATGTCAGGATATACTGGTACATATTGCTTTATATTCACTTTGCTAATCGATTATTCTAATTTGTAACGGATCGATTAACCCTATGTCACTATCCTTATAAATGGCATCCCACCCCCTAATTTATTTAGATTAGAATAAACTACATGGAAGAACAGATCTTCAGTCATAGCAAACAAAAGCTAGGACTAAAAATTTTCAACAAATAGCGTGTGAAAACTGTGATATTACTTTCAATATATATGTATATATATATAATAGAATATTTATAATATATTGCTAGTTTCAATGATGCCATTCTGTCTATCTATAGATCAGAATGTGTAGGTGTCAGCAAGAATGCCAATTAATATCAGAAAAGTGTCACTCTTCCATTCCTCATTTTCCCCTCTTTCCCCTTCTCTAAACGATAAAACTTATAAAGCTCTAAAACTTGTTTTACCAAAATATAATTAACAACAACAACAACAAGGTATGTTCACTTTTGCAATAATATCACAGACAATAGAAAACGTAAAGTCTACAAAAACTGGTCTTGCTCGTGCGTATACAAATTTCGAAAAAGAACTGCCCGCTACCGAACACGTGCTTGCTTTTCTTTTGTTTCTAAAGCATATTTAATATATTATATATATATATATATATAGATATATATTTCTGTATATTATATAAATATGTGTGTGTGTGCTAAATAGAATAATTTTACGGTGAAATGTATATAATATTTCTCTCAAAAACTGAAGTTCCCTCGATCGCGTATAAACATGGCATTCTTCCTTGCACCTTTTTTTTTTTTATAATCGTGGATATTTTCCCTTTGTAGCTGACTAGCTACAATCACATAAAATTTTTTGGCAGCGCGCCTTATATTCGATATTTGCCCATTTTTCTCTTTTTCAATATTTATCGTATCGTCGATCCGCTTTTGTGATGCTAAAAATTAATTACTTTCCACTCTCGTCATTCTCGCACGTTAATAACATCTAACACTTTTATTTTAGCGTAACGTTCTTAAGTGCAATAACTTTACTGACTGAAAATTATCATCAGCACTTCGCCGACTTGGAAAGTAACTAGAGAGTAAACGTTAGAGAATAAACAGTACATGGTTAATAAGTTAAAACTAAATTGCACCTTTTTTTAAGAAGCGACAATAATGAGTCTCGCATGTACACATTTCGAAAGGTATCTGAGCCAGCAGTAACATATATTACAAGTAACAATTTACCTGTTAATAGCATTTGTGACGCTTAAATATCATTATCAACCTAATAACTGATATCGTTCCATTTTATACATATATATGTGTATATATATATAGTGTAATCGTAAGACTAGAAACGTCTCCGATCGAAAAAATTTCGCCACATTTTAATTGGTAACCAAGTTCATTCGTTTTTTTCTTTAAGAGTGTGTGCTCTCACTTTTACACGTTCGTTATTCAAAACCAAGATTATGCATTTCACGTTTTATCCCTTTTAACGAAGGTTTTGTATTATATATATGGCATGTAAATACATGGAATTACTTAGGCTGCGCTACCATGCTGTGTTTGTAGTGTCACGCAAGATATAATTAGTAAATGGTTTAAGCTAATGAACTGTGTTTCTTTTTCATAATTTTTTTTTCTTTTTTCTTCTTTTTTTTTTTAGCAATTATTAGGAAGAGCTTTTATCACGCGGGCAGTGCCCTGTAAAAATATACGTTCTCTCTATATAGAACTACAATATCAATGTATACAAGACCAGTTCATCGATTTCAGATACATCTTCATTATTTATCAGGTATTCACAAGATCTCTTAATATTATAGATATATTTGTTTTTTTATTTTCTTTTTTTATAAAAATAGGATGACACTCTTGCCTTATACCTTTATACATTTCTTCCAATCGATACTTATCAATTCGACGCTACATGTATATATATATCTATATATATTGATGTTTCAACAAATTTTTTTCTAAACTGGTCTGTGCATACATTACAGGATCTACATATGTACAGCATTGTTCAAAATCATCTCAAAAGCCACGAAGAGAGTAGAAAAAGGCATGAAATGATAATATTGTTCATTTCAAATCCATATTCAGTGTACCTCGACTTTTGTTTCCTTCTTTTTTCTTTTTTTAAAGTTCTTTTCGTTATATAGCTTTTCGCGGCACACATTTTGCACACATACAATTGCGTATATGACCAGATGTATTTTGAGTGTAAATGAATGAGTATGTGAACATGAACGTGTATATATGCGAGTGAAAGTGAATGAACGCGCGCGTGTGTGTATGTCTGCGTCTGTGTGTGTGTGTGTGTGTATATATATATAATCTTTTTTTTAAATATATTATCAATTTCTCTATCGAATAGATATCAATTATATTTCTATACATATCTACAAAAAACCTAATATAGAACTCTATTATCATTAATTAAACTCTCTATGAATTAATATGTATAATTGTCACAACAGGTCTAAAAAGTTTATCGTTATTTTAGTTTTAGTACGCGATATTGTTTTCTTGTTTTCTCATTGATGTTCCATGAGCCACTTATAATTGTATTCATGTCTTAACAATACCTTGAGAAAGTAATTTTCCACCTTTTAACGCTATCTTTCTATTATTGCTTGTTGCTTAGTGCTATTGAATATTCATTTTGGCATATAGCGAGTTCTAACCCTGAGCGACCGCCAATTTTTTCTTTCCTTTCGCCACCCTTACATTGTCGTTATTCTTTTTTTTTTTTAATCTTTTAAATAGAAATGCACCTAATAGAGCTTTTTCTTTTCTCCTAATTCGATAGAACACATCGCGTTCTTCTCACTCTTTCTTCTTAGATGTCTAACAAATCTAATCAAATTCTTATCCAAAGAGACAACAGATTCATCGTCAACGACGCACCATTTAAGTCCATTGTCAATGAAATTCATACCGAGGATAGAATTTTGAGCTCAAAGTTCGCATTTGAATATGGAAAAGAAAAATAGGAAATTTGCGATGCTACGTATGTACACATTATAACCGAAGTATCCTTATATAATTTGTTTTAAATACCGCTTCCCTTCACTCCACTTTGGCCAATGCTTACGTCTTTTCTCTGGTATGTTCGAATAATCATTCGAGGCTGAACGTTTTTTCAGCTTCGACGTACCCTCGGACTTTGGCGTCGAGTTAATACCTTGTACATGATGCGTTCTATTCTGATTGAGCGGTGTGGTAACACCAGCTAGATTTAAAAGCGCGTCCGCGCCTTCCGCTATTTTCCGCTGCTCATCGAAATCGGGATTTGTTTCCTTCCTTGGATATTTACTTGAGAAACAAACACGTACAATTTATTATCTACAAAGTTGTTTTGCCAGACGAAAGTTGTTGATTAATGGCATCCTTACCTTTCTTGCCTGACTGAGGTAATGCAACTGTAAGTGTGGTCCTCGCTGGAGCTCCTGGTGATTACAGGAACCAATATCTCGGATTCCGGTATTTTCCGTTTACGATCTGCAACAGAATTGAATGAGTTATCGAATGTAATGTTCGTTCGGCAAGTTCGGTCATCTCCTTCATCAGATACTTTACCTTTATTGTGATTTAAAATAATGGGTCCGTGTTTAAAGGAAAGCATAGCGGCTGCAGCTGCGTCTACATCGCTATCTACTTCAGTGTCTGTGTTGTCGGTAATGTTGCTCGATGCCAGTCTTTTGGAGAGGTATGGAAACAGAATGGGATCAGGTAGACGTGTACCGGTATTCTTCTTTTGTGGTTTTTCAGGGGAAGACAAAGTTTGAGCGGTTGGAGGTGGAAAAGGAGCGCGGGATAACGCTTGTATCAGATTCGGACGATACTGGGCGTCTACCATCCATAGCGAACCTTTGCCCAAATTCTAAAAGGAAAGACGTTTCACTAAATTTTTTTTTTTATTTTTAGAAGAGAGACGATTTTTCTTTCTCTCTCTCTCTCTCTCTCTCTTTTTTTTTTTTTCTTCTCACGAATATTATGACATGTAACACTTACTGGTGCTTTCTCTACTTTACGGAAGCATTTATTTAGGCTTAGATTATGTCTAACAGAATTTTTCCACCCAGTCGGAGCGTTCCTAAAATATGGAAAGTGATCCAATATCCAAGCATATACTTCCTTGACTGGTAGAGCTTTTACTGGGCTATCTTCAATAGCCATGAAAATTAAACAAGAAAATGAATATGGCGGTTTACTGTTTCTATGCAAGTGAGGATCATATGGTATATGAGTTGGGTGTTTGTTGCGATTTGAGACTGGCAGATTATTGTTGTTCAGGGATATCTTCGTCTGATTGTTTTGCGAGGTGCTGTAATGACTTTTTACAGATTCCTGAAAGATTTGCATTGATTTTTGACCATTTTTATTCGAATGTTGATAGTTTTGACTATTACCATGCGACGCCGTGTTATTTATCTTGCCACTATTATCTGCTGCGAAAAATTGAAACAAAAAATGAGAATTACATTCCATCATTGTCATTGTCGTTGTTGTTGTAACAGCTACAAGCTAAAGATTGGAAATTACCTGGGCAGTAACCATCGTCTAAACTCGATACAGAATTGGTGTTCTCAGAGAAGTCTGCCGTATCGTCGCAGACATTGTTATTCAACGCGTTTTCGTTCTTCGTGTCTTTCGTCGGATTTGAAATGTCCAAACCCTTCAACAAGTTCTGCTGATGAAGCCAGCTCAACGAGGTCAGATCATCGTCCGACTGGCTGTTCTTCTCGACAGATTTGTCGGACATAGAAAGTTCCTCGGTTGAATTCGTCTCGACAAAAGCACTCGCATTTTCTTTCTCCTTCATCGTGTACACTGTTTCCCCGAAGTTGAAAACCTGCGTGCTGCTCAGTCCTATGCCGGTCTCCACGCCTGACGCGTCCGGTCTATCTGGCGGCATACTGGGTCAAGTACCTTCTTCGTCACTGCAAAACAAAAGTTGCGTTAATACCAAACAGCAACAGAGACACGGCCGGTTCTCAATTAACCTTGCTATCCTCCTCGCTCGCATCTCTTCAGCCTACAGTCTCCTCCGTTTTTTTTTTTTTTTTTCCCCGTTGGATACTAAAACTAGATATACAAAAACTATACTTTGGTGTACTTTATACTTTGGTAACGCAATGTTCGTTTTTGGTCACGTGGACTCGAGGAGAGACAGCGAGAGTTACCGGTTCTTTTCAAGTCCCTTAAAATCATCTTGAAGGTCACTAACAACTAAGGTTATATTTTCGTTACTGGTAGTTGCTCGGCTCGTTTCGAGGAGGAGGGACGTTTGATCCGTGAAGCGGCGAAGAATCGACGAGCTTCGGTCGCCAACGAGGCAGAAATACTGTTACCAAGCAACAGCTTCTCACGATCCTAGCAACGTGCGCCTTTACACCCAATAAACGAGTAAGAGTTTCGGGGCAAAAGTTGGATCTCTTTAATCAAGAAAGAAAGAAAAAAAAAAAAGAGATCAACGTTGTCCCTAACCCAGCGAAAAGAAAGAATTTAAGACTTTCCACTTCACTCGTTAACCTCTCAGCTGTGGTGCCATTTTTAAAAGTGTGTATCCGCATTGTGTCGCTCTAGAACGACGAACGCTCTCGTCAAATACAGAGTACGTACAGCTGCTGTAAAATTGAACTAAATTAGTTAAAACTTATAACTAGTTTTTTTTTTTTTTTTTTGGAAAATCAACAATCTCATTGTTTGACTTGATTAATATTAATAGCAAGAAAATATTTAGAAAGTTTAGTCTGACAATATTCTAAAAATTTACAAATATGTTTCACTTTGCACAAGAAATTTAATTCAAATAACAAATTGTTATACTTTTCTCGATACTTGTCATTGCATAAAAAATTGCTATTTCTTCATGACGAGTATAGTCTCGTATCATTCACAGCTAAGAGGTTAAACATCGCGAGGCGCCGAACATCGTCGCGACGCTGATGAATAATTATGTATGCACGAAAGTACTAGTCACGTGCATCTGCGCAAAGCAAAATCCAATTTCGAAATACCATATACATATACATATACACATACACACACAAATGAGACACGTGTAACGTATTCGTTTCGAATCGTGACTTTGTATCTGTAAAAAATGCGTAAAAACAAACGAGATGCGAAAGTAAACCGTACAGATTGAGAGCGAGAGAGAAAGAGAGAGAGAGAGAGAGGTTTTGTCTCAAATAGAGACGTTCGTTTCGTTTTCTATTTTCGGTATCGCACGGGGAATACCGTTTAATTACGGAAGAGGAGACGCGTGAGTTGAAGCGAAATTGAATTACCGCGCATGCGACGCGCCTGTAGCCTCGAACCCAGATCATCGACGTCGTCATTTGTTTATCCGCCAGCAAGCGACAAAATGGCCGCCCGCTGTCGGGAAACACATTGCAATCGGAAATAAACTTTGCCGTAATCAACGAATATGCCGAGATGCTCGTCGCGCTGTTCACCACATTTCAACTCGTTATCTTTCTTCGGATTCCATGGAATTTCTCGCGATGGTGGCGACGTGTTTTTTAAATCTTCAAAAAAAAAAAAAAAAAAAAAAAAAAAAAAAAAAAAAAGAAAAAAATAAATATGGCGTCGCCTAGTCGCCGCTCTCTTCGACACGTTTTTCGCCATATCGCGAGCAAACGGGGGGATCGATCGAAAAACACTATCTAACAACACTTTTGAAAATGCAATATACCTTTGTGTGCGTGCGTGCGTGCGTGCGTACGTGTGTGCATGTGTTTTTCTTTTTTCCTTTTAAACAGGCGACTGAAGGAGGCCCAATGTAAAGGGTACGTGGAACGTGATAAACAGATTTGGAGGCGTATGAGTTTCAAGTTCGGAGGCTCGCGGCTCGTCGTCGTTTCCCAGAGAAGGACGTCGCGGATACGCGAGGCGAGAACGTCGACGAATGCGAGACGGGATAACGGGAGACATGGGGACGAGAATTCGGGAACAAGCGAGACATGTCACTGCGTTACTTGTTGAATTCAAACATGGAGCCGATAATGATTACGAAACTGGAGCAAACATGAAAATGGCTACGGCATCGCTCGCACACAACACGGCACGCACTCCGTCACGCGTCGCGACGATCACGACGACGAGAGGACGATCGGCATCTCGTTACAGAGGCGAGGTTTAAATGCACCGACTACACTCCTCCGTCGACCATATTTCGCGTATTTTCACGGTACGCGTCATTTTTCAGGTCGTTGAATTCAGACGTTTCTCGAGCGTTTAAACAATATTGATCAATCGACGAACACTTTGCACAACGTTCCCAGTAGATGCCGATTCTTTGCTCGTGTTCTGCACGACGAGAACCAGACGTCGGAATATTCAAGAGGTGAAACAGCGTTTTGCGTCTTTTCGGGGTTTTTTAACCTAGTGTGTCCGGATTGGCGAGGCCGCGTTTCAATTTCGCGTCAGAAGCCATCGATGCTGAGCAATACGAGGTTTCTTTGTTTCTTTTGCTTTTTTTTTAAGAAAGAACTCACGTATCGGAGTAGACAGACGGCGGTCTCCGTTGGTTTTCTGAAGACGGGCATCTCAGGCACACTCTACACAACACCCAGCTGATTGAGACGCCATGTTTTGACGTCATCACGTGGTTACCGAAACATTTCGTATCGCATCTTCGACATCGATTAATCGTACTTAGTCAGTTACCCGCGAAAATACGATTTTCAACGAGGCATTCTAGCGAAGAAAGCTCGTCTTGTTTTCACAAGACGTTTCATTCGGTTTATATTACGATCTACGGGTGTAGTTTTTTTTATTACAGACGATAATAAAATCCCGTTTTCAATGAAATCTAAATTTATTTCTTCTCTTTTCTTTATTACAGTATCTATCGAAAAGCAATGTTCATTTTCAAATTATAAAATAGATAGCTGCAATAGCTGGATACGCTGGGCGCTACATGATAAAAGGATAAATGCTCGTTTTCGGAATCTAAAAACAGTCACAGCCCAGTAAACCGCGATACTGATAACAGTGTTCGATTCATCGTGTCGATAAATACGATTGCGCTATTGTATTATATTTCCATACTTCTACAACTTCTCCATTTATATTATATTTACATATTGCTACAACGTACTGCACCATACTCTGTTCGTAGAATATTATAATTTTCTACTAACAGCCTGCTCTCACAGAACACGGTTTTCTTTTTTAACATTAAATTACCGCCATTCTCTGAAAAACACATTTTATAAAAAAGACAGGTACACTCATGGCACAATTTATAGGAAACGCTTTTTACAATACTGTATTAAAATATTAATTTCTTTTTCTTTTTCTTTCTCTTTTTTTTTGCTCGTTTGACGAGAAGGAATTCCAACATTGCCCGAAGAAAAATAAAAATTACGCAAACAACGTTTATGAATTTACAAGCAACTCGTACAAAGTCTGAGAAGTATTCGTCAATGTATATTGTGCAGATCGATTGATATTTCAAAGAAATCATCAATGCTCTCTTCTATCGACGTTCGCCAACGTTTCTTAGACAATTTTTATGCACGAGTCGCAGACACGTACTGGCTTGTCCCATCCTCTGTGTGGCACAGGCTTACGATGTTGCGAGCACTTTTGGCATACTCCGCGTCCGCAGTCTCTGCAATGGTGTAAAGTGAGAGACATGGAGAACTTTTGGTAGCATATGCAACAACGGACGATTTCCGAGTCTGGGACCCAATAAGACGGTCGAACTGTATCTTTGATAAACGCTAAATGGATTAAAAATTAATCAGCATTAGTACAAGTATCCAGACGCGATTACGCTTCTCTTCTGAAATATATGTCCTCTTACATTTTGAATAGTTTAAAACAGTACCAACTGCATTAATAGTAGATACCACTTGCTCTGATACTTTTCTAGCGTTGACGTCTTCTGCAGATTCAACGGGTTCGTCCTTGTTGTAACAGATGTCACAAACTCGTACCGGTGTGTGCCAATTTCTGGATGGAACACATTTCGTTTTGGATGAACACTGTTCACAGAAGCCTTCGCCACACGCTCGACAGTGGTGTTTCGTATCGGTCAGTCCAAATAACGTCTTACACTTGTGGCAGTGCTTTATTTCATTATTCGGCCTCCAATAGGATGGGGCAACCTGATCCGCAATCCATGCCGAGAAAACTTTAGTTGGTTGCAACGAAACATTGGTTACAGCTTCGGTAATGTACGATACACCGTCGACTACTCTTTGTGCTGTATTTTGTGTTATTGCTGAATTATTTGCCTGGAAAAAATAATTAATTAAAAATAAAAAAAAAAACGCAATGGAATTACTTTTCTTGTTATCTACGTACCGTATTCCACACGTGTGTGATTTCTGTACGAACGGCAAGATCTTCTGGATTGTTGTTACCATACCAATACTGACGGCTCCTGTATATCTCTCCGCAATGTGGACACTCTATTACATCTCCTGACCACGCATATTTAACTAACCCGTACCAGCTGTTGTCATTTTCAGTTTGTATTCGTTTCACAACTTTAACTTCATTTCCATTGCTATGACATCTTTTGCATATATATACTACGTTTTCATACTGATGCTGGTATCGACACCTAATGAAACATATATCGGTAGTATACTTTTTAATACATATGTACTACACTGAGCGAGTGATAATTAAATGCAAGACCAACTTGTTCTCGCTAGTGTGAGCTTTTCCCTCTAAAAGATGTCCCATACTGCTGTTGCATCTGGACCCACAGCTGAGACACTTAACAGGACAGGTGAAATACTGATCGGGAAACAAAATAGAAAAATCCTCCATTTCTCCTGAAAATTTCTCGTTCAAAATTTTCAATGTGTTGTAAACTAAATGTGGCTTTCTGGTTGATCGGACAGTAGTGTTGGCCAATTCTTTTTTAATGGTTGTTTGCAAAAGTTCATAATCAGTCATAGAATTTGTTCTTTGTACACCCACGTATTTTATGGAATTGAACGCTTCAGTTTCAAGCTTCATTTGAACAAAACGGGTCCGAAGAATATCCTCCGCGTTTTCTAAACCATCTGCCATAAAAAAAAAAATAGCACGTTAATGATACAATAAATGATTTAATTATTTTATTTCGTTTTGCGGATAAACTCTTATTTTGAAATTACTGTTAATCTGAGAATGTGGCAATATGTACTGTTGGTCAAAGGTTTGGTGTATCTAGTCTCATGTAATACTATAATGCTTGGTCCCAGAGCACTCAAGGAGCCTTGAACTCCTTTCCTTTGTCCTATTGCTTGCAAAGCAGCTTGAAAATGATGACTGTATGCTCTCGACGCAGTACCAAGAAACGTAAACAAATCTCTATTCAGCTTTTCAGATTGTGTTCTATAGACAACAACATCAGACACAGCAAGAACTTTAAGTAACAGTCTCGTTCTTTCATTCTCATGAGAGGTTATACCTAAGACAGATAAATTACATCAAGATAATCATTAAACAAATATAAATACATATTAAATAATACATACCTAATAAACCTTCTGTATCCAAACATATCACGTTAAGAACAGGATCAAGCGCAGCCCAAACACCTAAAGTACAAGAACCTTGATCGTTTGAGGTCTCAAACACTTCTTTCCCCTTGAAAAACGTTTCATTTAAAGTATGACTTTTTCCATCACCGGTATTGCCAAAGATAGACACCACCTTTACTTCCAGATCTTTATCAGTGCAATTTAACTTTTCCATGAATTGTTCAGCACTGTTAACCCTCAGATATTCCTGGCCGTCTATCAACAAGAAACTTTTAGGTTGGTTGCACTGAGATTTCATGTGTATCCCATTCTCCATTCCATTTCCATTTATGGAATCACGGCTGGGATGATGTATATGTTTGCTGCAGATACATGTTGTGTCCAAACTCTTCATGATAGCTGGACCAGTCGTTGCCAATTTGTGTTCTTTCCAAAATGTATTCATGATGAGGGATGAACTAACGGTGTTATTCTGAGAATGTTGCAAACACCTTTCATCAACTGTGTCAACAATCAGAAATCAAAAGCTCGAAATTGAAATTGCTTAACATCACTGGCCATTTAATGGAATGAAAAATACAACATATATAGTGAATGACATTGCAAGTTGATACTATATACAACTGCAATATAGCAATGACTCAGTATACAATGCACACACGGAATGACTCTAGAAGAAAAGAGAAACAAAGCATTGACTTTGCCAAGCAACTGCGCAAATTGACAAAAACCGCAATGGCGACCTTACCTTTCAAAGATTACAAACAAACGTTTGAAAATTGCATCGGTACAACAATCATGCTTCACTGATACGTATATACAGAAAGAATTTGCAGAATTCCAGACTTCAATCGGTTGTTATTGGTACGTCCATTACGGGCAACTAAATGCGATGCGCTCCGATCTTGAGACTGTAATTGCAACAGGCAGCTCTTTGAAAAGTCGCCCCGAGCTGCAACTGAAAGTAACTTCAAGGCTAACGTTCCGAGATTTTACTCTTCTACCTGCGAATATATATATATATACATAGAAACGTAGATGTATGATATATACATGTATACATAGAAACACACACATATACATAGACATGTATATGTGTGTGTTTCAGCTTTTTCTTTCCCCGATCATGGAAATTACAAAACATCAATAAATTGCCTCATGGCGGCGGCATTCGTTACCTTAGAACGATTTCTCCGACCAGCTTGCGATCGTTAACGTATAATTGGGTATATTTATCTCGGTGCTATTTTCATTATGCATGCCACATCGACCGAATTCGTAAAACTTACTGATATTTATTGCATTACTCTGATGCGAACTACGTGCTCGTAATGTAATCGTGGCTTCTCCTTCGCAAAGGAGAGGGGGTAGATAGCGATGATGAATGTTGGTCACAGTCACGTCACAACGTGATTCACGGATTCGTTCATGGGCAATTAGTTCTCACGCTCGCTTTGTTGCGAAATCGTATGATCGCAATAATACATATGTTAATTTTACGTTCTTCAAATTTTTGATTGATTTTCGATGAGATCTCTGTTCAACACTTTAAAATTGATATAAAATTTTATCAATTTCATATAACATCGTCGAAATTTCTCTCGCGTAGAATTGTAGATTATTGAAAATAATTTGATAATATTGAATTGATAATTTGAAAAAAATTAGAGTGGATTAGAATTTAATCGAAAGTATCCAATAATCAATGAAACTTGAGGGAAAATTAGAATAGCTTCTCGATTCAGGCTGGAAGGTTGAAAACTTTCAGGATTTGTTGCACACATGTTTAAAATAAATATTACGCAATAATGTAACAAATATTATGAACAGCATATTTATACAGTAAATATTATACATGTATAAAAGTTGTATGATATATTACCAATATTACTGTTACATTGTATATATTAATAAGAATATTGTAAGATTTATGACATTAGTTGTAAAGTTAGCTTTAGTAATATGCAAGTTACAAGATGCATATATTAGGTTTACAGATATATATGTATATATATATAAATGTCTATAAATAACTATATATATACAGAGTGTTCCATAAGTGGTGGTACAACCGAGATAACGAGTCGAAAACAAAGAACATTTTCTTATTAAAGAACGTTTTCTTTGTTGGTCGAGGAAAAAACGAATTTGAAAATTTATCAAGTATACTCGAATTTAATTAATTCCGCATAAGATAATTGATATTCAAGATATTGTATAATAATAGAATACAAAAATAAATGAAAAGTGTAGAATAAAATTGTTTTCGTTTAAGGCGGCATTTTCAAGAGAAATAGACTTTGAATTTGTTTCGTTGGTAATAGTCTTGATATACGTGTATTTGATAAATTTTCAATTCAATCTTTTCGAAAACGAAGCATCTGACACAAAAATTTTAATATACATTTATATAATAGTAATATATATAATAATTTAAATTTTTCCGTTTTTTTCTTATTTTCGCGCGTAAAATAACCTCCTGTTAATTATTCTTTTTTATCACGTCTGTGACAATTCGCTAAATTCACTCGTACAACACTTCGATCAACTTGTAAGCTTAATTATCTCGAAAACGAAAAGTTTAGGTTAGGTTTGGAAAATTTTATTTTGTCCCTTCTTTTTGACTTATTCTTTCGCATATAGTAGAATCACCTTCAACCTATATTGTTGTAACTATAGTTACGGGACACCCTGTATACATACACATACACAATTCACAGAACAGAGACGTGATAATAGAAATATTTCAATACTTAAATATCAATGATCTATTAAACAGATAACAGAATCATAGATTACAAATTAACAATAAGTAATAATTCAGTTTATTACAATTAATAGACAGAAACGAAATATGTATGTATTCGCACTCGTTCAAGCTCGATTTACAATCGAGTTATACATAACCTAAAAATACATCTCCGTACGTCACGTAACTCGAGCGAATTTTGTCAAACCGGCGTCGATGCGCGTCCAGCGTTACGTCAACGCGTCGACCGATCGTAAGTACTATCGATCCACGAGTAAATTACGTTTGTAATGGACATTGTTCGTTAGAACGGCGTGCACATTTCGAAACTGTTCTCGATCGAGAGCCGTCGACGGGGCAATCGATTCTGGAGGATTCGATTATCGAGTACGTGCCGTTCAAAAGTATCGATACCGATCGACGAGGAAGTGACTGATAACACGCACCGCTCGGCGGACCGCTAAATCTCACGTCGACGTTGTTATTTCCTCGTTTCGCGTGGACGAGAAACTCCGTCGTCCACGGGCTAACGCGCGTCGCTTCGGTCCCGGTCGTCTCGATGGTGCGAACGAGTCAGTGAGCTCCGGAGGCTGGCGCGTCGGCACGTGTGTCATAATGTCATCGGGAGACTCGGTCGCGGAGCACATCATCACACGTTTTCCAATCGTGCGCGAAAGGCAGTGACCCACCCTGACTCAGGGACTCGACAGTTGAGAATCGGAACGATGGAGAACCACACGCAGGACAATACGATCAACATGAATGGAAGCGGTACGTACGACGTGTGACATTCCCAGTAGCCGAATATCTTGGAATTTCATCTGCATTTAGAACGAGACGCAATTACAGGACTGTATTAGTAAAAGTTTGAAACGAGTATGAAAATGCACGCAGAAACACAACACTGGAGATTCTTTTACATTTGTTTTCACTCTTGTGCTCTAGCTTGTACTCTGTTTCATCCAATATTGCCAATTTCACTGCAAAGCTTTTGTTGCAATTTAGAGGACCTGCGTGAGAAGGTGAATCGACTGGAATCGGAGAATATCAAGATGCGGGAGGAGTTTAATGTTCAGAGAGCCAAGATGAAGGAGCTGTTCCTTCAGAAGGAAGGTAGGTCGAACTAGGTGTTAGTAAACAGAGGCAAGGACATAGAGAACAAGCTTTACGTTAAATAGTGTAAATATTTGGCATTGCAGAGGAGCTGAAAAGAAGACTGCAGGATAACACATGTCTGCAAAAGGAGAACGCCAAGTTGAAGAATGAATTGGACGAGGCAAAGAGTCAGTTGGTCGTAGCCGACCTGAAGATTCAGAATGACATGCAGTTCGAGAAAAGAAAAGCGCAGGAGGAGATAGCTTCTCTGCAGAGGGTTATACACGAAACGATGGAGGAATCCTCTTGTTCGCGCAAGCAGTTAGATGCTGAACTGATTAAATTGAAAATGACGCTTTCTAAGCTGCAAGAGGAGAATGTATTATTGAAGTCGCAGTTGCCAAGGGATCCGCCAGTGGACGGCCCGCAGATATCACTCTCTACAGTAACGAAAACGCTAGCTCGAAAAGTAGTTTCTCAATTAGGCGCAGATGCTTTGTCCTTAGGTCCCGACAATCTTGAGGAGAGCATGAGGAAGGTAAAAAGATATGTACGTAAGCATAAAGACGTATGATTTTTGAACTTTTTCTGCAATGTGTTTTTCTAGCGGCGCTGCATTCCAGAAAAGTGTTCATGAATCATTTCGAACAGTGTCGTTACAAAGCGTTCATTTTATTGCTTGCTTTTTATGTTTCCTTTTCAATCTTAATATTACAACGCGAATAGATCAGAGATCTTTGCCTCGCAGGCGCAGGAGGATGCGGAGGTTCTACGCTCGTTGGTTGTGCCACTCGAGGAGGAGATCAAAGCCTTGAAGGAGAAGCTAAGGGCGACGGACGACGAACTTCAGAAGTGCAAGGAAGTACAGTTGCAGAAGAAGCAGCAGGAACTTCCTGGCTCCTCCGAATCAGTGTGTGATATGTGCGCAAATTACGAGGCGCAATTAGTCAAGATGCAGGCAGCTGCCAAAGAATTAGAGAAACAGCAGTTAGACTCCGAGCGGATGTTGCAAGTGCAGAAGGAGGACTTGGCCAAGGAGGTAGAGTTTCGAAAAGAGATGGAGGAGAAGTGGAACGAGAAGAAGGAGGAGCATAAAATCAAAGTAGCAGAGCTCACTGTTACCTCGCAAACGTTGCAGCAAACATTAACCGAGCTGAAAAGGATCTTCGAGCAAGTTCAGAGGAACGTGAAGGATGAGCTCGTGAAATTGACACGCGGCCGTGAGGAAGTGCAAAGGCACCTTATCGTGTAAGAAAATTTTTAATATAACTGTTGCTGTTATTTTTATTTCGCTATTTTTCCTTCCGAATCTCGATGTAAAATGAGATTACATCTTTCTCCTGGCGTATCTGACAAAATTTCGCTTGAATATTTGCAGGCTACAAAAGGAGAACGAAAATTTGGTCGGCAAACATAGCAAGCATTCCCAGCAACTGCAGAGCGAGAGTATCAATATGCCGAACAACGTCGAGGAGTTGCACGTTAGCCTTTTGAAAATGCGGGAGGATCTGATCACTGCGAAAGTTGCTCAAGAGGTTGCGCAAGAGAAGGAGGAGACGTTGCGATATGAAGTGACCTTGCTTCACGAACAAATGGAACAGGAAAGTAGAGTAAAGGAACAAGAGATACTGGTATTAAAAAATGAAATTAGTGGTTTAAGGTAATCACTGATCAAGTTTTCTGGCTCGTTCTAATTTTTCGCTAAGCGCCGAATTCTCGTAATTTCAGTAACAACGTTTTACAGAACGCAGCTAGACAAATACGTGCGAGATCATCGATCCCTTGTCGAAAGAGAGGAGAAGCTCGAACGATTAGAAAAACAATTAGATACTGTTTTAAAAGAAAATAAACAGGCAGAGTTGAAAGTGGCTGAGCTACGGCAGAGAGTTACCAGCCTTCAACAAGAGCTAGATAATAGTGAAGCGGTTCAAAAGGACTTTGTTAGATTGTCGCAGTCTTTACAGGTACAAAGAACGATTAAGATAAATTCGATTTCTTAACTGATAAAAGATAACGTTTATTTACGTTGATATTGATCGCAGGTTCAACTAGAAAGAATTAGACAAGCTGGTAGCGAGGTACGATGGCAACATGAAGAGGATGTGGAAGAATGTCCCAGTTGTCATACTACCTTCACCGTTACTAAGAAAAAGGTGATACTGATAAATGTTTTTAATTATCTACGATTCATATCTAAAGCCTGATCGCTGATAAAAAAAATCTCCCGTTGCAGGTACATTGTCGCCATTGTGGTCATATATTTTGTCAATCATGCCTTTCACACGTTGTGAAAAGTGGACCGAAACAAAGACCATCCAGAGTCTGTGATGTTTGCCATACGTTATTGGTACAAGATACTGCACCATATTTTAGTCAAGAACCACCACACACACCTGATTAAATATTCTAAAGAAACTCAGTTCGACAAGATGTGCAATATCAATTTGGTAATTTACCAAGTCAATGAATTTTTGGAGTATCCAAACAGTTGACAATGTATCACTCATTTTGAAAACTTTCAGGAAGATTTAGAGACGCTATTAGTTCAAGAGGGAGCTAGATACGATTCCTATTACCTGACAACTGGAGTGATAAAGTAAATATCGTGTAAATACAAATTATGTACTACTTAATGTTTATTGTAATTTAAAAAAGATTAAAGCTTTTGAATGTACGTGAGTTATTCAAAAAATTTGTGAATATTTATCTACTATCTTGTTATTGATATTATTAAAATAAGTCTCGTATAGAATTACGTTATACATTTCATTCATTGTCATTCATTGGGTCGCCAGCTTGAGTCTTCCGTATTAAAATGAGAGAAACCGAGTGTCATTTCTACATTTATTCTAAAAGCGTAAATCTGTACATACATTCCGGTTATATTATTAATTTATTATTCTGAAATCCAAAAAATTTACCTAGATTTATTACAATTTGTAATATAGGAACAAAACAGAAACAAGAAAAAAGTAATAGTACATCACATATCACATATTTGATTTCACAAGATTGTGAATAAAAATTACAATTAAACTTTATAAAAATAATTACAGTCTGGTTTATCAGACTACGTCTACGATTACGATAAAATAATCTGATTCGATGAATCAAGTAATATCAGAGACTTTTTCTCTTTCGTTTAATATTTTGTAAATCAATCGAGAAACAATCGTGTATAAATCTTAAGAGATAACAAACATGTTCTAAATGCTGCTGATAATCGATCGTGACGCAAAAACATTCAGCTCTAAACATTCTTGATTTTTTTTTCCTGCTAAAACTAGTCGTAAAAGTAATTAATACGTACAAAATGGTGAGGTACAAAGAAGAAACATGAAGTTCATGTGACTATGTTTGAGAAATCTTAACGATACATACTGCCAAAAATATATGATTTACGATACCCTAAATAGTATAACGTAACTCGCAAACTTTCATTCGTACTTTGGCCCGAGTTACTCCAACAAAATTGGAATTGTATATCAGCCGGCGTGTGATAATGATTATTAAAACATTAATATACACCTATATTACATAGAAAAAAACGTCTCGATCACTTCATCGATCGGTTGCGGCCGTCTTTTAGGATCGATCGTCGGCTCTTCCGATTCCAAATGTTTATCTCTCAACATTTTCCAGGTATTCAGTATTGTTGCATACTCTAGAACTTTGTTGTAGTCGTTGAGCTTTGTGTAAACGTTTAAAAGTCCGTGGTAATCGTATTCTAGGCCACTGTAGCTCTTACCGAACAATTTCAAACCTATGGTAAAAATATATGACAAGTGTTAAAAATTTCGATACTCCTATGATAAAGTTTTTCAGCGTCTCTGTATCGGTTCACATGACAATTAAGCTAAGTGTCCTATACTTAATCTAAAAAAAAAAAAAAAAAAAAAAAAATGACAAGTGTTAATTGAAATGTTAAAAATATAGTATATACGCACTAATTTCGATACTCCTATAATAAAGTTTCTCAGCGTCTCTGTATCGGTTCATATGATAATTATATAAGGAAGCTAAGTGTCCTATGCTTAATCCAACTTCGTGATCATCCGGTCCTAGTAATTCTTCTTTAATACGTATAGCTTTGAGATGCATCGCTTCAGCTTCCTAGGATTAACGACGTAGATGTAGCTGAGTCATCATCGTAATATGTCATCGACGTTCAATTACACACATTTACGCGGCATATGTACCTTACATTTCCTCATGCTTTGATAGACACGTCCCAAATTCCCGTAATGTTTTGCCGTTTGTACGTTTCGTTCGCCGAACGCCTCTTTTGCCGATTGCAAGGCGGACAAATGAAGGCATTCAGCCTTGAACAGCAGATTTTGTTTCGACAACGGCGACGACGTAGTATCTAACGCTATTTCTTCGAGAATTAATGCATTTATTCTTTTCGCGCTCGCTAACAACAAATGATCCCCATGTAAAAGGTTTAACATTATGTCTATTGCTTTCTCAATGTGAACACTGTTCATTTAAAGTGAAACAAAATTGTATGACTTGTTTCTTTTTTTCAAAAGATTGTTAAGAGTAATAAGTTAAACAGAATCATTTACCTTGCCTCTGGAAATTCGCCAGACCTATACTCGTATACGTAAAGAGCATAAGCCAGGTCCTCGTGCGCCAACGCAACGTGCAAGTTCATTTTACCAAATATTTCTATTCTAATAGCTAACGCATTCTGTAACAAAACAAAACGTCAGAGTGGTGAACGAGAGATGCATTGATCACGATATTATAAACGTACGAACCTTATAAAGATTTACACTGTTAATTATATTATCAAAGTTTAACCAATAAAATCCGTAATCTATGAGGACGTTACTGTACACCGGATGATCCGTACCGAATACTTCCTTAGCAAGATATACAGCTTGTCTAATTAAAAGACCAGCTCTTTGGAATTCGCGTTTTAATACACACGATTTTGCTGCCTGTCTCAACACATCAACAGTGACACGTGCCGATAACGCTGGCTTCAATTGCTTGAGTGCTTCTATACTCCATCTGAATCGTCGTTAATTGCACAATTAGTAAGGATGTAAGATTTATAAAAAAAAAAGTAACACATACCTGTAGGCTTCGTCGTACTCGCTTTTCATATAAAAAAGTATACTGAACTCAGTATAAATAGCAGCATAATTATAATCGTTATAACCTGCCTTTTTTAACTGTTCTATCAGTTCTACGGCAAGTTGGTGTGTCTTCGCCGCTTGTAAAAATTCGCAGTACGCCGCTTGTACATGCAGCAGCCTAAATATTTAAATTCTTGTTAGAAACTTATACGAATTTGCTACAGAGCATCATATCGTCAAACGTATCTTACTTTCGACAACATTCCAACGTTCTACACCAATTCTGAGGCGTGGAATTGTTCGCTAGGCATAATTGTTTGCACGCCAGCAACACTTGTTCACTTTTCGCGTACCAGCCGGCATCACTGAAGAATCCACCGAGTCTCAAGCCTAGGTTTATCAGCTTCTCCTCGGCAGCTGGATTTTCACTGACATCGAGATAGCATACTGTGTAGCTGATGCTCAGCTCCTCCTCGACCCGCACTCCGTGATCTATAAGACTCTGAGAAATCAATAGAAAAGAAAAGTAAATGTACGTAAGACTTTTAGTACATTTCCTGGGTAGGGACAGAACAATTACCTGAAAGCTTTGCAGTAGATGTACACGGCGGCTAGTGACCGTTAACATTTTGGAGAAGATCTCCAAATTGCTGAAGTCGATCCCTAGTAAGCATAATCTTTTCTCTTTGTACAACTGTAAACAGTAAAATTTCATATGTTATTTTCACCTCACATACTTTACTTACTTGTTATTATTATTTTGATTATTTGTAACTTCAATAACTTAACAAATGGACTTGTGGGCTTGTAGAAAATCTATGTCATGATTAAATTACGTGTCTGTCATATTTATTTCCTATCACTAGCACGAATCTTATTTAAGATTGATGAGATGAACAAACAAGCTGACTTAGCACAAATGGCACAAATTCTTGAAAGTAGCACAAGTCACTCTTTAAATTAAGGTACTTAATGATTTGCTTTTTAATCTGCCTATTATTCTAAACAAAATCTCAGTGTTTTGATACGTTAACACTAGAATTACTAACAACTAAAGCATAAAATTTCCATCATTGAAGTAAAAGAAACAGAAAGAAAAAGAAAATTGTGATTGGATACACAAGCTTTTATTTATATATTTTACGAAGAATCATTCAAGTCTTTAAAAATTCACTATTTTATATCTATAAAATATCTAAAAAAAAATTATCAATTCGTCATTTTGACCATTTTGGTAGTTCTAATATTAAACGCATTATATGATTTGTGTAGAAAGGTTAAAATAGATTCAACTGAGGAACAAACGAGGATAGTGTCGATCACTTAAGAGGTAGCTTTACTGATACCTATGGAACAAGATCACAATTGTTTAGGATCATGCACACAGCATCAACTTTGATTATCTTAAAATCCCCAACCAAAGATATGGTTTTACACATATCTTCTCCCATCAAAAATTTTCTCAGTTTTTTAACATCTATCAACTGCAAATAGTTTGAAAGTAAAAAGTAGAATTGCGATTGAAAAGATCAGAATAGAATTGTAATCTGATCACTGAGGAAATGTTCCACTTTCAAAATAAACGGCACAATTGTATTCCCCTTTGTCAACTGTCAAAGGAGCAGTGACTGGATACTCAGCATGAAGTAAACATTCACTAGATTCGTCGTAAGAACAACCAATTCAACGTGACGAAGCACAGAGGATCGAAATATCCATCGTACTCGTTGAATCGCTACGTCGTTCTAGAAATCATCGCGCAACACTGGGCGAAAAAGCGAAGCATCGTGCATGGGTGTATAGGTTAAGCGTGTGACAAGCACAAGAATCACGCAACCGTGTTTCGTTGGATCACCGTGACCTGTGTTCCTCATCATTCCTCGCGAATTCCAACCTCCGTGGGATCCCCTCTGGTCGCGCTCGTCGCTGAAATACGATCTTATCGAACTGGGTGTCGAGCTGTCACTTGGTGTGGACAGTGTTGTGACAGCGTTCTGCGTCTTGATCAGACGCGCGATTTCACAGGTATCAAGACAACGAAAACAATAAAACTCGCAGGCAGAGCAAATAGCTTGTTACGAAAACGAAAAAGTAAAACTAAAATAGTGGAGAAGTTTTTGGTTAGGTCGATGTAGGAGGTAAAAAAAAAAGAGAAACAGAGGAAAGGTCGATGGTCACTCGGAGTCCGCGAGAGGATGTTCCGACGTTCACCTGATAATAAACGTCGAATAGGACGTCGTTCGGCAGGTCGGGGAGATACTTCCTCAGGCTCAGAAACTTGTTCGCGATCGCCAGCACGCTCAGTTGATAGAGTGTTTTCGGGGAGAAGACCGGTGGACCGTGCGTTTCGGCCATTTTCCTGGGGGGCCCTCGGACAGTCACGGGAGAAAAGTCGGCGCGCGCACAGCTGTGCCCTCCGGACACGGTTGGCTGTCGCGCGCCCCTTCTTGCGCATGCTCAGCCAACCAACCGCCAGCATCAACCCCCACTTCGTGAGAGCAACGGGCACCAGATACGAGAATCGCGCCAATTTCTTTTTCTTCTTCTTTCTCTTTTTTCTTTTCTTTTCTTTCCCCTTTCGAACACTTGTTGCGACAATGAACAACTCTCGCGAGAGTTTTTGCCAACTGTTTGCCAAACCGATGATTGTTCGTTTTATCTTTTCTTTCCTTCTTTCAGGTGACGGGCGTTATCGGGCTGAAAATGTTCGAGTCCAAGAATTGCGAACCACCACTCGGGAATCTTAATGACTCGGGAGTACATACTGCACATTCATACAATTATATAATTCATTCAGATACATACTGTATATAATTCTTATATAAATGTAATAAATGTGATTCATATAGTTTGTTCAAATACATACTGTACACAATTATTATATGAATGTAATAATTATATAGTTAATTTTTCGGATCGTTGTCGCTATAGAATTTAAAACAATCCAAAATTCCTAATTTTTGGGCACTATCTTTCAAAATATTTAAAAACGTATTACCTTCGATAAATTTTAAATTACCTACACCAGCAGCAAACGCGCGCGCCTCCAGTGCACTATTGGACCATTGCTGACGCACCACCGCGCTTACAATTACAATTTAAATTCTTCATTTTAAATTCTTCATTCGACTGTGTTGCCACACTCTGATTGTGCCATCCTAGTAGGAAAATACTAAACGTACCCAGCAAAGAGAACCTGTTTCCAAGAATAAATTTCTTTATTCAAATATTTTCTTGCGAAATCTGATCTTCTTTTCCTATTTTTGTCACTACTGCTTTGTTTCAGGTTTGCACGATTATGAAAATTACGGTTTTTTCGTTTTATCGTAGGTTTTTTTCCACTTTATGATGCGAGTTTAGGAAGACTAAATTTTGGATTCTCTTTAATTTTTAATTTTCCTTGCTATCCGTCTTTCATCACGAGCATCGAATTTTTTATTTAGTGCTGCTCTTGCTTTATTATCTCTGTTTTCGTCCTGATGGTATCTAACAATATATATAACAGAAACGAAAAAAATGATTCATGATACGGCTCTATGATAAGCTTATTTGAGTAAAAGAGAAGGTATTACATCATTAATAAAATACGTAACGAAATAATAAAAGTAATATATACACTCTGATGATAATTACAACTGAATATAAAAATATTAAAGCTAACTGAATAAATTTGTTACCATTTGATGAGCAGAAGACACGTACCTCGTGGGAAACTGTGACTAATCATCGTAGATGTTATTTTATTTTGTCATTGTACATGATATATATTAACGAGTCAACGATGTAGTCTGTTTCCAAATTTCAATTGCTTAGAAATTGTTCACCAGTATTAGGCGAGTTACAAGGCAAATCAGTCAGCCTAACTTAAATGTTCTAACAACTCAAATTAATCCTACCTTGTTCGTTACCACCATGTTCGTATTAACTGTAAGATCACATCAATGTTAAAAATTGATATTTCTTTTCTTCTTTTTACAGAACATTAGATATAACATAATAGTCTGAAGATACCTACGAATTTAGAGAATTTTGAAGGGGCGTATAACGATAATATAGGCGAAATAACGATAATATATTGTATATTAATATATGCGTATATATATCGTTTAGAAAAAAAAAGAGAGTCGATATTGTTGTGATCGTGAAAGAGGCTGATTAATGGCGCCAGCATTGGGCCATGTCTTCTTTGACCCGGGCTTACTTTTTCGAAAAGATACGAGCTGCGGGATAAACGTCTAAGGTGATCTTTGACACGGTACAACATGGCTGAAAAAAAAAAGGAAAGAAAAAAACAGCGATCGGTTAAGCGCGATTAAGAGCAAGTGAAAGAAAATTGGTGCGCGTGTTGATTTGCGAAAGTTTCACTGTCAAATTATACTTCTTTGATCGCACTGTGAATCGGATATCCCGCGATATTTGACGATTATGTCGACTTGCAACAAACAAAATCGTTTGACTTTCGTCCGACCTTCAACTCGTTCCCCGCAATTCCGCACGTTCATTTTAATTGGATCGCGTGCGCGTTCTGCGAGATTTCGCGATCATAACCTCGCATTCCATCGAATACACCTGATTTCATTAACACCAACAACAATTGACACGTTGCTCCCATCGGTTGGCAAACACGCGCGAATCCTGTCGGTAAAGTCGCTCTCATGCGCGTAAATCACGCTACGTATCGATTAGATTTAAAAGTAAAAAATTAAAAATGTACACAAGATATCGATCTAGAATTTAATAGTAAAAAATTGGAAAATGTGCAGAAGACATCGATTGAATTTAAAAGTAAAAAATTTGAAAACGTGCAGATGCGTCTATATATATATATATATATATATATATATATATATATATATATGTACATATATAATACATACAAAGTAAACGAATCTCTAGATAAGTTCCATTCCTTTGACAGATTGTTCGATTCGGTTCAATTGTTTTAGTTACTATCCTATCGAAAGGAATTTGTACTGACTGTATTTGTATTTTTTAGGCGTACGTTCGCTGGTGCACGAGGTGCACAGGATGGAGGAAGAATGTCCCCAGGAGAATAAAAGAGACGAAATGATGCAGGCCGCGGCATCGAACACCTCGTCGAGCAACATTTGTGACGGCCGAGCACGTGCTTCCTGTCAAGAAGAGTTTACGTGTTCCCTGTACATCTCGCGTGCCATCGGACCGCAAGGCCAAGTGCAAGGAATACAAGGTGGCAAATTGCCCACTTCTTTATTTAGCGGATTCTCCACTTTGCATAAGTGATCTCACCCATGCCTGTAACGTGCGAGTTTAGAATTTGTACAGTAGTTAGAAAAAGAAAAAGAAACATTTGTACGCCACTGTGCCCGTTACAGCATTTACGGCGGGTTCACAAAAATGTATGTAGAAAATTTTCGTGTCCATAATATTGGTTAACGAGGTTAATTATATTGGTGAGATTTTTCAATTCTTGAATGAATACTTTTCTGACCTCTTCTGCTAAATATTGTGTAATTTCTACATAGTAATATAGGGTGGGCCAAAAGTCACTACTTACTTAAAATTAAATTTAAAATTAATAAAAGAAGCCCGACGACTGAAAAATTTCGATGGTAAAAGTGTAATTGTAAAAAAATGCGCAAGTGTTCAACTGCTGTACAAATTTCTTTTCTTTCTCGACGCGATAACTGAAATAATGCAGTCGGCAGTTACGGTACGAAAGATATTTTTTTCTTTTTCCTTCTCGTGCTTGAAGAACGCTTCTTGCTTTTGTAACAGCGAAGTTATTTGACGACATTAGTTCCCCTTGACGGTAGATGTTTCGAACTTGTTAGAGCTGACGAATAAGTTATGTCAGGTGGCGAGCTGCTACGTTCCAACCTAGAGGAGGTGATCCGCGCGTCCGATCCTTTGGCAGCCTGGCACGTGTCTGAAACACCTTGCGGCCTGATCGCGGCTTTCACGCGCGAAGCTGACGCAGAGAAATTGCTACAGCGTGGCGACTTGGCGCGTGTTTTCGAAGGACCCGTACAAGTAGATAGAATAAATACAGTAACAGAAAGTTTTTTTTTTTGTTTTGTAAATCAACTTGACGTGTCTTATTTTTGTAACATAGTACTCTATTATAGTATTTTATTAGACAAAAAATTTCTATTTAGATTCCACTAGTTTGTAAAATAAACATATATAAATATACATTTGTAAATAATCATCTGTTGTAAATATTCGGCGTGTGTGTGTGCTCTTTCGGACTGAAAACGAATTGAACGTGTTAAATTTGCATTTGATTTGCAGTGGAATGTCTCGCAGAAAGATAAAGAGACACTTACGTGAGCTTGTGGGTCTTTTAATTTTCCGATTGATGTTCAAGCACGTTCCACGGAGCTTAAATATTTTACCCGCGGTCTTAAAGAATAATTAAACAAGTGTAATAAACTCGACAGTAAATCACGAATAAACGTCATCGTCATGTTGCCTCATATCGTTAAACATTTTTCTCTCCGCTTTCTCTTGTGCAAGAAAATGAGATAACCAAAGCTTACACAACGCGCCTCAATAAATCTCTGGTCGTTTAGAGGACGTGCTTACGAATTTTTATTTGCGTATTTCTCTCTTATATATATATAAAGTAAATATATTTAATTATATAATTATAAATATTATAATTATATAATTATAAATATAATTATATAATTATAAATATTATAATTATATAATTATATATATAATAATAAATATATATACATATATATTCTTTTTTTAATTAATTACAATGTTCTCTTTAAATTAGGTGGCACGATTCTCAGCAAAGGATTCTCGTTATAGACAGGCAGTTCTTCTTCGTGACGTGCCCTGGGCAATTCCCTTGCAGGATATTAACTCCGCACTGGCGAAACAGGGAATTGCGACAGGAAGTGTTGAACGTTGGCGACAATACATACGAGTCGAGGTAATTATAACTGGTAAAACGATAAAGAAAAACGAAAGAGAGAGAGAAGATAAATAGGTTTTCGTTTAAAACCTCTTAATCTTAATTGCACGATAATTTGGCTAAGAATTCACAACAGAATTCCATACTTGTTCAGTAATTTTAATATTTAACTTCACGTACTATATATTTAAATTATATATATATATATATAAATTGATACATGGAAATGCTCTTCTTGTACAAACAACAATTTCATAATTTCACATGTCTATTTCATACTTATCTGGCAATTTTAATGTTTAACTTCACACACTATGTGTCCTTCTCTTTTATATATATAAATTGATACATATAAATGCTCTTCTTGTACACATAGTTTTATCTAAATATCAATTTCATGATTTCATATTTCTGTTTAATTTGATCTGACAATTTTAATGTTTAACTTCACACACTGTGTATCCTTTTCTTTTATATATGTACATATGCTTTTTTTGTACAAACAATTTCATGATTTCACATTTCTGTTCAATTCCATACTTACCTAACAATTTTAATGTTTAACTTCACACACTATGTGTCCTCTTTTATATATATAAATTGATACATATAAATGCTCTTCTTGTACACATAGTTTTATCTAAATATCAATTTCATGATTTCATATTTCTGTTTAATTTGATCTGACAATTTTAATGTTTAACTTCACACACTGTGTATCCTTTTCTTTTATATATGTACATATGCTTTTTTTGTACAAACAATTTCATGATTTCACATTTCTGTTCAATTCCATACTTACCTAACAATTTTAATGTTTAACTTCACACACTATGTGTCCTCCTCTTTTATATATATAAATTGATACATATAAATGCTCTTCTTGTACACGTAGTTTTATCTAAATATCAATTTCATGATTTCATATTTCTGTTCATTGCAATGAATGAACATTCAAACTGAATTAACATCTGATTCTTCGCAATGTTCTACAAACAGTCAGGAAGTTGCATCGTTTGGTCATTAGCAGAATAAAATCAGAACTGATTGAAGTATTCCTCTCAGGTGCTAGACGCCGGGCATTACGAGCTGTTGCTGCGTCAAGGACTGGACTTCTTTGGCGCGGCTCGGTTTAGCGCCATCCCGGAACGTTGGTGGCGCGGAGGAAACGGAAATGCCGGTGGACCGCTGCAGGCAGGGCCGGGTATAGTCAACAACTTTCTTGAGACGTCCAACTTTCAAACGGGGGACGGTGTGCTTCAGTGTTATCGGTGCCAGGGTTTCTGGCACATGGCTGCCAACTGCAGACATCTGCCACGTTGCGTTCGATGCGGAGAGCCTCACAGCGTTGAGTTTTGCCCCAGGCCGCGGAACAATCCTATCTGCTGCCATTGTTCGGGCCCCCATCATGCCGGTATCACACGTGTCTTATGTCTTAGATGAGACTTGATAAGATGATCGTTTTATCCAATAGACATTCCATAGCGTATGACAAGTCACGTTTCTTTTCTGAGTACAGTGCCATATCAGAATAAAATGAACGTGTATCGTCTAAAGAATTCAATGTAAAAAGATATGAAGATTTGATGAGATGATCATCTTATATGGAATTAGTGTATGAAAAGTCATACTTGCATTCATATGGTACTGATTTACTGTTCTAAAGAATTGAATATAAAAAAATATAAAGACTTGATGGGATGATCATTTTGTTCAATCGACATTTGGAATCGCGTATAAGAAAAACGTGACAAGTCAGAGTGTGCCATATCAGAATAAAATGAACACGTACTACATAGTACTGATTTACTGTTCTAAAAAATATATATATATATATATATATATATATATATATATATATATATATAAAAGGAAGTTAGTATTGCGTGATTTTAAAAATTATCGATTACAAGAAGATAAAATTTATCAGATCCAACAATTAGTGACATATTTGAAATTTAATCATTAAAAATCTCATAGATTCCATACATAAGTAAAAGATTTGAACATTAGAAATTGAAATATATAAAAAGTATTTTATATTATTCCTGAACTTTTTTTTACAATAAACGATGGTTTAATAAAATGAATGTCCATTTTATTCTGTCACGGTATTATATGTATTCTGTAAATCATATTTTTTAAACTTGCTGTGAAAAAAAAAATTAATTCTGGCAAAGATCCAAGTACGTGTGCATACATACATTTCATTAATTTTTTTCTTATCTTTACTTGTAACTATCTTTTAATTTAATGTATGACGGCCTTTGTCATGTATAGATAGCCTTTTTATGCGTCTGTCGTTCGCTTTGACGACAGTCAAAATATTACAAAATTAACAACGTAATGGTTAACATAACATTGCTGGTCGTGTTTCTGTTCAACGCATTCGCACACTTTTATTTCTAGGCTACCGACAATGTCCGGTTCGACAGCAACTTTCGAACGCTACGCCTATTAGTATCACGCTGAGCACTACCCGGATTGGAAACCAGTGCCCGGTGAACACGGCTTCCAAGACAAACGCTTCCGCACACGAGCAGCAGCCGTTGAAGTCGAGCCAATCCTAACGACAGATCGACGTCGTCAGCTACAATTGCCCTTCGAATCTCATAAATTACTCGCGTGCTATCGGTATTCTTCAGGTGTGCTACGATAGAGTGTTCAACCTTGTGTTCAATTTTTTGTTCACTCGAGACAAAGAAACCAACGTACCACCGACAAGATAAACATTCTCTTTTAAATCCTCTTTACACACTATTTTTATAACTTTTTCACCGTCGTACAATTATTATTATATTACAATTACTCGTGGATGATAAATTGTGAATAACAAATCCATTAAGAAGAAATAAATAAGTTTGCAATTGAAGAGAAATATACGATGGATTTTTTTCGTTGATCTTCTTTGTTTGTGTAGAAACTGTACAGAGGTTGTCATACAGATGCGCGGAGGCATTCCACCGTTGAAATTAGCCATGTTTAGTAGCCAGACAATTCTTCCACTCTTTGTCCCACTTTCTTCGTCCTAGTCTTTCCGAATCTGGGTCCCCCCAAGCAGTCATATATTGTTGTTCGTCGGTCAACGAGTACCCAACGGCGTAGTCGGCCGTACTGATAAAGGAACGAGAATGGAGGGGCCTCAGAAGGTATATACCTGTGAATTCTCTAGATCGATAAGCAGCGGTGGGGGGAGAGCGGTTCCTGCCACGCGCCGTCCTACCAGCATACAGACGTTTCTTCGCGGGATCTTCAGAAACTCGTCGAACTGTACGGGGATCGACCGGCGACTACGACTTCGTTACCGAGACTTCCTTGGCTCTACTCGCGTGCATTATAGATTTGCCAAACGTACGGTTCACAACGGCGGATCTTGAATGTTTGTACTTGAATGTGTGAAAAATTTACTAAAGCCAAAGCGCTCCTCGCTTTTCCTCGCAAGAGTGCAACCCAGTGCGTAACTGCGAGCCCCAGGAACGAAAAGGATGGAGAAGACCGGTCAGGTATGATCCTCATTCGAGGATTGACAAGCTTTTGATTTTAGAAAGCAAGCTGAACACCTACTGCAATATAAATAAAATAATATAAATGCCAAGTTATGCAATTAGAAGATATAAAACGAGTTCAGTATTCACTTTTACATGAGAGTTTCCCACGATGAAACTTGTCTGGTGAAGTTATGTAATTCTTGATATCTAGTTCAACACTTGCCAGTTAATATCTTTTAGGACAATTGTGCTTTCTTCAGTCAGTATCATTTTAATAACATATACTTTCTTTCTATACTTTCCTTTTTTAAAGTATATTGTATACTTTACTACATATACATATATATACATTTCTATTTACATATATATTTACATGTTCACACACATATATATGTAAATATATATACATACATATATATATATATATATATATATATATAAATTTTCTTTTTCTTTTAAAATATTTTAAAATATATATATACATACACACATATATATATTTAAAAGAAAAAAGTAGAAAGAAAGAAGGAAAGAAGTATAGAAGGAAATATTTACATATATATATATATATATGTAAGGAATATAGAAGGAAATATTTACATATTTATATGTATATGTAAGAAGTAGAGAAGAAAATATTTATATATTATATATATGTGTGTGTAAATATTTCCTTCAACATTTCTTTCTTTTAAATTCCATGTTTATAATAGTTCCATGGAACAGTAAAGAAAATGGGTAATAGGTATTCCCGCGTTTGTTTCTCAATACCAGAGTGAAGAAACTTTAACACCAATTTCCAAATAATTGGTAACGTTCTTTCAGCGGCTGTGATCAGAAAACGAGATACTCCGTGGTAGAGCAACCGTGATCAAACAAATTAAAACTGAAGCAGAAACATTCAAGAAAGCGAATGAGAATCAATTCCATTTATAACGAGAGGTGCATTCTCAGGACACAACTGACGATGCACCACGTGTTTCCCCGACTCAGTTTTTCCTTCTTCCGTTCGTCGCACGGACGATAACGATTTCCGACATGAAAATCCCGAGGACGTGATTAATAAGATCACGCGAGCAGGATAATATTCTTAGTGCAGCGCCGATTAAAGGACAGACATGATCTCCACGGAGTGGACATTCCTCTTGATCGTGACGATCGTATCGAGCAGCATTCAGCAGCCAACTTTCTTCAAAAATTCGTTCAAAGGGCTGAATGGTGTCACTCTGAGGGACCACGCATACGACAGGAATGAGATCACAGCCGTTTACTATTACGATCAGACTGTGGCGGTGGTCGATCTCGGAGCGAATAACGAACTACACAACTGCAACCTGATCGAAGTATAGTGAGTGTCTGGGAAACGAAATTTTAGATTGGTGTTGAAACGCATGAATGAAAGAATGATGTCCTTAGCGAGCAAGATGAGGCCAGTGAGATTTTGCGAAACCTGTCGTCAACGACAGTCCCCCAGCTGGTGTCCTTCCAACAGATGACGAGGCTCATGCAACAGTGTGAACTGTTGGACAAAATCCAGCACGACGCCACGGGCATGTCAAACGTGGTGAGCAAAGGCAGTCACAGTGTTGGTAGTGTACTGTCCCTTCTCTCAGGTATCTTGCCAGGTAAGTTCTTGCCAAGTGATTACTGCTTACTTTCCTTGTGTGTTACACGGCTCTGATCTATGCCGCAGGAACAAAATGGTGTGGTGCTGGCGACATCGCTGAGAACTACCACGATTTAGGTCGTGAAACTCAAATCGATAGGTTAGTGTGAATATTATTATCACTAAAAGATTATATTACTCGAACGAAAATGTGTTTAATGCGTTTTATTTTTCTAGATGTTGTCGCAGCCACGACCTTTGCCCTGTGAAAATTCGTGCTCAACAAACGCGATACAATCTTACCAATTACTCCGTATATACCAAGTAATTACAGAAAATACAGAAGCCTTTATTCGCATATTCATATAAAAACTGTTTATAATTATCTGCGATTGAGATCAATTTTATCCTTACCTTTGCAGATCGCACTGCGCCTGCGACGAGACGCTGTATCATTGTTTAAAAGCGACGACGAGCCCGACAGCGCAGATCATGGGTCGCATATATTTCAACGTAATAAAAGTACCTTGCATCGAGGATGTATCGGAAAACACTCTCGACTATTCTTCCATAGGGTTAGAACGACGATTTATTCCTGTGAAAATGAGTTATTGAGACGGATACAGTGTTGCAAGTATTGTCAATAATTTTCATACTTTTGTACTACACTAACGTAAAATGTGAAATGGGGAAGGGAGTTTTTTTGTTTTCGTTTTATTGTATATAAATATAATAGTTGTGTAGTAATGAGCTTACAAGATATTCAAGTTCCATTTACTGTATTTGCTGATACTGCCGGGTTGTAGATAAAATTGCTTGCTTCAAAAATGACAGTCGAGGGATGATGCTTTGTACAGCTATTTTAACATCGGGAGATTCATGATTGCAAAGATTACCTGTAAAAAATATTTATTTTTGTTTATATTTACACAGTTATCTTGTTAAAGTAATAATAAAGTATTTGTTATTACCTATTAACCATAGCGTTTCTTTTCTGATGTGTATATACTGACACGAAAGTAGTTTGTTTATCAATATCACTAAATCTGATGGAGGGTAGTTTTGATTTTCCAACAAATACTTCATCAATTGTCCAGATCTCTCCTGCACAAGAACATTAGCCAGTATTCTTACGCACGCTGTAACCTAAAATAAAGAAAAACTTAACGACATGATTTCACTGTATGTACATATTTATATCAAAGAAATCATGTACATACACATATGAAGTTGTTTGTAGTATTTTGATACAAATAATCCACTATCAAAGGTACTACATTGTATAAATAGGTGTTACAGCATTTTTGTGAAGATAATAATGCTAGCAACCAAACAAAGTACGGATTTTCAAATGAAAGATTTCTTCTCACAGCAGCATTGGCAAGTTCAATCATCTCGTTCTCTCTAAAAAATTTGTTTAATTAATGAAATATTTCAAAATATTTTAAAAATGATTAAGTAGAACAAAAGAAAGAGTAGTTATTACTCTATGCATTTAAAACCAGTATGCATATAATGCATAGCTGTATAGGCTACTGAAGGTAGAATTGTATCATCACAATTGTGTATCAAAGATACAATGTATTTCAAGCAACCTTGAGCATGAAGGATCTCAAATGCTTTATCACTTCCCGAAATCAGATTTCCCATTGTCCATATACAAATTTCCTAATGACAAAAAAAGATGTTACCTTCAATATTATACATTATAATGACATTATTATACAGTATTATCTTATAACTTACCAATAGAGGATAGTTTAAAGTGTCTAACTCTATAACAAGATACGGTCCAATGCTTTTGGTTAATGAGATACATGCCTTAGCATTTCCAAGTGCTATATTACAACAACAGCTAGCAGCACATAACTGCAATGCAGAATTGCTACTAGACAAATCACGTACAAGGGAAAATAAGATATTGTCCACTTTTAGAAAAGAATTGACATTGTGCTCGCTCTGATGAACAGAAAAAAGATACAAAATTAATATTAATTGTTAACTACAACTTGTACACTATATTTTCAAATTATAACCTGAATGAGAGCATTTTGAAGCTTCTCATATTCTTCGATGGACAATGCTTTCTTCTTAAGGGCTTTTGCCTTTTCAACAACGAATTCTGTTGTGAATGGTGTATTTGTCGCAATGTTTCCTAAAGCCACACGGTTTTTATTCAACGTTCTTGTACGGTTTTCCTTCCTTTCTGTGTGGACCAATTCCCTCACACTCTCTCTAATAACCTCAACAGCATTCTCTTTCGTTGGTTCTTCTATTTCCATTTTCTTTATAATTATAAGGATAATTACAGAAAATTATACACACACTAGTTACAAAAATTAATGTACAAATTAATTCACACAAAACAGATTTCAACAGTGATGTTTTACAAACATCGTGCGGTGTTTGTAACAACGGTATTAAACGTGACTAATCGGAAGATAGCTGTGACGAAATCAGCTGATCGAGATCACACGTAAAATAAAATAGTTCAATTTATTTTTTCTTTCAGAAACCCTTCAACTGTTTCATGTTACAATTTAAAAACAACATAAGAATTACGTTTGGAATGTTTATAGATAATGAAATTATAAGCAAATTATACATTTTACTGATCCCAATATTGTGTTATTACACAATATTGAAGAATAACATCAACAAAGTGATTTGTCGACAAAGAATGTAATTTTAATAATCGTTCGAGACAAAATTATTGATCAGTTCGGTGTCCTCCGTATCTTCGGTATCTTCGTCCTCTTGTATTCGACAAATCGATAGAATGTTATATATAGCATTCGGAATAGTGGCTGTGGGACCAAGTACGTGCAGACGTATGTCGCACTTCTCCAACGCTAGTTTCCACTTCAATTCGGTGCGTTGAGGGAGTATCATCGCCTAAAGAAAGGATTTCCAAATTAAAGTCTGATCAATGGATCTAGAAGATAACTCGGTTAACGCAGTTTCTAAAACCTGAAACTCATTAGCTGTGCAGCCAAGAACGCGTTCAGCAACGTCCCCGAACAATCGGCAACCAATAAGATATCCGGTGCTGTCTTTCAGATTGACTTTTAAATTGAGGCTCATTACGTTCAGAGGCACGCGAGTCCCATTGCCCGAAGGACACTCGAGATTCATACAAGAGTCTTGATTATCGGCAATGACTTTCTTGCATAACGCGCTGAGAGGAGAGGCGAGGAAAAAGGCAAAGTTACTATTAAAAGGTATCGATCACTGAGGGAGAAGGGAGGAGGGGTGGAGAAGGAAGGAAACAAACCATCTTGTCGATAATATAGCAGGGCTCAAGCTCTCCACATTCATATCCATTACGTAGGCTTTTAGAATCGTAGCGAACTGAATCCTCTCTCCTTGTTTCGGTTTCTTGTTCAATTTCTCCGAGATTTCTTTTATAGTCATCACGCTTGTTATCGTGTCAGCTGTTGAAACATTAATTCAAGCATTGTTCATCGTTACGACACAAAACACCGCGCGAGTGGCAATTACTTTTACAAATTGTGAACGAGCATTCTTACGATTTGGTGTCGCGAAATTTTCTGACACGATGTCGTTGTCGTAACATTGCACGGTGTTTCTTATGGCAGCGCATTGCGGTATGTCAGGATTCTCCGTGATCATTGTCTTTCTAACTGTAAACATATAAACTTATAGACGACGTCACGTGGAAACTTCGTCCATAAAACAATTAAAACCTATTGATAGAACGATCTTTTTCTTGAAATTGTCGAACGCGACCAGAGCGTCCACGAGGAGGAGCACAGTGCGTTTCGGTTCCCACGATGCCGCTCTGTTGATCCATTCATTCTCCCAAAGCGTCAACGATACCACTTTGTCCGTTGATCCATCCGTTGCCTCGAAAGTGCGGGACCTTATGCTTCTCCCGTCACGTGTCATCACGTTTCGAACATCACTGACCTATCAAACACGAGATTTATGATCATTTTTATATGAGCTAATAGGAAACCTTAAATCTTAAAATATATTTTCTTCTTCCGGGTATTCCAGTTAAATATATTCTCGTTGCGAGAATTCTTAAGTAAACTCGTTTTCGTTTCTTGATAGTAAATTATATAGAGTGTTCCTGAAATTATAATACAGCCGGCCAGAGTGTGTTTTTATGTGTAAAGACAAGTTATGGAGTACTATCTAGTTACTCGTGTTATTTCAAATTCATCCTATTTTAATTATTATATATATTATATTAAAATATAATAATATATATATTATATATATTTATATTATATTTATTAGAAATAGAAGTTACCAGTGATCATCATAGCAGTCAATATGTTAACAGGAGATCACATGTGCAAAAATAAAAATAAGAATCAATGTAGAATAAAATTTTCTCATTTACAGCTTCATTTTTAACAAAATAGACTGAATATGTTACGTTCAAAGTTCCCATCTTGCAAAAAAGTTTTATCCGGCATTATCTTACTTATTTTCGCGCGTGGACTAACCACTTGTTAATTATTCTTTCCTGTTGCTACTAGCTAAATTCAAATATACCTGATAAATTTTTAACCTCGATTTCCTCGAAAAAATTTTCTTTTCGACTGATTTTTACATGTAGAATCGCACCGGTTCTTGGCCGATTTTGTCAGGATCTCCGGGAACATACCGACAAAATCGGCCAATTTCACGGATACCTGCCGGCGATTTCTAAATCTGAAACGTACGAAAGTGACGACTACTAAGACGTCGACGTATTGATCGCGTAGCGCCTCCAAGTTCTCAGAAATGCTTTTCAGAGTTCGCAGTCCGGTCAGCTTCTTAATCGGGAGCATCAGCAAAGGTTCATATTTTGCGCGTGTTGGTGCGTCATGAATTTGCACTAATGCGTTGCCCTCGTTCACCGTCAGGCTGCATGTGCTGGTCACCGACGGCACGAAAATTTCGCTCTTGTCGTCCGGACGACGCTCCAACACCTTTGGATTAATCACCTCCACTGTAAGTCCATATTTAACTATTATTTAAACAGCATAAATCCAACACACGTATATGACTCATTGTAAGAAAAGAGAGTGACCAAAAATTATAAAAAAAAAACAGAAGCAAGTGGAGGAAGAAAGAGTGAGTAAGATTGTATTTGAATTTAAATTTGTTTAAGTTATAGACTGCGAGATTGAGCCGCAGTTTTGTCAAGGTGGACACTCGCCAGATATCCTATTGCTATCATGTTTAAAATAATGTCTTTCAAAATAATATCTTTTTATCATTTTAAAATAATATCATGTTTAAAATGTGGCTTCTAGAATAATGTAATAACTTTGCCAATTAATAAATAAAGGGGAAGCTTCTTTCTGAAATAAAATCCTGCGTTTATTTTGGGACACAGAAGGTTCATTGACCTCGGACGCTGACCGAAGGGATTTTATAGATTCCTGGTCTCATATAACAGGCTGCTCTGTGGAAACCTATCTACTGTGTTACAGGAGGGTTACCTGTATTTAAATTTAGATTCAAGTTCAAACTCATTGTCAGATCAAGCATTGAATTTGAGTTTAAAGTGTATTGAGTATTCAACTATATACAGGGTGTCCTTACTTTTCCCGACCTTAACTTTGCCAGTAGATTCTGTGAATGAAAGTGAGAGAAAAAATGTCATATAAGCTCAAACATTCTTTGTTAAGGAACTTTTTAAGGAAAATTTGAAAATAAGAGTTGACGATATTTACCTGTCCCATTTCAAAGTCCATATTTTTGAATATAGGATTGATATCTATCAAAAATTGAATTTATCACATTGATTCACTTTCGTTTCGTTGAACGCATTATAAATTCTTTGCATTGATTCCTCATGCGTATAAAATTTTGCGTGGTGAACCTTTTGCTTTAACATTCTCCACGAGTGAAAATCCAGTGGCGCGAAATCTGGTGACCTTGAAAGTCAAGGAATTGGTTCACCTCGACCTATTCATCTTTGTAAATAACGCTGATTCAGGACAACCATTTAACTGTATCCACAGATTTCGTCAATGAATAATTGAAATATATATGTATATATATAATCATTTTTTCTTATTTTTATATATTTATATATTTTTTTTATATATTTATGTATTTTATCATTAAATAGAATTTACTGACAAAATTATGTCGAAAATAGTAGGGACACCCTATACAACATCAATGTTTCATTCGTCACAAACCTACGCTGCCGATAGGAAAATTGGAAGACAGTCTTCTGACGAACTGTTCGCTGCCCCATACAGTTACATTTATCGAATCTTCTTCCGAGTCGCGTAACGTGAACGTCCACACGCCTCGATCTCCGTTGTTAACTGAAATCAATATTATTAATCTATTCATACATTTGTAATGAATTCGAAATCTTATTCAAAAACGAAGCAAATCGAAGCAAAAGATTCGAGATCTAAATGAAAAATACGAAAGAAAATTCGTACATCTCGTGCGTGTAGTATCGATCGTTCTCATATTGAAACTGTTCACAATTATACCGATTACAAGCGCGTTTTGCATTCCAGGATGTAAAGATCTTAACGCTTGTTTACACACACCCGACATTATCAAACCTTTTAAATCTTTAATTTCAACAAATGGAAATCTTTCTCTTTCTTTCTGTTCTTAACACTTCGCTTCGGAAATAAACGTTTGGAATAATTTTTGGCGCCGTTGTTGCCAACCGTTGTTTTTAAATTCGAACTCTCCATTGATTGAAAATCGAACCTAACACTTAAAACTGTTATTTCGTATACAGTTACTAGATCTACTGTAATTAAAATATTTAAATATTTAAATATCTATCGATATAAAGAAATTATCGTTCAACACAGGATCAGATATCGAAAAATTGTTGTGAACCTAGTCTTAGTACTAATCTGATTGTTACTTCGAGTACGGTTAAAATACAATTTCAATTTGAGCTGCTATTTCAATTAAAATATTTAAATGTAATTTATCGAAAAAGAGATCAATCGTTCAATTGAAATAGGTTAAGTTGTTAGAAATCAGACTTAAGGTCAGTCGCGCTTAAACGTTGGCAATACTGTTGCCGATAATACTCGGATTCACTTTCATTGACTTAGTGACGTCGGTTCGTGGGAGGTGAACCTTCGTGCGAAGTTCATGATTTAATACGGTTTTCGAAACTGCTACGTCTCAAGGATCTCGCGGAACCATGGCTGACAACGAACAGAAAGCGATGCAATTGTTAATGGAGGCCGAGAAGAAGCTGTCTTCCAAGAGCTTCTTCGGTTCGCTGTTTGGGTACGTTTCGGCTACATCGATTTACTTGAACTCGTCCGCCACTCGATTCTCTGATCTCGACTCGCATTATTTATTTACCTGGACGTGTGAACAGAATCAATTGCAATATTGTGCAAGTTTTTGCACGAAGTTTATTCCCTTACAGTATGTTTCTTCTGATCGTTCGACGTATAGTCCGTTTTTGCGCATTTACATGCCTTGTATCTCTATACGTAGCTGTTACACCAATAGTGTAGTACGTCGCTAAATTACGATATGTCACAAGGAACGTGTAAAGCACGCAACTCTCGAGGTCATTATTTCAATCTGATTTATTTCTTTTCTCCTTTGTTTAATTTTTGCTTTATCTTTCAGTAAATATCAATGTTTGTCATTCGATGACTCAATTGTTATTAGTAATTCTCTTTCATATTTGGTTGAGTTGCAAATAAATTTCATTGATTTTTCTGATGCTTTCGATTCTCAGAGGTTCGTCAAAGGTCGAAGAAGCTGTAGAATGTTACCAACGTGCTGCAAACATGTTCAAAATGGCAAAGAATTGGAGCTCGGCAGGAAGTGCGTTCTACGAGGCTGCAGAGTTACATGCCAAGGCAGGCAGTCGTCATGATGCAGCTACCAACTACGTAGATGCTGCTAATTGTTTTAAGAAAACTGTTATAAATGGTACCAATGATTATAACTTCTGACATTTGCTATGTATTCGATGCCAAGAATGAAATATGCATTGTGCTCATTGTGTATTGATTTCGTATGTTTGTAGAGGCAATTAGTTGTTTGTTGAAAGCAATTGAAATTTATACCGATATGGGCCGGTTCACAATGGCGGCCAAACATCATCAAAGTATAGCCGAGATGTATGAAAGCGAGGCTGTTGATCTTGAGAGGGCAGTACACCATTACGAGCAAGCCGCTGACTATTTTCGCGGAGAGGAGAGCAATTCATCTGCCAACAAATGTCTTCTGAAGGTTGCGCAGTACGCTGCTCAGCTTGAAAATTATGAAAAGGCTATTCAAATTTACGAACAGGCAAGTTACATTTCTAGCAGTAATTGGAATTATAATCTGTAAAGAAATGACTGTAAAGTTTCATTCTGTTCTATTGCACAGGTTGCTTCTGCATCTTTAGAAAGTTCTCTGTTGAAATATAGCGCGAAGGAGTACTTCTTCCGAGCGGCGCTCTGCCATTTGTGTGTCGATGTGTTGAACGCGCAACACGCGATCGAACGTTACCAGGAACAGTATCCTGCATTCCAGGATTCTAGAGAGTACAAATTAATAAAGGTATGAGATATTTTCTGTCATTCAGACTCTATTACCCGAGTAACACGAACTTTGACACGAACATTTAAAGAAGTAAAGTAAGTATATGGAAGACAATTTTTATTTCAGACATTAATAGAACACCTCGAGGAACAACACCTCGAAGGTTTTACAGAAGCGGTAAAGGAATATGATTCAATTTCACGATTGGATCAGTGGTATACGACAGTATTATTACGTATTAAAAAGCAAGTTAACGATAATCCAGATCTACGCTGATCGGTTGTTCCTACTTTGTGCTATTTCCTGTCGATGATATTATTAATCCAATTCTATATGTATTCTTTTTTAAATCATACCCTGCTTTCAGTGGAACTTGTAAAGTAGTTTCGTTTTTATATCCAAATATATTTTTCATAACATCTCCTTGCTCTCTTGGCAACTATTACATGTTCATCACTTAAGTTATCACATTAGCCATCATAGAATATTGTCATGAAAAGCGATATAAAGGAGAAGGAGAAATATTCTATGGATATTAGTAATTCATTTACTGATGCCGATATACAAGGCAATATGATTAAATATATAAGCAAAAAATAGTATTGAAACTTTGTTGGCATTCTTATACTTAAAAATACATAAATAGCTTGCCAAAAAGCTGCAGCTTGTGCAAATTCGTTTCGCCGCATGCGATTGCGATAAATTATTCAGATGAAAAACAAATGAGTTTCCATGAGTTGATTTGTTTCAGTAGAACAGTGTGGTGCAGTTTTACGTATATAATACTTTTAAAAGCTTGTTGACATTTATTACTAGTAACTTGAAGTAATTATTAACAATAACAAATAAGATTCTGTAGCCACAGAAGAAAAAGCTAAAGCTTGTGTTTGACCTGGAATTGTTATAACGATAGATTGTCAGTTGTTATCTTTACACTGCCAGAGTATCAGAATAATGAATATGGTATACACATTATCTTCTTTCTGGAACTGACATATATTTTGTGTTAATTTCCTCTTTTTAAATCTTGATTTTTGCAAGATTTTATTTAACCTTTAATCTGAAACTTTCAGTACATGTATATAGTGCTGTTGCTATATTTTACTAATATTTTGTAAAAAGGATGGAACATATATAATTCATAATGACGGGAAATGATCGTGATATGCATTTAAGTGTATATATCATCTGTTTTTTTTTCTTTTCTTTTTTTCTTTTCTTTATTAAGATTAATATCTGTTTATATTCTCTTACTGTTGGGAAATGATTAATTATCAATGTATATTTGTACTTAGTGGTAGATAGTGCGTACTAGTGATAAAGAAAAAGAAGCGATAATAATCGTAAAAAAAATTTAATTTATTTCAGTGTTAATTTTCGTTGTTATTTAACGAAATGTACATCGCAAACTTACGCATTTTATTTGAAACAAGTTGCATTGTTTGAATATATTTACCAAATATGAATATTCAATTATTAAGTAGAAAGGATAGAAAGTAACAACTTTTTCCATGCACGGAAAGTAACGAAGCGTGTACTAGATAAGCATTATGAGAGAAAAAAAGAAACGCAATCTCTTGATGCATGTAATTAACGCTGTGTTATTTTTTTTCGAATTTTATAAAAAAAAGAAAGTTTGTTGAAGGTAAAAAGAAGCTCGCAGGAACGTATAGCAAAAACTAGCGTTTAAAACGTACTCCTCTACTTATTCTTTATACACATTTATCTATATATATATATATACACACACACACATATACATACATATATACATTAGTTTAATAATCATAATTATATCTAATTGATAGATAATGAATAATTTATTCATCGATATTACGATATCAGTGTTTGTTTTTCTACTGCGATTTCGTGTAATCGTTAATTGTACAATTAGAAGACTATTGTTTTTCCAAAATCGTAGAGAGTTAATTAATATCGCTCGCTACCATGTTCTAATTTAATTATATTATTAGACTGCGTACGTCAAATGCTTGGAAATAAATGCAACTGAAGTTGATCAAGGGACTATCGTCAAGCATGTTCGAAAAAAAAAATAAAATAAAATAAAACGAGCATTATGTACGGAGCGATGTGAAAAAAAGTGTGTTTATGCGTTTTTCGTCATATTTTGTTTGCGAAATATCACTGAAAGTTTATTACGTATTACTGTAGTTAATTTGCATAAGTCGTACAGTGGGAAGAAGTTAGCGGATACTCTGGATATGCATAGCCTTCCTTAAAAAAAAAAGAAAAAAAAAACGAAAATATGAAAATTTCGTTTCTATTGTGCATGTAACATTTTATTTATCTGTACACACACGTATATTCGTATTGTATATTTTTGGTTTCTGTATCGACCATTAAAATGGAACGCTACGATAATCGAAACTCTTTTAATCGTAACTTGGCTTATGTTATTGCGTTACGCAAACCAATGAACATTGTCCAAGACAAGAATTAACAGCACCACGTGAATTAGAATTTCTTAGTGGCAATATTAACATGCTTAAGAAGCTATAAACCCCGTAACAAATAATAAGAACGATATCATACCCTGCAGAAAAAAAAAAAAAGAAGAGAAAAGTACTTAATATTAAACACCATTTTATAAAACGTCTTAGATGATATTCGGTAAAAACGATCAAGGATTATACGCAGATTATACCGGAATGTGGGATATGTTAGTGAGATAGACAATATATAATAGCGCTCTACTTCATTCAGAAGATTCCACAAAATTATTCGTTCGAAGCATGCGTAGGTTTCTTTTTATATATATATATATATGTATATGAAAGGTTTCCGAGATGCGCAGAATACCGAAATCCGATGGACAGAGTTGTAGTTTCTCCTTATATTGTACTACGTATAAATTAATCGCATACCACGATAGATTTACTTTGTAAATAAAAAATAATTGGATACAAATCCGTATTTGATGTCTGTATAAAATGTCTGTAAGTTAAAATAAAAAAAAAAAAACTAAAAAAAAGGAAACAAAGGAACTGAAAGTATCAAAGATCTTTTTTCAAAGGCAAAATTTAACAATGAGGATACGAGTTTTAGAGAGACCACGCGGTGACTCATTCGGTGACTCATTCGGTGACTCATTCGGTCAATATGTCCTGCAAAAGTTTAAGTTGATTTGAAACATTACCAATAAAGATTAACAATAGTCAAATTCCATTACAATGCTAATTTCGACGTGTTTTCTTTTTTTTTTTTTTTTAATGAAGCACGTGATATATTTAAATATTTCAAAAAGCAATTGTAATACCCGCGAAAATGTTCGGCGCGTAGCGTGATTGGTTCCTACGAAGATTGATATTCTAAAGTATCTACACATTTTTCTCAATATTTTGAACATCAATATCAATTAAGAAAATCAAAGGTTTATTTTAACGACGGACAATGAAACAAAATTCGAAAATTAGAACATCCCTCGAAAATATGTCAAACGTACGTCGGCCAATGGGAAGCAAGCGTCGTAGAAAAGCAGCATTTCGATTGGTGGAACGCGCTTTGACATTTGCGTACACAGACCTCTCCCAGTCAAGAATGCGGTCACTGAACTTGCGGGTCTTAATATTTAAATATCGATTAAAAACAAATTTCAATCTCAAAGCGCGAAACTAAGCAGAGAAACAGCCTGGATCGTGCTTGTTCCGACTTTCAAACGTTCCCTGTCGATCCTAGCTTTTCTCCCACCCCTGTACGGCACGCGATTCTCATTTGAAAGGCAGTACTTCACGTGCGGTTGCTCGAAGATCGTCCGTCCCAACAGATGTGCCACGAGCTACGAGCATTGTTCTCGACCTTCCGGCTCTCGCTCTAAGAGTTTTCCCTATCGATCAGAGCAGGATCTCAGAAAAATCGGTCTGTTTTCTGTTACGAGCAATCACGAGCCCCGGATCGTCGAACTGGCAAGCAATCTCGTTCGCAGATACGTTCGTCTTTGGACAGGTGAGAGTGATCTATTTTCCGTGCGCAGCACTTCTTCGCGTTACATCTCTGTTTTTTTTTTTCGCTCTAGTCCGTCGTTACAAATTCGTCTTGCAAATTTACCTTCGTATTGTTATTCTCTCTCTTTTTTTGTTTTCTTTCCACTCGATCGTGTTTCGAGTCAAACCAGTAACACACAAGTGAACAATTTTTGGCACTTTGAGTCACCTGTTTTATAGGTTGGGTGTACGTCGAAGAGAAAGTACACAGTAGTAACACAGTTTTGTTAAAGAGAAAGGATCGAGGATGTACTATGCCGATATTAATTTTTGCGTTTCCGTCATCGTCGAATACCTTGCGCGTTTCAACTAAGGATGCGATGGAATGTTTAGTTTTGTGGAATTTAAGTCCTGTCTCAGTAATCGAGCCAGTAATGATTGTGCTGGTGTAAACTTTTGTGTAATTTTTATGCAAACACGTAGCAATGTGCTTATTTATAGTGGTGTATAACCGATCGTAATTATTTCAGAATGGCTCGTGGACAACAGAAGATCCAGTCACAGGCCAAGGCGGCTGAAAAGGCTGCGAAAGTGAAAAAGCAGCAGGGACACAGTGCCAATGAACAGAAAAAGGCTGCGCAGAAGGCTTTAGTACACGTGTGCATAGTTTGTAAGGTTAGTATAATGCACCAAGTTTGCACGGTTTTGAATACCAGCGTCGTTACAGTAAAATGTAAACCATACTATGAACAGCATATTGAAACAAAAAAATGACACTATTGTGTTCGCAGGCACAGATGCCAGATCCAAAGACGTACAAGCAGCACTTTGAAAACAAACATCCCAAGAACGATTTGCCGGAAGACCTGAAGAATATATGAGAGTGAGATATGTAAGATATGTAATGCGGGTTGGGATGGAGCAAGAGCAACAAAAGAAGATCATTGCAAAAACGACAAAGTGATATAGTTCGACGTTCAACTAATCATTAAATAGTCTCGTATAAGAAAAGTAAATTAAAAACCTTGTTAGTGTTTAAAATGAACTATTGCACAGTTAACGATTGAATTTTTTGTGCACAGCCAGGGATCGTACTATTATTACACTTCGCAAAACTTGAAAATTTTTCAGTTTTCTCGTCACGGGATAATCGGTAATCGTTCGTCTGACCGCCTGGTTTGTTAAGTAACGGCTGAAACATGTACATTACTCAGAAATAAAGTTGATCAATTTACCAGAAATGAATACGAATGTTCATGCGTGTTTCACTTGTTGCAGGCATCAGTATAAAATGATATTCGTTGTGCGTTAGTTTTTTTTTTCTTTTAACTTAGGAAAGAAAAAGAAAAGAAATGTATCGAGATGTTTCTTGTGTTCAGAATTGAGGAATTAAATTCAGAATTGAGATATTAGGGAAGAATTTTATCTGCGTGGAACGAAAACTGCCATTTTACAGTGTTTCTGCCAGTTAGTCTGTCGATAAGAGTTGTAGTATGTTGTAACTTTGTAACGCATGAATTTTTCTATGAGTTTTTTCGTACATTCGAGGAGTCTGATTTTGAAAGAATTGTGTTTTAGGTCGATAACAGTAAGATGTAATTTACTTGATGGATGCTAAGTTCTCTGATACGACTAAATTCTAGCATTTAGTACTTAAAATTCTTTGTTCTTTCATACTGAGAATAATTGATTCGACTCTTCTTCTAAAAATTTGTTTTGTAAAACGTTTCCGTCTTACACTGTATATTTGCTATCTGCGCACTTGAGGGAAACATGGCAAAGCACTGCACAATCATCTAGTGTGTAATAAAGAATCTGTTATTCTCGAAATATATATATTGCAAATATATATATTGTATTATACCTTAAAAATATGCTTTAAAAGATTCTCACTGAAATCGCTAATGAAAATCGCACGTTCGTTGTTCGGTGACGAGGTTTCATGGGAACTTCTAGCTTCTAACTAGTTTAATATAGAAATAAGTATATATGTGAATTATGTAATTTGTTCTGACAAAACAATTATAGAATTTTACACCACAGATTATTATTTTGTTTGAAACAGTCTATGATTATCCTCACCATGTAGAAAAGGATTCACATTTCAAATTATTGCTCTAGTTGAAAAGATAAGTACAAACGAGTAGTATGATTATTCTTATAATGATGCAATAATACCATTGTTTGTCGATACCGAGGTTTATTCGTCTCCGCGACGAAGAAAAAGAACTGCGTTAAATATATCACGCGACAATTACATTGGAAAGAAAATTGTACTTTCTTTTTTACGAGCACTTTATCGAATCATGCTGTGTCACGCGAATGTTTATCAACGATTTCAAGCAGGATTCAAGCGGGATGAAAGTTACATCATTCAAGCTCGGGGGCACAGGATCTTATATATTGTACGGATTGTGTGATCGTCGCTCAGTGTCATTTTGTACACTGTGAAACAGCATCGTCGGTGCTAACTTACAACTCAGTTTTTACTTATCGCACGTACGTAGATCGTTAATTAATTTTCTACACTCGAACATCATTTTTGGCGATCGCGACGTTTCCCCCATTAACTTCACCGTCGTCACCTAGAGGGCAACAAATTGCAACTTACTTATCCAAAAGGTAGAGCGTATTTTATTTTTATAGATTCATAAACGATGGGTTGCATGTTGTTTCTTTGTTGCGTCATAACGGACAAACGTTTCATAAAATGTTTCGCAATACAGTGATCGTGAAATGTAATTATTGAAAATAAGATGTAATGGAAGATATATATATATATATATATTTATGTATAATAGAATAAGAAGAAAATATAAAGGAAGATGTATATAGAAATGTACAATGAAATTGCAAGATTTTCGTTTTTCTAATAAAGAAAGGACAAATTGTAGCAAGTTCAATAATTGAAGATTGTGCATCAAAGTTGCGGCAATCTCTTGATAATTTCGTAATAATTTTCGTAATAACATATCATCAATCTAATAGTAAACAGCGACTAGTTGAATTCTAGATAAAGGAACAAAAATAGATAAATACAAAAATTGATCAATTAATTAAAAAAATAGATAATTTAATTAATTGTACGTATGCACGTTACATTTGACAAATTTCTCACGCGAAAAAATATCCGTTTTCTTTTTTCTTACGCAATGAAACATCCCCGTTGCGTAAGAAAAAGAAGATATTTTTCTGAATAAAAAATTTGTGATATTTTTGTAACGTGCGTACGCGCAATTAATTAAACTATTTATGTTTCTTATTTATTTATTTTTTCAACTTATCATGGTACAATAAAATGCCAAGGAAATTAGTGACTCAGATTGTAATCGCCTTGAACATTTTTCAAGCTTGCCATAATATGAAGATAATTGTCTAAAATTATTATTATTGAAAATTATTATTATTATTATCGTATTTAACCGACTAGAGAGATTACAAATATTCGTGCAAATTGATATGTTTCAAATAGTGTAACTTTATTCTGAATATTATTCAAACGTCATTTTAATATATAATATTTTCATGTGTGTCACGTGTATTGTTACACAAAAATGAAATCTAATAATTGTTACACGTATAAAAAGCCTCTTTTCTGTAAAAGACAAAGAAATACACACGCCTGTCCTCAAATAAATCGCGTATCTATCAATACAAAACGGTTGTTCGATATGTTCCACAACTGGGAGTCATCGACAACCTGATGATTCGTTAATCATTAAAGCCTATCAATCATTGGTTTTTTTCTTCTTTCACTCGCGAGAAAAAAAGTGGTCACAGAGACAAACTGAATCGCCACGAAATGAAACAAAATGAAATGAAACGAAATTCTACAATACAAAGTGAAAACATTTTTCAGCGTGAACAACGTTCGATCGAAGAAGAGATGGATTCGATATTTCGCACGAGATCGCTAGGGACAGCGGCCGAGGGTGTTCGCGACCAGTACGCCGACGGGAGAGCCGCCAAGGTGTGGGAGGTGTTCATAGGCGACAAGAAGCAGAGAACTCAGAATTACCGCGACTTTCTGGTCGGCATGCTGAGAGACACTGGGTGCAAACGAATTCTGGACGTAGCTTGCGGGACTGGCGTGGACTCAGTGATGCTCCTCGAGGAGGGTTTCGAGGTTGTCAGCGTGGACGCCTCGGACAAAATGTTGAAATATGCCCTGAAGGCTCGATGGGAGCGTAGAAAGGAAAAGGCGTTCGACAACTGGGGTAAATAGCGTTTTCTAAACAAATACACATCCTTAGGTTGGTACAATTGATACGGAACAATGAGCATCGTTACATCTCCAATGTTAACTAAAATGTTAATAAATCCGAGAGAAACTTAACCCAGTATGTATACTGTGGATGAAAGATACTTCGTTTCTTAGAATGATACGAAAATAGCAAACTGAAGATAACTGAAATGAAGATTGGATTCTTGAGGATATTATTGGGTTTAATAATTTCTATGAATTTATTTTATTAATAGCGAATGATAGTCAAATGTTCTTCTTAATATCGTGTGGAATATCTTCTTTTTCAGAAGACTGTGAAGTTCGTCGGTTTAGCAATTTAGCAAAAGAAAATTAGGAAACTTGCAGTCTCTAGATCTTCGCGAGATCTGCAAACCGAGCGATAGGCGATTATCAGATTTATATCCAGATTGAAATTACGTCACAAAGTTTGTGTAACGCAACACTCTGTCGTTCCTCGGAGATGCAGAGAAACACTGAAATTGTGAAACTATCTAGCTGATAAACCAGTTAATTCCCCACTTTTTTTCCCCCTCGTTACTGTTCGCGTTAACTGTAAACTGTAAACTATAAATCGCTTATTGCTTATCGCAGCGAAAACAGAAGATCATTGCCTTATCGTGCAGGTCAATTCTTTCAGATCATTCGCTGTGTTTTCTCTTTTTCTCTCTCTTTTTCATTTTCCTGCTGAAAGTTATTATCGTGTTATTTTTTACATTATTGTTTACAAATGACGAGTCAGAGAATTTAAGAGTCATGCCGACATTGAAACTGTTAATTGTGATATAATAATACTTCCTAATAATATGTTGCAATTATTCAATTTATTTCAAAATATATGCATATGTATTTACTTTCAACCTATTAATGGGATTGTATCTTGTAATTCAAAAAAGTGAATAAGATCAATTTCAGTGAAGGGAATCTGAATTTTTGCTAATACATGATCAATACGATGATAGAAATGAGATGGTTTTAAAGAGAACGGGGAGGGGGAATTTATATTATAGATAAAGAGATTAGAAAAATTAAATTGACAAGTTATATATTATGTAAAAACGTTTGTTTTCCTGATGTTGTTGATTAAGTTTCCATTTTGTGATGTTTTCTAGTAATCGAAGAGGCGAATTGGTTGACTTTACCAAGGGACATTCGTCATTTATTGGGAGATGGTTTTGACGCAGTGATTTGCTTGGGAAACAGCTTTGCTCATATGCCTGACACGTTTGGAGATCAAAGGGAGCAAAGGTGAAATAGATACACTTTATATTTATACTTAACACATAAATGTTTTATATCATATATTTTATATTTATATTTATATATAAAATATATTTTATAAATAAATGTACTTTCATATTAACACGTTGACTGCCAAGTTGGTCACCTGCGACAGGAGTGCTTCAAACGTTTCAAATAAGTAATAATAAAATAAAACTAATATAACTATAAAAAATTTTGAACATCATAGCCAACTAGATGATACTATGAAATAAAAAGTTCCTAATTTCTAATTTATAGTATTTTTCATAATACTATTTAATTAAAGTAATTAAAAATAAAGCAATTAATTACTTAATTAAATTAAATAGTATTTAATTGTTTTATTTACTGTTTAATTAAAGATTTTAATTGATGTACTACATACTACATTTTTATTATTTTATCATTACACGCTTAAAATAATGAAAATCCTCTTGGTTTCCCTTTGAGATCATCATATGAGCATGGCAGTCAACGCGTTACACATATTGATATATGGCGAGGAATTTCTATTTAATTTCGTTGTGGAATGCCAGGCAAGCGTTGCGGAATTTCGAACGCTGTGTGAAACCAGGTGGCCTGCTGCTGATTGATCACAGGAATTACGACGACATAATTGAAACTGGAAATATCCCGTCAAAATGCATATACTACAACGTACGTATATTCCAGTAACTGTTGAGCAAGCAACTTACACTACGTATACCACAGATAAATTTTTGATTAAATACAAAATTCTCTGTCTCTATAAATACCATATGAGCATTCAAAATTATTTATTATTATTATTATATTATTATTTATCAGTTGATGGAACTTTCCAGATTTTTAATCGCCAGATTTCGAATTTCGAACGCGTTTGCACTCCCCATTGAAGTTAATTCGGTTTGAAACAATTTTTAGAGTCAACGCATGACGGACATCAAGGCGTCGGTGCTGTTCGTTTCCGGGAAACCGGCTATCGTCACGTTGGATTATATGATAATGATGGACGAGGGGGAGGACGAGAACGAAGAGCAAATGCAGATCAACGAATTCCGGTTGTCCTATTACCCGCACCGATTGAACGTGTTCACCGACATGTTGGGCGAGGCGTTCCATTACAGGGCCAAGAACACCATCTACGGCGACTTCAAACCCCTGGATGGAACGGACACTCCTGGCTTCTACATCCACGTGATAGAGAAACCAGCGTAACCAGGATTTCGAAGCGAGCTGCGACTGTTTGCGCGGGGATTCACGCCTTCGTTTCCTCCATTTTATTTCGTGCAACGTGGAGGAATCTCATGCAAGAAGTCTCAACGTGGAGAATCCTCGAGATGCCATTTGATCAGCTCTGACCATCCTAGGAACTTCTGTGTTCTGCATCTTTTTTATTACTTTCCCTCGCGTTGTGAGAAACTCTTCTTACATCTTCTCTTTTTTATATATATGTATATATATATATATACACACATAAAGAAAATATATATTCTTTATATATAAATATGTATATTAATATAATATTATATATATTATGTATATATAATATATAAAAATAATACAGGATGGGCCAAAAGACACTTCCTACTAAAAGAAGAGCACAAATCTGCGAACGCTTTGACCGTTAACGTTTGAAAAAAATAATTTTTTAAAACATAATGAAAAAATGTTTGAACTAAAATTTAATTTCATAATTAATAAAATTAGTTTTCTCTTGTATTGCCATGTTTTATTGAAAAAAAAAAAAAAAAAAAAAAAATGGGAATAAACCTTTGGCCCACCCTGCATATATTATACACATATAGGGATGTATGTTAAAAAATGTTAACTCGAAATTGGCACTGAGAAAGAGGAATAATTAAAGAGTAGCGGAGGGGAAAAAAATTGTGACTGATTCGAGGGGAATGGAATTCGCAAAAATAGAACAGCGCAGCCCAGTCAAGTTTTAATCCTTTTTTTATTATAAGTTCGAAAGCAGCTTTCTTTTGAGTATTCTAGCCAGGCTTCGTTCGATGCTACAATTTGATCATCTCGACGATACGATTTTTTTCGATCTTTTATTTTACGTCTTTTTTTGTCTTTTGTTTTTTTTTCTTTTTGTCTGTCGTTAAATATCTTCGTCTCTCGGTGGTTTTTTTTTTTTNTTTTTTTTTTTTTTTTTTTTTTTTTTTTTTTTTTTTTTTTTTTTTTTTTTTTTTTTTTTTTTTTTTTTTTTTTTTTTTTGAGCGGTCGTTGACGCCGATCTGTCACGGACTCCTTCGATCGATTCTCATTCCTTCTTTCTCTAATCCGTTCGGATGCTTCGCAAAATAAGATCGGGAAGACTAGCGAACGTAAGATTTCGCGGGAGGATTCGAAGTTTCGGTTAGTCTTCACGGTAGTCTGGCGCTTGCTAGCTCTACGATGTACTCGCCGCTCGAAACGAAACTGTCCATCCGGGTTTCGAAGCAGACCGAAAATTTTCCCCCCGTTATCGATACTTCGATTCAATCGTCGGTGGCGCCACATTCGAATGTCGTTCGAACCTAACCTCAAAAGATCGTACCATTTTCCTGAACTACTAGCGTTTCATTTCAAATGTCGTCCCTCGTCGCTGTACAATCCTTAACACCTCGCCATAATTACCCTCTACAGAGGGGGAGGAGGGGAGAGGGGGAGAGGAATGGGGCGAAAACCCATGAGGATAACCTTGTAACCTATACAATTTTTTTATAGTACCCTTTTGGACAATCTCGAGTAAGAATCGCTCGGTCGCCGATTTAAACGATTGAATATTTACAGAATTCTTCGGTAACCGGAGCCGAATTCTTCGAGAGAGGATTCCAAGGTCATCCCTTGGCTCAAACACAATCAAACTCGAAGAACGACCACGATCCTCTGAGAACGCGCAACGGGGATGTACTCTCCCCCTCGAAGGGGATACTCTTTTTTTCTTTTCTCGCTCGATCATTTCACCGTCGATCGTCGACGATCGCTCGAAAATGAAAACAACAACAAGAACATGAACGCGGCGAGAAGGGTGTTCGCATATAGGGCCATTCTCGTTCGTCGCGTTTTCGATTTTCGATCTCTCTTGGGCTCTCTCGCGTCAAACGATCGCACGATCTTTTTTTTTTTTTTTTTTTTTTTTTTTTTTTCTTTCTTTCCGCGAGAGTAGGCGAACAGCTCGGGGGATGATCTCGTCGATTATCAACCGCCACGGGGATCGATCGTCGTTCGCGAATTTACGGATCTCGCTTTATTTTCATTTGATTTCCCGTCCTGTCGATAGAAAAAGTGGAAAAATCGAAGATTCGGAGAAGCTTCTCGATCGCCTCTTGCACTTTGTTTACGTTCGCGTTGTTCGTTTACGTTTCCCTCGCGAGGCAACGGCGTCTCGAGTTACAAATGAAAACAAGCCGAGTACGGGAGAGGTTATGTTCGTTGAAACGCTATTTTCTATCGGTGAGAAGCCATTGATCTGAAATTGTCCTTCGAAAGAGTCACGTGTGAAGTCGGGTAAAGTTGAGCGACGGTCGCGAGGAGGCGATCGATCCCTCGTGACGGTTCGATCATCGGAGAGCAGTTTTCCGGAAATGTGACAAGGACAGAATTTACAAGGCCGAGGACTTGATTACAGTGCAACGAATTGCCCATATAGAAAAATGGACGAAGTGTTTAGTTATAGCAAAAATTTGTTCTTACCCCCCCCCCTTTTTTTTTCTTTTTGTTCTAATAGTAATCATAATAATGATTATAATAATAATATATATATATTTTTTTTCTTTATTTCTTTGTTATTCCGCCGGATAGCTACTATATATAGACTCTCTTGATCATCTTCACAAAAAAATTCGGTACGATCACGGCTTCTTCGATCGTCGTGGCGATCACAGTCGTTGTCGCGTAACTTTTGCTTTTTCTTCTTTTCTTTTTAACAAGAAAGAAAAACGTCCTTTAGTCTTTCATACTTCTCCAAGAAAAAAAAAAAAAAAAATTACGAGATTAAATTCAAGCAAAATCCTTGACATAGGCACAGGCACAGATTTGATCACGAAACGTAACGAAGCGGAAATCTGACGAAGAACTGAAAACTTGAAGCTTCACTTGTTCGTAAACCTGTCGTTGACGGAATGAAAGTCAACGACGACGACGACGACGATGTCGACAACGACGACCCGTGTCGCGACGTTCTCCGCTCGAGTACGGCGATAATCCGTTATTGCAAAGTAGCTGATATATATAAAAAATCGTAATATCACATGTTTATCATATCCTCTTTCGTCGCGTTGCCCTTCTTTCTCACGGCACTACTCGACAACGACTCGTCTTGTCGGTATGTATCTTCGACGCGGACACCAATCGCGCTCCTTCATCTCTGCCATCTTCGATTCTCTTCGAGAAATCGATCGAGACGACGCTCCGTGCACGTACACACACCGTTCTATGGAAAGAAAAGAAGAAAAAAAAAAAAAGACGATGAAGGTTCGTCGTTGCAACTGCCACAAAAGCGGATCGATCCGCGTTGGCAAAACGTTCAAAAAGACCGCCAATTTCCAATATGGCGGATCAGTAAGCCGAACGTGCCATCCACCTCGATTATTTGCCGCCTCGTTATCGGCTTCGTTCGGGCTTCATCGCGTTGAAAATTGGCTCGCTGCGAACTGGTTGCTGGAACGTTTCGATTTTGTCGAGTATCGCATGGCTGGCAAGTCCGAGTGGCATACAAATCGAAGGTTTTATGAAAAACCAACATGGCGCCGGATTTACCGAGAAGGTGAAACGTGTCGTCAGTCTTCGATAATTTCGATGCAACGGTTAACAGAACAACGGTTTCGACGGTGTCGACTTACTGATCGCCAATGTTGTATACTGTTAAATTCGACGGGGATGAGGATACGTGCGCGAGAAGAGAAGCTCTCGGACAGCGAACAGAGCGAGTCGACTCTCTCTCCATTCCAAAATCGCTGGTATCATCGGTGGAACGAAACATGTTTCTAACGTGTCGATTCGAAATTGAAATTGAAATTGGCTTTAACTGAACCAAGCAAATACACAAATACATTTCTATTTTCAGAATTTCTGTAAGATCGAAAGGAAGAACTTTGAAAATTAACCCCTTGCCTTCACAGACACTAGTGGGCATTTCTACAGCATACCACGTATATATAATATGTAACGACGCGTATATATAATATAATTAAACTTTTTACGAACATAATCTTCGTATAATTTCTTTACTAAATCGAAACTATATTCCTTGCCTGTGATTCACTGCGATGATTGTGATTCGGCGTTGCAACACGAGACAAAGAGTTAACTTTGCTAACCGCGCGATTTGGAATGGCAGGTTGATCGACCGGATATGCAGCGTTGAAATGGAGCAAAGACGTACCGTTCCTCGACAGTAATTCTCAATCGACGCGCGTCACCTGTTAGAAACATTGAAACTTCCGCGTTCGTCTTAAAGTGTACCAGAAACTACAATAGAGCCAGCTATATCGTCACCGCCGCTAAAACCTAATTAACAAAGTCCTCGTAACTGCTTGATAATTCAACATCTTTCTCTTCGTTTTCTCCTCGCCTCTCTCTCATGTGACATCGTTAAGTCACTGTCTGCATTGTACGCTCTTCGTCTTCATTCTTTTATGCAACGCATGAGCACCCACCCACCCACCCACCCACACACACACACATACACACACAAACACACACACTCTCTCTCTCTCTCTCCCATATTCTTCATTTCTATTTAATATTTATAGTATTTACACGCGTGGGTATCCCTGTCAGCGCGTTTGCCCGTGTTCCCTTCGTTTTTTTATTGTTTACTCGCTACGAATCGTCGCGGATCGACGGATTCAGTCGTGTATGCTCGGGTCTCGACGATCTCTCGTGGTTCTCCTCCCACCAACCCACAGAACCGAATTTCGTTCGAATCCGGACGACGTTACGCGAAGTACCGGGGCACTTACTTTTTTTTTTTTTTTACTTTGAGTCAACAGTGCCAAAAAGCGATGCCTGGCTCGATTAATTTACAGAATTTCGATCGTTCTCGACGGTTCGACTCGCCTACACGATCGACAGCAATTGTAAACAAAGAGGATTAAACGCGTTCGTCTACGTCAGCGCGTGTATGCTGCTTGTTTTGGATCGTCGAGATTCCGCCATATGCAATGCAGATATATGAGGGGAATCGCGGCGTGAAAAAATGATATATATAACCTCAAAAGCTTCGAAGTCGTTCGCATTGTCTCGCCTATATACGTACGTATGCATGCATGTATGTATGTATGTATGTATGTTTGCGGCTTAAGCTAACGAAATATATATATATATATATTTATTTATTTATATATATCTATATCAGAGGCTTATTCGATTAATCGCAATTTTCTCTCTACACGTGAGATCAGTACTTTCCATCTTTGATTGTCCTTCAGAATTGTGTTATTTTTCAAGATTCTTTCTCGTGGCGGCAGCAACGTAAATGTAACGTACGTATGTTTCGTGTATGTGTGCATGTGTGTGTGTTCTCTGTCTATATGTATATATACACGAATGAACGCGTCGGTGTATGTGTGTGTGTGACTATTCTCTCGTTGTTTTGAATCGAAGTTTCGCTCGAAATAGAAAGCTGCGCCGGAAGCCGAGAAAGAATTAAATCAGACGAAAAGAAGAGAAAAGAAAAGAATAATCGCGGTGGTATCTTTTCAGGTTGTTTTTTTCTTTTTTTTTTCTCTCGTTGCAAACGCGTTGACACGAATCACGCGCCATTTCACCAGTTTTTTTCTTTTTTCTATGTATACTTTTTATATATATATATATATATATGTGTGTACGTATGTATGTACGAATATATATACACGTTGTCATAGTTACAAGATATATGTATATATATACACCTAATATTGCTGTTTGGCTTCCGTGAATGCCACGTGAACGCGGGATTAGGTCATGTTCTGCGACGTAACAAAGTACATTTACACGTACGGAATCTTTTAGCTTCCGTTTTGGCGTCTTACACCCGCCATTATCGCGAAGTTGCGACCGGAAGAGTCGTAGCACTTCGAATTCGGTCAAAATGCGAGCAATTGTTTCTTTTTGCTTGGTTTCTTTTCCCACCATTTGAATCTCGCGCGCGATTGCTCTGTACAGGAAGTATTCGAGGCGCTGCCTAAATTGACTCTCAATGACTTGTAATTACATGTTTTGATCGTCGCGTCGCGACACGCATCGAGAACCATTATCGAACTGAACGTCTTGAATTTCGTATTCCGTTTCTTTATGTTCTCGGTTTCTTTTTTTTTTTTTGTTACTAAGAGTCGGATGAAAAACCTCGGGCAACGAGGAGAAGTACGTTGTTCGATATAACGTCGTTTAAAAAAATAAAGAGTGACCTTTGTCGGTAGCTTCGATAGGCACCTACGAGAACAGGGTTTCCTGGCGAGTTCCTTCTCGTTGGACAGCTTTGCAACCTCGATTCTTATTATCTTTCCTCAACCGTTCAACTCTGACGACGATGGTTCGCGAGTCGATTTACGAACGAGATCTCCTCGAGGGAATGACGAGAATATTTTCTGAAGGGGAACTTACAAAAACGTGAAACGGAGCACTTTTACCTACACCAGTCAACTACAAATCTATTGAAACTTAACTAGAACTGAAAAACACCGACGACCAAAGCACAAAATTTCCATCCAGAAACGTTAAAATAAGAGAATGGAAAAGCTTTACAATGCAACAAATCACACAAGCTTGTATTTGCACAATTTTCGAAAAATTGTCTAAATTTTTAAAAATACATCATTCCATGTCTAACGTTTCTAACAAGAAATCATAAATTGGCCAATTTCGACCACTTTGGTAGTTCTAGTATTAAAAAATTCCACGAGTTTAATTCTTTTAATTTTTTTTTTTTTCTTTTTGGGAAGATACGAAGAAAAATGAAAAAGAATACCTCGCCAGAAAGAAAAAGTACAATCAGTAGGCCATACAACGAGTAAAATTTAAATGACTGAACTACGTGTTTAAAGAAGATAAAAAACTAACCTCAAATTTGGCAAAATGTGTGTACAGTCATTGAAGCATTCGGTGGAAAGCTCTCGAGCCCCCCCCCCCCCCCCACGATGAATTTTCACACAAATTCACGCACTCGTAATCGATCATTAACACTAGAACTAACAAAGTGGTCAAAATGACCAATTTATAACTTGTTATGGAAATTTCATGTACTCACAACAGTATATTTTTAGATATACTGTTCGAGTAACGTTTAATATTTATATTTTTATATTTAACAAAATATATTAATAGAAGCTTGTGTTCTTTATTGTATTATTAACTTCTTCTTGTACCTTGCACTTCGATCTCTTTGCTACAAATGTACTTTAGTCGTCTATAGATCTAGTGTTTATCACACCTTGTCTTTGGTGTCATTTTTTTCATCTCTGTATTACACGTATTTACGCAAACATACGCACACAGTCCACGTGATACGAACAAACTATTCCACGTTGTCTCTTTTTCAGAGAAGGTAGAAATGAAATAGAGAAAAAAGGGAGAAACAGAAAGATGAACATAACACCATGGTACAGCAATGGCGAAGCAACAATAAACGACTCGACAATGAACGTCTCGATGCTTTCCATCTCGAGTCACGGAGCTCGACTATCCGAAAATTCAAATACAGATATCAGTATAGTATCGTTCTTACTCCTTTGATACCTTTTACGCTTCAACAGTTAGTCGTTGAATCTGAACTGTTTCAAGCAATTGAAGAATCGCGCGTTATTGTTTATTTTACAATTGTGAATGTTTTACAATGTTTATTGTAAGACATTTACAGTTCATTGTTCATTTTACAATTGTGAACGTCTTACAATGTTTATCAACACACTGACTGCCACCTGTTGGTCACCTGTGATAATGAAGATTGTTCCCTTCCATGGGGTAATCAGTAACCAACGAGCTGCTCCAAATATGTTTCGAATAAGTGAAATAAAATGAATATTAAACGTCATAGTCAACCAGACATTATGAAGTAAAATGTAACTTATATAAATATATAATATTCAACAATTAAAGATTTTAATTAAAACATCTATATATAAGTGAAATAAAATGAATATTAAACGTCATAGTCAACCAGACATTACAAAATAAAATGTAACTTATATAAATATGTAAATATAATATTCAACAATTAAAGATTGTAATTAAAACATCTATGTATATTGTACCCTTGCTATTTTGTCTTTCATTCATTACATGCCATGGAGTAATGAAAATTTTCTTGCAGGTGGGCCATGCGTGACAGTCAACGTATCAATAATAACTATTTTCTTTCATTCGTCTAGAATCGATTAAGGGGGTGGTGGAAAACGAACAACGATTCTCTAACTGCTTCTGGAGTATACTGTACACTGGAGTAACTTCGTTCTATACTCTTTCGTCCGCTATACTTCTCGTCCTCTTCTCTATCGTCTTTTTTTGTTCGTTTTCTTTTCTTTTGTTGTTGTTGTTGTTGTAGTTACTTTAAATCTATCGCGCGCAACCACGAGCTTCTAGCTGAAATCTTCTAAAGATGCGTGTAAACCTACGATTACAGTGTATGTGTGTGTCTGTGTGTGTCTGTGTCTGTGTGTGTGTGTGTGTGTTACTTTTTACGTGTCGGAACACGCGAGTATTGCGGATTTTCTTTTAGTTTTTCAATCGCTCGTTTGAACGTTTCGATGTCTCGAAGAAGCCGTCGCAAGCAGTATATAATTCGATATACTTTTTTTTTTTTCCTCTTTTTTTCTTTGGTTTGCTGCTTTGCTTTTTAATCGCGCGTTCGGCCATGCAAAAATATGCCGTATGTTTGTATTTATAATAGCGGGGCCGTTTCGCCGGCACGTCCCCTCTTCTTATACTTTCTCAACCTTTGTTCGTTCATCTCTTTGGCTTCTTTCTTCGTATTAAATTCGATCGACGACCCGCGAAATTCTTAATCTGAAGAATCGGTAGCTTCCTTTCTTTTCTACTTTCGTGTCGCGTTCGTTTTTTTCGTACCGACGAAAACCGCTCGCTGAAGACCAGACGCGAAGCGATTAGCGAAAATGCGACATGTCCGTTGAAACGCGATGAAATAATTTTACAGATAGCTTCACTCTACCGGTACACACTCGGTTTCGTTGAAAAGAGTTCGCTGAAATAGCCTAACCGCCTGTTCCTCGGCAAAAATCGCAAATCCTAATCGCGTAACCTATATTCTCATGTAACGTGTAACATTCTTCTTTCTTCAAGTGTCACGGTAACTTCCAGAATAGCTACTTTCCTCTGTCCACCGCTCGGAATTGGACCGACAGCTCCGATATACATATAAATATATATATATATCATTCCATCCAATCGTACAAAACACAATAATCTCGAATATACACCAGTCCCAACTCAGCTTATATCTTACTAAACCTAACTTCAAAAAAAAAAAAAAAAAAAAAAAAAAAAAGGGTACTCCATTCAGAGTGCTTCAGAGAACTACACGGTTCAGTGTATCAGTGAATCAGAAGATCAGCCTCGAGACGACCGCCCGGAACCTCAAGAACTTTCACAAGTACTCCCTAGGCCTGGGCGGAGGCCTCTTCCTGTCGGACCTGTCGCTTCGATCCGTCGCGGTGGCGCTCGGCTCCCTGTCGTCCGTGCACTCGAGCATCTGCGTAGTCTCTGTCGCCTCCGACGGGCTGATCGGTTGGCTAGCTAACGGCGCCAACGGCGCGGCTCCCTTGTTCCTCGATTTGCTTCTTCTCTTCCTCAGAATCAGCGGGCCAAGTGGCGTGCTGTCGTCCCCCCTGGAGGTGGACGCCTGGGCCAGTCTCTCCAGCAACTCTTTGCTCACTTCCCTCGAGGAAGCCTTGTAGTCACTACTGTCCTTCAGTCTGTCGGACTGCTGCGACTGATGATGGTGATGGTGATGATGATGGTGTTCCTGGGACTTGGAGCTCCTCTCCGTGGCCGTGCCCTGCTCCCTGTAGCCTTCGGTCGTCGACGTGGACGCAGTCGCTATTGAGACCTTCTGCTCGCCGTTCCCACCGGGTGTCTGCGTTGTTTGGGAACCCTGCTGGCTGCCGGAGCCCGGCTGCGGCTGACTGGTCGACTGATTCAGCGAGCAGCCGCCGTTGCCGCCCGTCGGGAAGCTGTTCGTGCCCTTCTGCTGCGGCGGGCTAGCCGCGGGAAGCCTGTTCATCAACGTTTGCAGCATATCCTCGATCTTCGCCAGTCTCTGGTTCACCCGCTGCACTTCCAGCTTCAAGTCCACCTTCACCTCGAGCACCGCCGCCAGTATCTCGCGGTCGTGGCTCGACTGGGTGGTGATCAATCCGTCGTCGTAACTCTCCAGTCGACGTAGCTGCAGCTGCTTCGAATCTGCCACCACCGTTTGCTGTTGCTGCTGCTGCTGCTGCTGCTGTTGCGCGTCCTTCGCGTTCTCAACGTCGCCCGACTCCTCGATGGTGCCTGTCAGCTTGCCAAACTTTGGGAACACTTTGTTGCTGCTGGCGCTGGAGCTGGGCCGGGCGTCTCTCGCGCTCAGGGATCGTTTGAACGTGTCCACTCCGGTTCCCGTCTCGCTCCCGGAGTCTAGGCTGGAGCTTCCTGTTAAAAGTCAATCGATGTATGATGTATTTATATCTGTTACACAAACGTTTGATAATAATCTTCTTCAGGTCAAACTTATTGCAACTATTATATTCGTAGTGTTACTTGTATATGTTTCAAGTATTATATATAGTACAAGTAACAATATTAATATCAATATAATTAAATATATATATATATATTTGTATTATTAGTATTTAATTATTTTATTAGTTGTTAGTATTTATTATATTGGGACTAATATATATGTATATATTACTATTATAATACACACATACACATTTTTAATATAATTATTATTAGTACTATATAGAACTATGCAATTAGTACTAATATATTAACATATAACATATTAATATATATGTATTATGACTAATTATATATATAGTACTAATACAATTATTAGTGTTAGTACTAACATGTATACTAATACAATTAATATTATATATATAAATATTTTATATATTAATAATAAAATATATATATATATATATTACTAATACAATTGTATCATTACTAATATATGGTACTTTTAATAAGGTACTATTACAATTAATATACAATATAATAATATATTATAATAGTATATTATAATAGTAATATGGTACTGATATAAAATTATAGTAGTAATATGGCACTATTACTGATATACAATTATAATAGTAATATGGTACTATTACTGAGATAAAATTACAGTAGTAATATGGCACTATTACTGATATAAAATTACAGTAGTAATATGGCGCTATTACTGATATAAAATTACAGTAGTAATATGGCGCTATTACTGATATAAAATTACAGTAGTAATATGGCACTATTACTGATATAAAATTACAGTAGTAATATGGCCCTATTACTGATATACAATTATAATAGTAATATGATACTATTATTCATATACAATTATAAGTATCAGTATCAATATATATATAAAATCATTAGTATTAACATATATATTTAATTAAATACCAGTAATTAACATTTACTAGTATTTAACTGTATTGTTACTTTTAATCATCCCCAAGTTACCTTCCTCACCGTCATTCCGAACACACAAGAATTCAGAACGAATTTTGAAACTGAGTACTGAAAACAAGAGTGCATATTTGGCAGTTGTACCTAAGAGCCGTCCCCACTTCCCGGCCCGTCCCTTGACGGCAGTGTTCTCCTCCGCGGTGGAGAGTTTCCTGGTGTGCGACGACTCACCCTCCTTCCCCTCCTTCCCGTCCTTCCCGTCGCCCTTCTCCACGTCAGCATTGTGCCTCTCCCTGCGGAACCTGGATAGAAAAACGTAAAAGAGCGAGAACGCCCGTGTTTAGTCGCGTCGACGTGACTCGCTGCCGTCTATTTACATTACTTGGGATTAAGAGGCCAGTTTCACTAGGCGGTCAATTAAATAAAGGGGCGGTGGGTGTTCGGTGGGGTGGGGTGGAGGGAAGTATAATAAGATTACATGGTGTATACAAATCGTGGGCAGGAGGATAATATTGTACATATTTAAATATCTGTTCTTTTTTTTTTTTCCATGTCCAAAAGTTTCACACACGTAGCATGTATCCATATATATACACATAATATATATATATGTTTCTTCACATAATATACATATATATATGTTTCTTTTTTTCTTTTGTTTAGATCAGTTCAGGTTTGTGAAACTTTCTTCTGTTCCTTGATCGTGGCACGATCGATAATCACTTCATTCATTTTCAGATTTCAGGGGGGGGGGGAAGGTTAAGGGGTACGTATTCATGCAAAATATATATAAATTGATATATACACAGGTATTTATATATATTTTACACATGTACTTTTTCTTTTTTTTGGTTAGACGAAGAACAATTGTTCCTTCTTTCTTTCTTTCTTTGCTCTGGTTATTGGTTCTGCATTTTCTTTTTTTTTTTTTTTTTCTGGTGGCAATTGAGTCAAGTTCGTTCTACTGAGGCTAGAGAAAGGGGAGACAGCTCCAGCGGTGTTCACGAGCAACCTACTTTGATGTGCCTACGGGATTCGAAAGAAAATATGTCTCGGTGGTGATAAGATGCCGATAAAACATACGGGATAACCTGGCGACGTCGATGAACCGATTGTGGCCTCGTATCTATCAGAAAAGAAAACAAACAGAAGGGAAAGTAAGTACAGAACAGAATTTTCCCACTTAACATATACACACTTAGAAGGCATACAGAGAGGGAAAGTAAAAGAAATTATAAATAAAAAGAAAAAAAGAAAACACGAAAAGAAACGTCGCACACATTGTAACGAAGGTACAGAAAGCAAACTGTGATTTAGGAAACTGTGTAGGAGGCGAATGTTTGCGTGTATACAATGACCGTGCGATCAATTCAATTATCACGATCGTTCGTTTGATATTCAATCGACTAATGTTTCTCACGCGATGACATTCTGATCGTGATAACTTGATCGTTGATAAGATATATGGTTCAGATTTTCCGCGTTTCTTCGGCCGAGGTGTTTGACCTTTCGCAAATGAAAAAATCGGGAAAATCGTTGTCGCATGTACTTTTCAGGTTGAACTGGCCGACTTAGAAACTCCGTTCTCGAGAATTCAGCAAGTAATTATGCCCCGTATTTTGCCCGTCGGGGCCATCAATGTTTAAATTATCGGTTATGCGCCGCCTAGCACCAATGGGACGCGAGCGGAGAATAACAAAACGGTGTATAAATAGGTAAAGCAGTCCACGGGCACGCGTGTTCCTTCGTCGCCCCGCGGGGGACACCTTCTCCAGCGTATCGGATTTCTTACGAGAAACGGTATAAATACAACGAAAAAAGACCCGCAAGATTCGGTAAGTTTCAACTTTAGAACTTTCTTTACGTAATTTTTTTCTTCCATCGATAATCATTGCTTTGATTACTGATTTTTCAGGAATGAAAGTGGTCGGTCCAGAACATTCTAGATTTGTTTCTTTTGGACTTCTCACGGATTCTCAAGACACGTTCCACTTGTTATTCATGAATCCCTCGAAGTTTCCTGAAGACGATATGAAGGCACTCGTGGGATAAATTTTCTATGAATAACAATCGTCTAATTTGTTTTTTTTTTTTTTCTTTTTGACGGAAGGAACATGCTCGAGCGTCGAGTGAAATAGGTGGAAAGAAAAGTTTGTCCGTGGCTGTCATTGAAGATGAATTCTACACCTTCGGTTTGATGGAAATACGTGTGAAGACTCTGTCGCGAAAATTGATCTTGACCTTGAATTTCAAGGTCGAAACTCTCTTTTTTCTTTTTTGCATTGTATTCTACTCGTCACGAGGGTAAAACTTTTCCAGGGAACCGCAATAATTCTCTTGAGAAATGAGAAAAAAGTTCCTTGACTGTTTAACAATGTGGACTTGTGCGTTCTAACAGCGACTTTATGATTCTGGAGGATGTAACATTTATATTTCGAATAACGTGAACAGTTAGTTTTATCATTTGATTATTTAGACTCACGCGACTATGATGAATGAAATGTTACTGAAACCCGATACGAAAATTAATAGAAAATAGGCATCCACGCATCTAGAATCCTAAAGTCGCTGTTAGCAGGTAAAACTTTTTCAAGGAACCATAAGTAGGTCGCAATCTAATAATTCTCTCGAAAAATAGAAAAAGAGGTTTCTTAATCGTTGAACATTGAGGACGCCTGCGTTCTAACAGCGACTTTATGGTTCTGAACATGTGAACATAATGTTTATATTTCGTATAAAGTTGAGAGTTAGTTTTATCATTTGATTATTTAGACTCACGCGACTATGATGAATGAAAATGTTACTGAAACCTGATACGAAAATTAATAGAAAATAGACAACCACACCAGAACCCTAAAGTCGCTGTTAGCAGTATCAAATGATTAAGAAACTTTTCTGTCATTTTTCAAAAGATCTATTAGGTTCCTTGAAAAAATTTTACCGTGAAATTCAAGATCAATGTTAATTTTGTGGCAGATTCTTTACACATAGTTCCATCAAATCATAGTGGTATAGTTCATCAATGACAGCCACGGGTAAACTTTTCTTTCCACCCTGTACCGAGGACTCCTCCAACGACGACGTGTGAAATATTTTCTCGTCTGACGAGTTTGTCAGAAACGTAGAAAAGAAAAAGTACATAAGTAAACGAGGTGCCAATTTTCTGGCGCGACGAGAATTTCTATTCGGCCTCAATTGTGGTTCATCGACGCAACGTTAGATGAGACAGTGGTGAATGGTAAACGAGCTGCCTGATTAACTGTTGGAATGCCATCATCGGGCGATCATACTCGATCGGAACAAGGTTGGAAAAGTAAGAAAAAAAAAAAAAAAAAAAAAAAAAAGGAAGAAGAAAAGAAAAGGGAGAAGAAAACGAAAGAGAATGTACACCCGCCTCGTTCGTTCTAATCTCGTCTCTCGTCTCCAAAAAACTGTTAGTCGTTATTAAAAAAAGATACTCTATGTGACTATCATGCACGGAGGAAACATGCCGCCGATCGAGGCTTCTAGAAATAAAATCGGTCGATCGAGAAGAGAAGTCGAAGATCCGGAGGGAACCTTCGTTAGAAATCGTCTGGCAGTCTGGCAGTTTTTCAAGCAGCTACTTCGCATCGTTAATATATATATGTACATACATACATACATATATATCGCACGTGTGTACACGCCACGCGTATGTGTATGTATATAAATACAGGTGACAGAGAGAAATTTGAATCCTAGAGTGTGTGTACGTCACATGCATTCGGCGTTGCATAAAAATCGTAAAAAGGAACGGATGCTCGAGGCGCGATGGAAGACTCTGGTATCCCTTTCAAAAGAATTCTTTTCAAGCGAACTTTTCTTTCTTCTTTTTTTTTTTTCCTCTTTAGTTTCCCTCTTGGTTTTTAATAGAAAGGCACGTGATGTCGAGAGCAAAGTGGACTGACAAAATTGCAATATTCTCCAATAATTCAGGCAAAACAAGTAACAAATTTATCACTTCTCAATGGAAGTTCTCAAAAGCGAGAAATCACGGTTTGGTCGCTCGTTATGGTCCGCAATCAGTTGCCAACGCGAGACTCCACATTATCTTTGCGTTATCTTTGATTAGATAATGATCCTCAAGGTTTGTGTGCTATCTCTCGTGGATGAGAGTTTAATCGCGATAGTCTAGAATCAAAGTAGTATGTTGAAATAATTAATGATATTTTCATTACAAAAATACCTGCACATTAGTAATCACAAGTAAGTATATATTAGCAATTACAAGTAAAATCTAGTAAAACCAAAATACGTAGCATCCAGTTATTTAGAAAAGGAGTGTCTCAGTCCATTTTTGCCCTCGCATATTGCACAGCAATCATGCTGTTTTATCAAACGAATGATAAAACAGTGCGACTGCTCGCAAGTAACAGAGATTAGATTATATTGAAAGAAATAGAGAGTCCTCGAGTTTCTATAAATCCTGGTTCCACTAAGAATATATGTAACATATGTATATATATATATATATATATTTATTTATTTATTTATTTATGGTGGGAGAAAGATGCGCATAACCCTCTAAAGCCGTATATTTTACAGCACTCTAGCATTCGTCAGAACTGCAGTGATCGTCAAAAGAAATGACAAAGACTCGTATTATTAATGGCACCAATGGTGATGTGTACGCATCATTGAACGATGCGGCTCCTGGGCAAATCGATTTCGAGTTTTTCCCATCGTTACATTCTACAAAAAAAAAGAAAAAAACAACCGTGTCAGAAGAAAGAAACGACACGTACAGGATGAGAGGGGAGAAAAAAACAAAAAAAAAGTGGAGCAGTACTTTGCATGGTGTGATCCCGGATGATTCAAGTCAGTTGAAGAAAAAAGTTCACGTGTAAAAATGTGTCGCTTTGGGACTTGATCTTAATTTAACTTTGTTAAGCGGCGCACACCTGGGACAAACCTCTCTCATTCTATTTCATTTACACTTTGTGCTTCGCAGTCTCTCTCTCTCTCTCTCTCTCTCTCTCTCTTCTCAACTTCTCAGGTTCCCAACTTTCCATCTGATTTTTGGTATTGAACGTATGTCGAACGTTCGAACGTAAAGTAATTCTGTAATTCACTGTCAATGAAATTAATAAATTTCAATCGTCAAGTGATCCAAAGGTAAGTAATTGATCTCGTCTCTTGCACTCTTTTCTTCGTTGTCTCGATCGTCCAGACTCACACCACACCTGAACATTGTCCATTATACTCCCTACAAAACAAAGAGAAGAAAGGGAAAAAAAAAACAGAAAGAGGCAAAACAAAGAGGCAATTGTAAAGAAGATGGTGCGAGAGGATTAAACAGAATGAAATAAAATACGGGAACTCGATTTACCCAGGCTACCTCGTTTGACGTGCTGGAGTGAGAGTACAGTATCAGTATAATAAGTTTCTCTTTTCAAGCGTGTGTACAGCGATTGCACATCCGTGATACCCTTCGGAACCTTTTTCCTCTAGAAATGCGTTATCGGTCGCGCGAGAGTATGCATGAAAGTATCGGTACGCGACACGACTAGAAGTGGAAGAAGAAGTAAGAAGGAAGAACAAGAAGAAGAAAAGTAGCAAAAAAAAAAAAAAAAGTGAAAAAAAAACATCGTGGTCTCGCGAGCTGCGTTCGATTTTCTTTTTTTTCTTTTTTCTTTTTTCTCTTGCGTTTTATTTTTAACAACGGAACACAGAAAAATTCTGCACGGCCCGTTTTATTTGCTGTAATGGTAAGCCGCTCGTCCCGTGTCGATCTAAAAAAAAAAAAGGTATGCGCCGTGTTTCGAATCTCAACGTAAAAAAAAAAAAAAAAACGCTCTCTCAACAGTTGCTCATCCGTGATACTATGTAAATAATTTAGGTAGGTATACATGTATAAAATCGACCCGTATACACACATATATATATATACATATATAGATATAATGATAATTTTAATTATACGTTTGATGACTACAGGGGAGGGACACGATAATTTAATTTTATAGTAATTGTGTGTCACGATAATGTGTATTTTCTTTTATTAAAAAGCAATATTAAAATTCAGTACGTTGGTACCAAAATTTAAGACTGAATAAATTAATTTATTTAATTTGTTAATTTATTAATTTAATTTAATTTTTCTCCAGTTTTTTTTTTTTTATTTACAGTTGCATCGTGTATGAAATTTTCATGTTTCTCCCTTTCTGAAAATTGGAATATATCTAGGAAATTGTGTACAATATATGTATATATATATATATATATATATATATGTATATGTATATGTATATGTATATAGAGAAAAATCACAGTTGAGAACAGTAATAATAATAATAATATATATAATGATGTACAATCATAATAACGATGGTCAAATATAATCATAATGAGAAGAATAATTAATCAATATAAATATAGAGTTAATAATAATCAATAATATAAGAAAGTGTACGTAAGAAGTAGCAAAGATGGCAATAAAAAGAATGAAGAAAGATAAATAAATACGTAAGAAATGAAATTGCCTAAAACTGGGCCAGGGCGGCAGGACGTTCACGGTGAGCTCCTCGTCGGAATCCTGTTGGGACCGTCCGTTCGCGGCCCTGCTCACGCCGATCTGGGCTTCCCCGTCGGTCTTGAACCTTTACGGACAACAGGCCAGCCAAGCAACGATCAACAATCAACAATAATTTACCACAACATACGATACGAAAATTTTCTAATGTTTACTGTCTTTTCTTTTTTTTTTTTTCTGTCTTACACTCTTTGCATTGATACCTATCATATATTATGTGCGCTCGTTCTCTCTCTCTCTCTCTCTCTCTTTCTCTCGCACACTTTCACGCTCGTGCTTTTCAGCGGTCTGTTAATCGACGCTCGAATGTTTTCCCACGTATCTTTATACGCGTGTATTTCGTAGATTATTAGACGCTTTTAGACGTGAAATACACGGGTATAAGACGAGAAAGATCGTCGTTCACACGAGCCCTCATCATTCTTCCCTCTCGTTCTCTCGTCCGACACTCACAGCGAGACTGGCGCTCAAGAAAAGAAAAAGAAAGAAGAAAAAAAAAACACAAAGATGCGTACAGAGATTGCGCGCCAGCCTGTTGGATTTGCGAATACAGACCAGCGTTGTTCCACTCTGCGCGGAGGCCTCCACGTGGTCGTCGAGGCTGCACGACTCGTTAAATTATATCTCTTTAGTGAATACGTATTCGTCCATTTAAAACTCCATTTAGAGGAACGTCCAAGCCTTCGGCCTTCTTAAAAATGCAATCTCATTCAGTTGGGCAGGACGAATTCGTATTCATTGGAATTAATGTACCAAGACTCGGTCAACCTCTCCCAATGTTTCTTCACTCGACAAAAAAATCACAATGCGAATCCTGCAAAAGCGAGAGTCTTTAGAAAGTGTGTTCAGACGAAGGAGAAACGAATAGTTAATTTAAATGTTGTAGACATAAAACTTGCGAGATTGAAATATAATGGTTCAGTTCGGTTCACTTGGACTGGATTTTTTTTGTTGGAGAATGAGGGGCCACATTGAGAGAGGCGTCAGTTATTGAAATGGAATGGATCAGATGTTGAGATCCATTCGGCCTCAACGGGCACAACAAATCTATCCCTACCTCGAGAAGATTTTGCGCACCAAGTGATCCTGCGCTTGATCTAACTGCGGCTCGTTCTTCCTCCTCTCAGCCAGCTCCTTTTCTCGACGGACGTCGGCCACCTTCCGGAAGATCAGCTGCACAAAACGATTTGACATTGTTTTACACGTTCGAGACGTAACGAGCGCAATATAAAGTTACACGGGCTCGCAAAAGTATGTACGAACACTTGTAAAGTGTTTTCTTTTTACAAATATAAAATATCATGTGTATCTCCAAAATTTCGACAAAACGAAACATTTACAAGGTGTACAGAAATTTTGCAGAAATCGTAAAGTTAACTGTTTGCTTGTCAATAAGTCTCGGTATGAAATTATACATGCGTCTGTAGTGAATACAGGGTGGGCCAAAAATCATTTTCTACTAGAATAGATAATTACATATTTAGAAAATAGCTTTTTTAATAATTTTTAAAACATAACGAAACAATCATGTTTGAACTTAAATTCAGTTTAAAATTTTAAAAAAATCGGTGGGAAGAAACTTTTGGTCCACCCTGTATTTTGCAATTGTTATATACACTTTCAGGTTAGTTTCAAAACTTCAAAATGTAAAACATAACGAAACAATCATGTTTGAACTTAAATTCAGTTTCAAATTTTAAAAAAATCGGTGGGAAGAAACTTTTGGCCCACCCTGTATTTTGCAATTGTTATATACACTTTTAGGTTAGTTTCAAAATTTCAAAATGTAAAACATAACGAAACAATCATGTTTGAACTTAAATTCAGTTTCAAATTTAAAAAGAATCAGTGGGAAGAAACTTTTGGCCCACCCTATATTTTGCAATTGTTATATACACTTTTAGGTTAGTTTCAAAATTTCAAAATGTAAAACATAACGAAACAATCATGTTTGAACTTAAATTCAGTTTCAAATTTAAAAAGAATCAGTGGGAAGAAACTTTTGGCCCACCCTATATTTTGCAATTGTTATATACACTTTTAGGTTAGTTTCAAAATTTCAAAATGTAAAACATAACGAAACAATCATGTTTGAACTTAAATTCAGTTTTCAAATTTAAAAAAAATCGGTGGGAAGAAACTTTTGGCCCACCCTGTATTTTGCAATTGTTATATACACTTTCAGGTTAGTTTCAAAACTTCAAAATGGAAAACAACGAAACAATCACGTTTGAACTTAAATTCAGTTTAAAATTTTAAAAAATCAATGTGAAGAAGCTTTTGGCCCACTCTATATTTTTAATTATTAAGTATACTTATTAATTAATTACTATTATTATTTAATTATTATACACACTTTCAGGCTGGTCGCCAAATTTCAAAGTGTTTTATGGCGTTTGTGGCGGGCGTTCAAATACCTTCGCGAGCCCGTGACAATTAATTATTTTTCAAATATTCACGACGTTCCCTTACATCTTGTATTCTCTTGCATTTTCTGCAACATTTGCAGAATATGGAATTCGTTATGGAGCGCAGTATGCTTGAAGTGATTAATCAGGATGAACGACACGTCGCAGTCGAAACGACGGTGGATTATTTATGGGATCCGGAACAATTATTTATGTCCTCCAAGTCGCTCCTTTGCTATTATTATTAATGGTTTAGAACGCGTCGAACCTTTTATCGGTTTTTTTTTTTTACACCTTTTACACCTTTTACACCACGTAGGTGATCATTATTCAATTGGCTGTCGGGTGTTAATAATTACTCTTACGTGTCCAGGTCACAGATGAAACTATCGAAATAATTGAAGCATCTTCGTGAAAAATACAGCAAGTACCAAGATTCAAAATATCTACTTTTTTTTTTTATCGAAAACTCATCTACGCTCTACGTAAATTTTGTTTGTACAGTGAAGTGAAGTTAACTCAGTTACCCAAGCAACTTGCAATTCAATCTTGTATTTTGCGCGGGATAATTTAAACTTGTGCGAGAAATCAAAAATGGCGGAGAAATCAGAGGCCACATTGATCAACTCCGTAAGTTGAGAAGCACCTACAGAAAAAATGGTGATTATTTGCATCATTTTCTTGATACTTTTTAAATATAAAAATCAGTCGACTTCGTTTCACTGCTGAGCACATTCGAGATAAAAAGTATGTATTTGTGAAAAAAAAAACTCCTATTGGAATAAAATATTCGAAAATTTACTTGATTCGACAGTATATATCGAAATTTATTTATTTCAAACGTACGAGTGGGAATTGTTAATCGAAATAATAATTGTTTAAGACGTGTTAGAAATTATTATTTAAAATAATTATTTAAAATAATATTTCGAAACAGATTTCATTTCAGAGGGAAACGGAGAGAAAACAAATATCAATTAGTAATATCGAGTATTATACCTGAGTCTATTGTCATATTTACTCAACCTGCGACGTAGAAACATAAACGTGACATTAAGATACTTGTACAAGTAATTTCATTCACGTGTAAAAATAAACAATTAGGAACGATTTCACAAAAATAATATTCAAATGTTGAGAGGAACGATTCATTTCGAACAGACAAAATAAACGTAAATAAACGTACAAAATAAACGTAATTCCCACATACATGTAGAATCAAACAGATTTCCAATAATATTTCACTCGATAGAAAGAACGAATAATTGTTCAAAAATAAACGAACGAAACACTGTATGTAGAAAGTAATCTCTGCAAATATTTCGTTTGAAACACTACTTTACCCAGCGTTCTGCTTTGTTTTCTATCTCAGAAAAAAAAAAAGAAAAAAATAGATTTTTGGCACTTACGGTACTCTCTACAAGGATGCTTCGATTCTCAAACTCTCTGAACACGACTAACGTTTCCGGAGAGATGGGGGAGGAGATCTTCGTTCGTTAAGGAACGAAATCGAACGAAATTTTCAGTGACGCAACGACTCTCTGCTCGTTTTAATATTCCTTCGGCGGAATGAAACGCAGTTAACCCTCCGAGTAAATGAATTTTTTTTCGGTAATCCGGTTTCCAACGCCGGTAAAGTGTCGCTCCCCTACTGTTTCCCTTTTTCTCTCTTTTTTGTTCCTCTGACAGAAAGTTGCAGGTTAAGGGTGGGGAAAGCTACGTTTCGCTCAACGTAGCGCGCGCATGCGTGGCCAGGGCAGTCGATAGGCGCACTGGCAGCGAACTACTTGCATTCGCAACTAACCTCAAAATATCTTATTTATAGTGTCGGCTCGGGGAAGCTCCCGGACCGGACGAGTTCCGTCTCGGAACTTCGTTTCGCGAATGCTTGGCGAACCGTTCTGAGAAAAGTACGGGAACCGCCGTACTTCCGTTGTCGTGACTCGTGTCGAATCCAAGTCCTCACCTGAGAAAACTGAGGTATATGGATTGCTGTGGAAAGTGCTTGTCGCGTTCGAAAGGTTTGTAAATTACTTTCCCTACTTTGCACGATTGTCGTGAAATTATCAATTGCGACGTGTTTGTAAATATGCAACGAGCTGCAAGGTAGATTGATTGTTTGATAGTCATATGTTTTACTTCCTTTATCGTTTGACAGTTGCACGGAATTCTATGGAAGTAACATGGAAAGCAATCTGTTTCAGATGGGTCATGGTTCAAGCCGATCTGCTTCATCCGCGAACATCCTTTCTGCGGACGAGCTGACCTTGGTGGAGAATCTGTTCAAGTCCATGTCACGGAGTTCCGGTTCCATAAAGCGCGAGGACATATTTAAGCACTGGTCCACCCATTTGGACGACGCGCTGTTGCAATTTGTAGTGAAGTTCCTTTGTCACGAACCCGGGAAAAGAGTGTCCGCCATAAACGGGGAGAATTTTGGGAGACTGTACGTGTTTGCCATTCGTGGCAGCCCAGAGGAGAGGACCAGTCTGATTTTCAATGGCTTATCGGAGGAGGAGCAGAAACATGAAATACCCACCGCGACGTTCCTTCAGTACGTTCAAGCCACCATTAATTCCTACCTGAGATTGCAAAAGAACTCGGGCAACGTACACTACTTAACGTGGAGCAGCATCGGCTGCACGGTAAACACTAGGAGGATAGGGATGCGGTCCAGAAGTTTATGTGAAGATCTAGTCAAACACGGTGAAACTCTAACTATGGATCAAGTGGAGAGCTGGTTCTCCGCAGCAGCTACTTTCAAGATCATCCAATCGCACGTTTTCCAGTGCCTTTTCTTGGTCTCTCAGAAGAAAGGTGACAAGAATACAAGCAGTAGAATAAACGACCTGAACCTCTTGCCTGGCTGCAAGGGCTTGGAGAATATACCACATTTCCCCAGTATTCTAGGGCTGGGTGACGTTTTGTTCTTGAATCTGAGCTTGCCCCACGAGCTTCGCAACGAATGGCGATTTCTATTTTCTAGTCAAGTGCATGGGGAATCATTTTCCACGATGCTTGGAAGGATCACCATGCAAGGATCGACCATTATAATACTTCAGGATACCGATGACCACGTGTTTGGAGGCTTTGCCTCCGACAGTTGGGCAGTTGGACCAAATTTCATTGGAAACCAATCTTCCTTTTTATTCAAACTCGAGCCAGATATACTTACGTTTTCTGCCAGTGGCTACAACAATCATTTTCAATACCTAAATCTTTATCAACAAACTATGCCTAACGGTTTGCTTATGGGAGGGCAGCTGAACTATCCAGGCTTATGGTTGGACTGTGAATACGGAACTGGAAAATCAAGCGTGTCCTGCACAACATTCCAGAATTACGTGCAACTAAGTGGCAAGGAGAATTTCAAGATTAAGCACTGCGAGGTTTGGGGCGTGGGCCCTATCCCAGAAGTTGAGGAGGAAAGACGGGACGCGAGGTCGATTTTGGATCAAGATGTTGCCTCGAAGACCATACTAGAGATGTCCGGCCGCAAGATGTACAGTGACGGACAGAGAGAAAAGAAGGAGTAATTGTGATACTAGAAATCTGTCAGATTCCATGAGAAAGAGGAAGAAAAGGACACACGTCAGGCTATTCAGAACTGTATCAGCTTTTCAGAAACAGAAGGATGTCATTGTAAATCAAAAACAGAAGGAAAGGATGCTTTTGTGGAATCGTTTCTCTCTCCAACGGTATAATACTACGAATTATTGAAACAACGTTCGCGTTTTCTCAAGCTTGTACTCTCTTTTTTTTCTGTCTATTTGCTAGCTGATGTTTTTGAAGAAAAAAAAAAAAAGAAAAAAAAGAAAAAATTCCACGTGTCTGTAACGGCCTGATCTCTCGTACTAGCGTCATTTTCAATTGACTCTGCAATCGATGGAGCAACATTAAAAAGAAAAATATACAGAGAAAAAAAGGAATGAATGAAAGAGATTATATCGTGCGAGTTGCTGTGTCTTTTGAATGCCTATTATCTAGTGCCTGGTGAGTCATCAATCATTTTTAATCGGACTTATTGATACGCTAAATAAAGTCTGTCGACGAGGAGAAACTTGTACAACACATATTCATTACTATTGTTACATAAGACTGTATGTATGTGTGTACGTGTTATTCGTATATGAACCACCTGGCGGGCAACGTTCACTCTCTGTCCTGTCGGGAGAACAGCCAAAGAGCAAACACTGTTGTTCAGTATAATGCTAAGAGATCAATAAAGAATTGAAATCTCGAGATTTCAATCTTTTTCTTCATCCCTTTGTCCTTCGTCAAATTCTCCATTCAAAGTTAATTTCGATTCGTTATTTCAAGTTCTTTATCTTTCAAAGCCATTTAAAATTAGAAATTTTTGAGCAATTATGAATTATCAGAAATAGCAGGGGGGGAATTATTTAAGTAAATGCTCAGTATGTAAGTTGAGTTTGAGTATGATCAATCATTAGGTACAAGAGAGAATAAAAGTATAGAAACAAAGTGAGAAAGTAGCAAACACTTACTCGGTGGCTAAGGTTGTAGGTTAGAACGAGATTTCTCGCGAAGGAGTTGGCGAAGGCCTGATAAAAATCCAACACCTCCAGCAATCGATCCCTCTTGATCGTGTGAAGATCACAGTAGGTTAGAGCTCGAACATTGGCAGCGCTTTGTCCTACGGACGGGTTTGTCCAGAAGCTGTCGCCGAACACGTCTCCCTTGCCGAGGATCGCCACGACCTCGTCGTCCTGGATTACCTCGAGACTTCCGGTTACGATGAAGCACAACGAGTCGATAGACTCGCCGGTGTGATACAATAGATCACCAGGAGCGCTGTGGGACATTGTGAAATGCATCGCTAGGGCACGGAGGCAGCCATCAGAGGCCAATCTGTAAACACGGGTTATAAACCTCATTATATATAATTATAAAATACTGATTAATGATTAATGTATTTATTAAAGAGGATTAATATTAATATTAAATATAATATTATATATTATATTATATAATATAATACTATATTATATTAATATTAAAGATTATATGATATATATTATATAAGATTATATTGTATATTACAAGATATATGTCAAAGAAGATTTAGCGTTTCATTTGCTTTCAAAATTTTGGCCTCGCAACATTTTAACTTTTATCTTCCATGCAGTGTCCTCGTTAATTATAAAATACTGATTAATGATTAATGTATACATTAAAGAAGATTAATATTAATATTAAATATAATATTATATATTATATTAATTGATAATTATATTATATTATTATTATATAATATAATACTATATTATATTAAAGATTATATTGTATATTACAAGATATATGCCAAAGAAGAATTTAGCGCTTCATTTGCTTTCAACATTTTTGGCCTCGCAACATTTTAACTTTCAACTTTCATGCAGTGTCTGTCGTCTTGCAATTCTAAATCTAGAGAACGAAGAAGCTTGCCTAAATGCAGGGTGTTCGTTGAAGACCTTCCTATTGAGATGAACGCAGATATCCGCCTTCATGTCCTTGGGGCAGTAGTTGAGTACCTTGTCGGTGTCTAGGCCCTTGGTCATCGCCCAGGTGCTCACCACGTAATCCATCACGCGTTCGCTGAGCGCCTTCGGCACCTCATGCAGCTTCATAAACTCCCTCACGTTGTTCAGCATGTCGTGATACTTGGCCGTGGCGGACGTCATCTGTTGGATTATCGTAGTCACGTGACCGAAGATCGTGGCGTACAACAGGGCTGAGAACAGTCAAACCGGACAATCATAACAATGAGACGCAACGACAATCGTGGATAAGTTTTCTAACTGTCGGTGAGGAAGGGAGGATCTCTTTGAATTTCAAACGAACAGGTAGGTATCGACACGAATCCTTTGAGTTTCAAATAAAATCGAATGTTCTCAGTATGTTTGTATGTATGTATGTATCGAGAAGAAAAGATCAAAGAGCAAGGATGCGTGAATTTTGTTGTGATCTGAAAGGTAAACAAGTTACATCTACGACTGTTTGCGAGGGACTCGAAGGTGAAACCGATACAACTCGATGCAAATTCTTGGAAAATGATTCACCTTCGAGCATTGTCTCTCTTTCAGGCATACTTGTAGAAGAATGTAAATATCGTACCGGCAATGATCATCATGCAGATGGTAAAAATCTTCTCGTTATCGGTCTCGGCGGCGACGTTACCAAAGCCCACAGATGTCATGCAAGTCATCGTGAAGTACAACGCGGTGACGTACATGGTTCTCCTGGACGGTCCAGCGACCAGTTCCGGCGCGGTGCTGGTATTGGTCCACAGATAGCTGTACGGTGACTGGGTGACGTTCGCCAACTTCCACAGCCAAGAATACTGGACTCCATTGTCCGCGTCCGACCTTCCTATCGAGTACCTTTAACCCAACGACCCTTCTTTATTACTCTCGCCGCACCTATCCCTCCACCATTTTACATTCTCTACATTATAAGATATACAATAGAAATACTTGGGGTGTTTACAATTTTTGCGGATAAATTGAAGTCTCTTTCTAACTGTGCTTGCTTGAAAAGTAGAAAGAAAAAGGTCACAGGGGCTTTTAATTATTTCAATATATCTTTCATGAGAGATGGAAAATGCTAGACGTAATGTTATAATTTGTAACACTTTCAGTTTGTCTGGAAAAATTGGAAACGCCCAGCAATAAATGAGGGGCGAGTGGGATTATCTGGGATTAACGCGTGAAAGAAGCACGCATGCTTTTCTTGTTGGCTGAAGGCGAGGATTTCCTATAGGCGTCTCGACGTGTGCGTCAAGGACTCTTGGACTGGACAAAACACGTTTCCTATATTTCTATACACGACTGCCAAATTCAGGTGACTATACAATCTACGATCTTCTTATCTTCCATTTTTCTACAATTGCTTCGCTACCTGATAATTCATAAAAAAGACAATACCGAAAAACAAATGGCAACTACATTATTTTATATCATATGAAATAAGAGTCGAATATGTTAATAAACCTGCGCTATATAGACTTGCATATCCGTGTATATTAAAAACTACAAGGATTAAAACATGAATATCACTTCGTGATATGTTCAAAACTATAATATCATGATTTGTTTGATATATACGTACTGATATATTGTCACTGGTACATTGATATAATATACACGTTCAAAACTACAATATCATGATTTGATTGATATGTACATATTGATATATTGGTATTGGTATACATATTGATGTCATTCTATCAATACATATTGGTATATTGATATTATTAAATCAATGTACATATTGATATAGCATGCTTGTTCAAAACTGTAACATCATGATATTGATGATATAATATCATGATCAATATCATAAATGCGTGTGACGCTTATAAGAAATCCCACCATGAGATTTGCGCGTTAAAAAGCATTCTTTCGCCACGTTCCGTCCCGGTTTTGACCGTTATCCTTGCTTCCCTTTCCAACACTGCTCTTCCACTTCTCTCTCTCTCTCTCTCTCACTCTCTTCCTTGCTTCCTCTCTTCGAATAGATATGTACATCTTCTTGTCTCACTTTGGCCAGTCTTTGGAATGAGAAAAAGTTGGCAAGAAGGATCACGGTCAAACACTCGAAGCTTCTTTTGGGGAACGGACACGATTCGCCAACAGAGGATAATAGCGTTTCGAGCAGAAGAGCTTGGCGTTACGTTCGTGGCTCTCCCGTCGATTGTCGATTCGACGCTGGATGCACGTTCAAAGGGACACGAGAAGAAACGTTTCTTTGTCGAGGAAACGAGCGGAAGGTTAGCATCTCTTCTCTCGCTCTTTCTATCTCTCGACAAGCCCCTCCTTCTTCTTAGCCTAACCCCCACCCCATTCTTTCTCTTCCACTCGCTCGCGTCCTCTCTCTCTTCCTCTTTTTCTCCCTCGTCGTCTTCAAAGGCGAGTCGACGTTAGTCTGAAGCGCTACTTCGTTTATGCCGCTTCGAGCGGGGAAGAAGCGAAAATAATTAAGAAGCGGGATGAAGGAACTACTGGATAGCGGTTTCTTCGCGTTTTTTTCTTTTTCTTTCTCTATCTCTCACTTTTGGCTGGTCGATCTTCACTTTGTATTCGCTGATCTCGGGTCATCCTGAACGTTTCAGCTGTCTTTCAGTCTCCAGCTCTTGGGATAAAAACGTCTACATTACAATCAACAAGGAATTTTGAACACCAGAGAACACACCTGAAAATTACTTACCATAAGGAGAAAAAAACAAAGAGAAAAGAAAGGACATCAAGTGCCAGGAAAATTAGATTCTTCCAACGTGAACGTTCAGAATGACTCGAATGGCTTTCGTCTAACTATTCTAAAAGCCACGGCAAACTGGTTCCATTCTTGGGAATATTTGAACAAAAGAAGAAGAATAAACGAAGCTGTTCACCAAATTGTGTACAACGTTATCACAATTCCCACTGGAACAAGAGTGCTATGCTATTTTGTAAAAGCGGCACGGCATATCCTGTGTGCAAGTGTACGTGTCCTATACGTGTGTGTGTGTGTCTGTGTACGTGTCTCTAAAAGTTGCACGTGATGCAAATGTTAGGTTAAAATATTAAGGGGTAGGGGGAAGAAGAAAGATGACGTCTAAGGTTTGATTTAGCCGTCAATCCTGCCGCAGCCGTGTTACCTTTTTGTGTGTGGGCAGGGTAAAATCACCTTAAAGTGACGTACCAGACACAGGCCAGCCAGTGAGCAACCAACATGTAGAAACAGAGCAGTAGAATGAGCATCGCGGCTCCATACTCCAGATACCGGTCTAGTTTCCGAACCACTCGGCCAAGGCGAAGCAATCTGACCACCTTCAGCGCTGAGAACAGGCTCCCTATGCCGTCCTCGTCGTGGTCGAACGCGTTGAACACGTCGTACGGTAGGCAGCTCAACAGGTCGATGATGAACCATGACTTTAGGTAGTTCATTCGGATCACCTGTCGTTTTAGAGGGGAGATTGGATCAGATAATCATGTTGTAGATCAAGTTGTAGAAAGTTGATGAAAAGGGATGAGAAAAGGTGGTGGGAGAGGCTCTCTGGAGATGTGATGGAAACTGACACAATTTTAGAAAGAAATACTTTAGAAGGAAAAGAACAATCTCAAAATTAAATTATCAATGTTGAATGATTTGATTGATTTCAATCTAATTGTTGAACTTTCCCACTGAAATTACGGAATCAAAGGAGTGATTCTCTAAAATGTAAAATAGAACATTGAGTGAAAAGTAATGGGGATCTTCAATGAACAATAATCAACAAGTATTGAATTATCTTCTAAACCTAAACTCTGATACTTATTGAATGTAATTTTCTCAATGGTACTTACATTTCTATGTATGTTTTATGTATGCAAGTACTTACATTTCTCAATGGTACTTACATTTCTATCTACATTTCTATGTATGTTCTATGTATGTAAGTACTTACATTTCTCAATGGTATACTTACATTTCTATCTACAGAAACCAATCACCACAGACGAGATAAATTTATATTATTTGTCATAACCGATGCACTGCATGGTTATAGCAAAATTGTTAAAAATTTAACGCAAATTTAAATATGCAAATGAAGATATATAATTAATATTAATAATAATTTGAAATAGTTGAAAATTTACTTGGTTTTTAAGAATGTTTAACACAACATAAATCATGCGTTGATAATTTAAAAATTTTAATCTACTATACATTGAAATACATGGATAGAGCTCTTTCTGATGTACAATAGAATGATTTCGGTTAGTTACTAGCATTCACATTTCGGTACTGAAAGTTTGACAACACTGTAATGGGTTTCAAAAATCAGTTGCTGCTTCATTCACCCAATATTAGTTCCCCAACTCGCCGTTGTTTAAACGTAGAGTGCGCTGAAACACCAGTGATTTTTCAGTATGTATGTCGGTATTTCAGGGCAAAGTCCGCAAGATGCAATGTCTATTCGTATATCTCGTCTGTGCTGTCACATTCTACACATAAAAGTGAACATCCAGTTCAGCTTATTAGACTAATGACAAAACACGACGAATCTCGATGGTGTTTGTACCTTGGGGTCAGACACCACCTCGCCACCAGGGCCAACGAACGTGGTGTGAAAGTTGAGGACAATGTCGATGAAGAATATGACGTCGACGATGCTGTCGACGACCAGCAGGGAGACGTCCTCGCTGGTCTTGTTTTTGAAGGCGACGTTGTAGGGCACCATGATGGCCGTGTAAAAGGTCAAACATAAAATGATCCAGTCCCAGATCGCCTTGAACGCGCAATAATGTAACAAAATGTGCGGCGGGGTCTTTGGCGCCTCCTGTCTGTACTGCGGCATCACATCGCCGCTTAAGGACATCATCTGAAACCGTCAATCGTCACTGCCTGAATCTCTTCTTCGTAGGAAAGAAATTTTCAGCTTCTATATGTTATACAATTTTACGTGAAAGTTAAGCGACAAAGTATCAAGTGTCTAGCTTTTCTATTTCATTTTATATTTTACTTTTGTTTTATTGTTAGTCGAGGTTTGCAGTCGATGCAGCGTCATCATCTGAATGTCAACAAATGTCGCGTGAATTTTTTCTTCGTGCTGAAACTTCAGCGAGCAGTATAAAAAGTTTCTCCTCCCTTCCCCCGTTTTTATTTCTTTGTTTTATATTTTATTACTTTTACTTTGGCCGAAGTAAATTTGCAGCGAAGTCGGCACGTTGATAAACGTGCGCCGGCGACTTTTTGACGAATTTTGATAAATGTTTCACGCGTGTGAAATTGCGTGATAAAACGCGGCGTGCATTTAAATATTACCGATTACAATAATCCAGCAATCACGAACGCGTGCAAATCCTCTGGCCGGTCCGAGTTAACATTTCGATGCAAATCTCTCTTCTAAACGAGAACGAATCCCCAGCGTGGATAAATCTTCGTTAAACTTACAAATATAAAATAGTAACTGGTCGACATATCGAAATAGATATTCTTCAGTTGGCTGAAGCAGAATTTTTCAACCGAAATCGCTTCGAAACTGCATGCTCCAATCGAATTTCAATTTTGCGATAAAATTCTTAAAATTCCGTTCTCTTTCGAATTTAAATCTTCGTAACGGTCAGTTTACCAATGATGACACTGCAAAATTCTCTCTCGTTGAAAACTGGAAATGTTATTAAATTGAAAAGATTAATTGAATCGACGAGTTGAAGAGCAATGATTTTATTTTAATTGTGCATGTTTAAACTGGTATAGTGTCATGAAAGCTATGATGTTTTTACTTACATAGTCACAGATGATGTTAATACATATAAAATTATACATGTGTTTTATATTTATATACAAGATATTCATCCAAATATCTCGAAATGTGATTTTTTTACTTGTACTTTAACTCTCTTGATTTGATTGTTAATGAACCAGCTGAATTTCAGAATTCATTCCATTTTGAAACACAAATTATTGATATGAAAAGTGCGTGCATGTTGGATGCCTACAGATATATCTGTCAGGCGCGTGCGCAAATATAGGGTGTTTAATTTTAACCTACAAATGCAATTGTATGGTTTTCAGAGGGCAGTAATTTGATACACGTACTTTGTCTCTAGATAAAACGCTTGGAGTAGTGAAAGTCACTAGATAAGCAGTAAATGTGAAAATCATTATTATTTTCTCAGGTATAATTATGTAATTTTTCTTTTGCATTAATCGATGCAGCAGATCACTCTCTGCAAAAAAAGTATTAACCTATTTACATCTAAAACCATAAACCTAGTTTAGGAGACATTTTTTTTATAAAATCCATGTATAAAAGACAAGAACAGTATGAATACAAGAATATTCACACGACAGATTTTATAAAGTCAAAGTTGAAGTATCTCCTAAATAAATAGCTTTTTCGATATACATAGGTTATAATACTTTTTTACTTTTTACAGAAAATGATCTGCTGCGTCGATTCAAAACAGAAAAGAACGCATTTGAGACATTTTGTTAAATGACGAATAGTTTAATACGAGATAATTTATAGGTTAAACACGCTGTACATGCGCAACAGGCCAATGCGCATCAGGCATAGGGTCTGACGTCAACGCATTTGAAAATGGCGCGCAGAAGAACAGGAACGTGGCTTTCGTTTCGAATTGAAAAATCTGAATTTAATTACGCTAGGTATTTCTTTCAAAACATCTTAAAACGTACTGCTCTTCTTCACTCGTTCGACTCGATTAATTGATTGAAAAAAAAAAAAAAACGAGAAGATATTTAGCATCTTACATGAGCTAAGTGTGACTGTTTCGCGGTGGTTGGCAACGCGGAATCCTTGAGGGCGGGCAGATGGGAGCTGAACTGTGACACAAGAACAGATCTCGACCTGGTGACCGATCTGGCGAGCTTGGCGAACTTCGAGAGGCCACCCTTGCTGTCGTCCGTCTCGATTGGCTGCTTCAGGGCAGTGATGTCCCGGAAGGTCAACAGGAACAGGACCACCAGGTCCCGTTCGTTTTTTATTGGCGCTATTTGTAGAAGCAGCCATAGTGGTGTTTCTATATATCCACAACAAGAGAACGGAGAGAAGCGTCATTCGCTGGTTAATTACGATTCGACGAATTGCGTTCTATATATATATAATATATATATATATATAATATATATATATATATATCTCTTTTTCTATCCTCGACTAATTGGTACGCTGTTGTTAACCTAATTAGCTATAAGTATTTCGTACATCTTTTGTACAGTGGGTATTACGTTGGACATCCTGCAGGAAGGATTATTCTTACTGAAGATACTGAATGTTTTATCTTCTATTAATATTCACTTACAATATAATATATTGTAATAGTTAACGACATAAATGAATTATAATATATTATTACATATAATATTATATTATTATTACTGAATATTTTTTCTATTAATATTCATTTATAATATAATGTAATATGAAATATTATTATATAGATGAAAGAAATATAAATGAATTATAATATATTATTATACATTATATTTACGTAACATATTACTATAACTCATTTTTAATCTGATATAATATTCTATTAATGTTTTATAAATTATGTATTTCATTTTATAATTGTATGGATTTCGAATTGTCTTTCTTTTTATTCCTCTTCTTTCTTTCAATTTTGTTCACATTCAATATCTTGATAATGACCAATCCTTCTTTCTACATTTTCGTAAAATACTGAAACTGCACTCAAGTCAAACAACTCTTCCTGCAAGACACTATTATTATTCATTATTCATCATGCTACGAGCAATCAAAAAGCAATTACTTAAATATTAACAAGCAATACACACAGTGCGATTCATTTCAATTAGTAAATATGGTGATCACTATACTAAGTCGAAGATTACGAATAGAATGATCATTATAGTATAATAACAACGCATGTTTGAAAATTAAATATCTAATCTACTGAAATATAATTAGTTGGATCGAAGCATCAATGATCAGAGTGCGGCTGTAAAGATAATTTGTTATAATAAATATAAACTCATGCCACCATTCGAGTGTTGTGTGTGTCGAGTGCGTTCAAACGTGTATTATTAAGGCGAATTTGTATATACTTTCACATTTGGCATATGCACTGCGGACGATTCATTTAATAGTGATTGTGAAAAAGATGAACGCAGAAATACTTATATCAATTCTATTTTCTAGTTGAATTCGTTGTATGAGTATATTTAGAATATCAGTGATATTTCAAATTTTGGGAATTATAAATTTTGTGAATTGCAAATTTTAGAAATTCAGAATTTCGAAAATTCGAAACTTTTGGTAATTTGAGAATCCCAACTATTGAAAATTCTATAAAATTTGAGAATTTCACACAAGATTGAAAATTTCAAATTTTAGAAATTCCAAATTTCAGGATATCAAAATTTTGGGTATTCCAAATTTTGAGAGTCTTCCATTTTGGAAATCTCCAACTGTGGCAGTCCCAAATTTCGGAAATCCTCGACATTGAGAGTTTCAAATTTTGGAATCTCAAATTTTTGAATATTTCAGTTCTCAGAAACTACAAAATTTGAGAATCCCAAATACTGAAAATTTCAAATTCCGAAAAATCCAAATTTTGGAAAACTCCAATTTTGGTAGTTCCAAATTTCGGAAATCCCCGACTCTAAGTTTCAAATTTTGAGTATTTCAATTCTCAGAAACTGTAAAATTTGTAGATACTAAAAATTTCAAATTCCGGAAATTCCAAATTTCGGGGAAACTCCAACATCAAAAATTCCAAATTTCGGGAATCTTCAACATCAAATGGAGGCTTCAAATTTCAGACTTATCTCCAACTACGAAAATTCCAAATTTGGGAGTCTCCAATCTCCGGGAGTTCTGAATTTTAAAAATTTTTGAAAATTCCCAATGTTCCCTTACTTATTTCCATCACCTACAACTTTGAAAGTTGGTAAAATAAATTCAACCACAATACACACTACAATTTCACTTTGCCCACAATCACTGTTAGCAAATCGTTCACGATACATCCCAGGAATGCAAAAGCTCCTTACAAAAATTTGCTCCAAGCAGTGCTTTGATCAGTGGCGAACAGTGTGTGAACAGTGTGATCTGAAAAGATCGGCGATGCAGATTCAAAGAGGAAAATAAACGATAGGAGAAAGAACGAACAAACAAAAAAAAAAAAAAAAAAAAAAAAAAGAAAAGAATGGAAAGGAGCATCGGTTGCAGAGAGATTCTGATATAATAAACTCTCTAAATGTAGTAATTCGTGCCTAATTTATTCATTTCAATCAGAGAATTCTTCGGGTACGTTTAACTGTTGGAAGAATGACAACATATCTTCTTCTTGTGCAAGGTACAAAGAGGAAGCTATTTGAAAACCGGTAATGCCAGTTTCGTGTTTATACATAAATATATATACAGTGGTCTTTGTACAATATTACGGAATGATTTCTCGTTTTACCGGAGGCAGAGGGGAGAGGGCAACAAGTACCTTGTTTAGTCATTTCTTTAACGATTGTATACCATCCAACTTTGTGTGTGTGCGTGTGTGTTTGGTGTCTTTGGTGGTTGAGTTTTCTCGAGTATTCAAACGAGTCACCCAAGACGAGGTTCAGTCGCATTTCAGTCGAGCAACCAAGATCTTACTTACAATTTTCTGAATTACTACCGAGAGAAAACCAAGCTTGAAACACGGTTCCTCGTCTCTGATGACTCGAATTGTTCTCGTTCGTGGGCTGGCGATACTGACTACTGGTTAGTCACGCTGGGGAAGGGTGGCTCAGTTGTAAGTAGACCGCACAGGGTTTGTAATCCGACTTTAAACTCGATTTCCTCCGCAGTCCTTGATTTCCTTTCACGGTGCTGAAATCCCTGAAATCTCCATCTTATCTTCCTCGTTATCCTTCACTTTCACTTCAGTCTCAATTCGAAGGCTTGAGTTTTCTGCTCTTCTGACTTTTCTTTCTTTTTTTTTTTTTCCTGAATATTTAATCACTGGTTCGCGGACCGTAACGAGTGACCGGAACCGGTACACAATAATTCTTTCTTTACAAAGCTGTAACATTTAGCTCTAATATTTAACGTACGTACGTTTCAAGCACAGTTTCGACTGTGTAAAATAGGTTACAATAATAATTCGATCGTCGAAACAGTTTATAATAACAATTGCAATGATCGAGCCGCAGGAAATCAGTTTGAAGTTCAATTACGAACCCTCGTGCGTGGACGAGACAAGTTGTTCTTTTTTTGTAGGGGGAGGGAGATATAGAATCTGCCTACGAGAGTGTAGATATTACGGCGTGAGTAATACACAGTGAGTAGTACAATTTACGAGTGTTCTCGATTGTGACAAATTGCGAGCTCGCGACCGTTTGAATAGTCACCGTTAATCACAACGTCCTGGCAATAGCCCCGATTTAAGACGAAACACACGGCCAGCTTATACTCTGTGCTTGCTTACGTGCCTGGCGAACATCGGCCGATCGATTATCCAGAAAAAAAAAAAATCGACGGCACGACCATTGTTCCTCGACGATCTTATTTTCCCTCCGCCACGATTTTTGTGAAAATCGAATCGCGATACGATTTGCCTCTTTTAGGGCAAATGGAGATCTTTGCGATAATTAAATTTCCCAAAAGCCTAGAGTCTTCAATCGCTTTCCAAGAATTTCCAAAATTTGTATTTTTCGAAAATTGCGTTTCCAAAATTTTGTCAAAACACAAAGTCTAGAATAACCGAAATTTTCAATTTTCAAAGTTTGCATTTCCAAAATCTAGAATCAATCGCTTTCCAAAAATTTCCAAAATTTGTATTTTTCGAAAATTGTGTTTCCAAAATTTTGTCAAAACACAAAGTCTAGAATAACCGAAATTTTCAATTTTCAAAGTTTGCATCTCCAAAACTTAGAATCTTCAATCGCTTTTCAAAAATTTCCAAAATTTGTATTTTTTCGAAACCTGCGTTTCTAAAATTTTGTCAAAACACAAAGTCTAGAATAACCGAAATTTTCAATTTTCAAAGTTTGCATCTCCAAAACCTAGAATCTTCAGTCGCTTTCCAAAATTTGTATTTTTCGAAACCTGCGTTTCCAAAATTTTGTCAAAACAGAAAGTCCAGAATCACCGAAATTTGGAAGTTTGGAAATTTGGAATTTTCGAAGTTTGCATCTCCAAAACTTAGCTTCCTCAAAATTTAAAATCTCCAAAACCTAGAATCTTCAATTACTTTCCAAGAATTTTCAAAATTTGTATTTATCGAAACCTGCGTTTCTAAAATCTTGTCAAAACACAAAGTTCAGAATCACTGAAATTTTCAATTTTCAAAATTTGATATCTCCAAAACCTAGAATCTTCAATCACTTTCCAAAATTTCCAGAATTTCCAAAATTTCTATTTTTCGACATTTGCGTTTCCAAAATTTTATCAGAACACAAAGTGTCGCTATGGTTAACCAAGAGACAGATTCTTGTCTATGGCAACAGGTCATCTGTGACGAAACCAAGCTTGTACACAGTTACACAGAAACCAAACCTACAGAGTCTAAAAACCAGAAACAAAAAAGAAAAAAAAAAACTGTAGCAAGAAGCAGGATTACACGACGTCGCGGAGATAAATCGTCGAAGAGAATGGCGTGTCGTTCGCCTGGCTGGCAAAAGAGCAACATCTGCGAGATCTGCGAGGTTATATATATACGCGTTGTAATACATGTTGAATATGTGTGTCTAGTACTTAGGAGAGAGATTTCAGGGGGGAATTAACTGAAATCAAGAGTAGGGAGGTCGAATAGCGTCCTCTCATTATGGCCACCCCTTGGTCCTGGGATCGTTCGACGATCCTTGTATGTGTGTCGTCTCTTGTTCACGCTAAAGATGGGTGTATAACAATCGTATACAGTATACCTCCAAATGTACGTTAACAGTTAGTAAATATATACAGGATATCTGATTTGAATCTGTAAGTGCGAATTGTTGATAAGCTACCTGTTATACACAAATGTATACATAAAAAAAAAGAAAAAAGATAGTTGAGACATGTAGTGAATGGTTCCAAGAGGGCCATCATCTGTGGTGGTTTTTTTTATGGATGTATGCATATAAAGTTTCCTTCAGTGGAACTGTGCAAGTCTTGATTCACTAATCGATGCTGGTGGCCATTCTCTATAAAAATATTAATCCTTGTACAGTTTAGTTTAGTTTACATTCTGTAGAATCGTATGAACGATTACAAGAAAAAAGTGGTATTCTTCTGTTCATATTAAAGTTAAAATGTCCATCAAACAATGTAAAGAAACAATGAACTGATCTCACCTTCCTTATGGTCTCAATGCATCCATCCACAAAAAAAAAAGAAAAAGGAAGAAAACTATCGTATTACATCAGATTGTGATTTTCTTCACACCATTCGCTTCTTCTTTTCTTTTATACAACAGGCAGTTTCTCAGCTGTTTCCATTTACAGATTAACATCGGACACCCTGTATATGTATATGTAAATATATATATATATATATATATATATATATATATATATACATATATATATATATATTTATATATACCTATATATGTAAATATATACATATTGGATGTTTGGTTACAGTTTTTTTGTTATAGTTAGATTCGAGGGTGACTTACTGGTGGATTTTTCGAGCACTCTTTTGCGAACCTGAGCTAGACATACCTCGTGGGGCACCTTTAAACAGAACGATCATTCTCGTTATTGGCCACCGGCCGGATCGCTAGGTGATCGCTAGCATCGCTACCGAGATTGCCAGCATCGCAATCTAGACCGTAGTAGTTTCAGTA